TTCTTGCTTTTCATATCTTCCCAACGTCCGCGATGAAAACAAATAGCACATCTATATATGTAAGGAAGGAACCAAACTGCTTCTCGAACATCTTGTTCGAATTGTCAGGAATGTTAATGTTAACCTCGATCGCCCTCTTTCCATGTCCGCTTTTGTAATCACGTACAAATTCAGTGGCTTTGTTCCAATTAGAACAGGTTGTATCCCACTTCTTTTAACCTTCACCAAACTGCAAGAAATAAACAACTGTGTAAATTATAAATTCCTTTTCATCCATCACAATTGTAGCCATGGATTTTCTTGAAATGTTGAAAACATAAGCGATAGACAAGATACACGATGCTTCGTCATTCATATACATCTACAATGTTTCCAGATAAGTAAGTAATTTGTTTCAATTTAGATTTAGATAACGTGATGATTCTAATGATACCAAAACCTACGAAACATTGATTTAAAAAATGAATGCGGATTACGCGACAAAAATTGAATCGGACAAAGTCAGTGTTAGAATGGCAACTGGTTGTTTCACGAACGAGTCGTTTCGCCAACGGTAGTTTCGCAAACGTTGTAAACATTTACATGTCAACTTGGGTTTAACTATACGATTCAGAATACTACATTACTGACACATTGTATGCGTAAATTATTGAATGTGAAATCTCACAGCTTATTTCTCGTTAAAGTATATTTCATAATCAAATGGACAGTTTTTATCCCGTGTCTCGATAGTTGTGGACCTTCCTTCAAAGAGCAAAGCTTTCTGATAGAACACAACAACAGTAAGACCTGTTTCATATTGTTAGATTGATTTGCGGATTACAGCTACTGTACATGCAACACGCAAACGCTGTGATAGAGCGAAATCAACTACAAGACTGAATGACTTAAGCTAGAGAGTTAGTTTGGTTGCTCAAACGTTGACATCTCAAGTCTACAAAGTTTGTGAACTGACTTCTACACATATAAATGTTTATAACGTTTGCAAACTGACTTCTACACGTTTGCGAACTGACTAGAGACGTTTTCGAAACGACTCGTTTGCGAAACGATCGACATTCGTTAGAACTTTCTGCCCAACTTTTTCTCACACATGTTCGCTATTCCTTCGGTCCAAAATTGTCGCGCTACTTTCTAAAACGAATACTTTTTTTACCAACCTGCTGAAGGTCGATGTATTTTGCTAAACTGTTGTAAACCAGAATCTTTCTCCACTTGTCTCACCAATTTGTAATAAATGATTCCAACCAACGAGGACTGTGATATTGTGGTGAAATAAGGTTCTGATGTGTGATCAGTCAGCCGGAGTTTTACCATCAAAGTTTTGACAAAACTCTTCGAAGTATCTGTTAAGAACTGCATGAGGGATTTCGTGAATCCGTACTTTTTCAGTGTCACAAAGTAAATGATAACCGTTAAAAATTCAAAAATGATCAGATCGACTGAGCTGCGCAGGACAATAAAAAAGGATGCTGGAATTCAAGAAGTCTTCATTCAAAGACGTAAAATTTTCGCATACACCAATAGTCGCTCAGCATTTCAAATTCTGCCTCTGCAACACCTTTTTTCTCTTTTTGCATTTGCATATGAAATAAATTTTCTTTGCTTTGGCCTGGGTGACACGTTTTTCGGGAAAGAAAGTTTAATTTGAATAATGTCGGCCATTTGAGGTCTAGGGTCTTAGAAAGTAAGCCGCTTGGGGAGGGGAGGTAGTAATTCCTAATGTATGATTTGAAGTATCCCTGAGAGTTAACAGAATTGTGGACGCAAAATAAATTACGTGCCCTCGACTTATGTTCTCTTTTCGCCAACAGGACTTTTCTTCATAGTGTCCATGACGCGCTCATAACACCGATTAAATTTTCCTGTAAGGGAAAAGTTTGTTTTTCGTCATGCATCGGGGAGAGGCATTTGTGAAATTATTGTGAATCGTCTTTGTCTTCTGAAGTGTATCGGAAAGAACTGAAAAAAGTATTTCTTTGGCGCTACTGGGCATAATTCGCTGATACAAACACTAATATGTTCTCTCTTTAATATGATACACCAATTTTTCTTCTTTTCTTGTGAATATCTAATAATCTCCTGCAACACCACCTTCTAGCCAGTGAAAAACTGATCTAAATATTTGCAGCATTAACCGGTTTGTATTGTCAACTGCGAGGCGTGGAATCCATAAATTCTGAAACAATCGTGCCTAGTTTGTGTTCTTAATTCTTACGGAAATCACATAGCAACAAAATTTCTACTCATCGCATCTCTGGAGTTAAATTTGAAGAAATTTTGTGAAACAAACGTTATTGTTGTAGCTGTTTAATATTGAAAAAAAAAACACCCGCCAATTAATTAGAATTTAAAGCAAGGACTTAGCGTCAAGTACTGGGCACGTAATAAAACTGCGTCAAAATATCGCTTTTGCTCACTTATTGACGTTTTGGTGTGGTTTTAATATCCATAGGAATTCAATCTGACCTACGTTTGTTGATTGCGTCTCTCTCAGGAGGACGGGACAACAATTCAACTATTCCAGGTGTTTTTTTGATTACATAACCTATTTTCGGCTTGGACAAAACTACACTTTTTGAAAGAGACTTGAAGAGGTAAATTATAAGCCTTAAATGACTGTCACTTGTAACAATCCAGGAAGGAAGCCTTGCAAGGTACGAAATTCTAGTTTCTTTTTCTTGTTAGGCTAGTCTCTGACCCAGTGCTCTCATGAGCTACACTCAACCTCGAAAGTATCCGCGTGTTTTAGCAGGAAACTGTGCAGAGATATAGCGTTTGTGAAAGCGTGAATAACGAGCTGGCAAGGGCCTCGATTTTGACTTCAGACTCTCTGACTAAGAAGCACGCACTTAAAGTATATCCCAAAACACCGAAAAAAATTTTAACTGCCTAATTAGTTCTCAAATTCTGTGGCGACGATCGATGAGTTAACAAGTGCAAGAAAAAGAACACAAAGATTAAACCTTGGTCAAGGGTGTAAAATATCGTGATTTGTTTTTAACTCACCGAAAAGCTCGTCGATGAGGGCGCTTTCAGCTGGCAGATCAAAATCACCGTTTTGGGACACGCTCCAAGACACACAGACCCAACCTATTGCTCCATTCTGTACAGTAGGATGGTGCACCACCCTGTTCACACCGGTACCGCAAGTGTGGTGCTGCTGCATGAAACATCCATTATATTGCACTGCCTCCCAGCGCGAACGCACCTCAAAGCCGCATGCGATACAAAGATATATAATGAGTACTGATGATTTTAAAAAGTTGTGTTTGTAATGATCTCTCAATAAAAACGACGTCTCTTTATTACCCACCACGAATCGAAACCTACGGATAAATTAATAATTTAACTAATGCAGCCATTAGAGGAAACATCGCTGACATGCTATTTATCATTTTAATACACTGTTTGTGCACATTTTTAATTTCGCATCTCTAAAACCAAAAATTGGTTAAACTTAAGATCTAACCTTTCATATGATACAAGTTTCTTTAAATTGGTTACTAAATGCATTCATAATAAAGAAGTTCGTGTTACAGGTCACGTCGACATTCTCTGTGATTGACACAGAAAAAGGAAGCCAAGTTCGTTTCTGTAAACTTCGCTGTATTTGTACACAATTTTAATGTCGCAATATACTATTACAACTTGGAAAAAAGCACTCTGGTTTCGCTTCAGGTAAGGTAAGTTTTTTCTTGGGGTGAGGGGGGGGGGGGGAAAGAGGGCTGGGACCTCAGAGGGGAGGGTCGTCAGTAAAAGTGGACACCCAAAGTGGAGGGTCTTACATCTTTGTAAGCCATTCAAGGGGAATGTCTCACACCTTTTCCAGAATTTTTTTATGAGGATTGTTGTGTTGCTTTCCATTATTCTTACAGATTAAGTTTTTCTATTCACCCACTTTGATTTAATTTGGTGTTTTATTATAGGTTCCAGTTTACATTTCTACATGTGTATTATGCCATGGCACATAGTTTTCTAGGAGGACTCGTGTCCTTTTCCGTCCGTATCGAGACGTACTGGACACAGGTAAGGGCAACCAAAAAAAATTATGTAGTTTCCATTCCTTTATTGTTAACAAATCAAAGGCAAAAAACGCATCACAATAACGAAGATTCGAAACTTGAAATCAGCCGAGGACAACAAACTAAACGATGAAAACGCGTTCGGTACTCTCAATCTCACTTAAGGTACTCTCAACACAAAGAGTTACATTCTTTACCTTCAGGCTATGTTGAAGTAACAGGTATGAAATTGTTCACCAATGACAAAGCCCTACTAAGGCGCAGTGATTCTCTAAAGTGGTTATACTTCACGTGGTCTTGTGCCCAGATCTCCCAAAATCGTAATTTGCGTGAAAAAGATCCGAGTTGTATCAGTGCACGATGTTACAATCGACCAACGTAAAGTTAATCTATTATTAACTGGAGACTAACAACCAAGGTTAAATTTATGGTTTCAGAAGCAATTTTAATACAACAATTACATTGAGGAAATAAATTAGTAGAATAAAAATACAATACGAACAATAACGATTAAAAAATGTCACAGCCCAGGTTGGGAAGCCAGTGTACAAAGGAGAGTAAGAGGGAAAAGTTAACAGGCGCGCGGACATATCTAAACGAACATTAAAAAGCATCTCTTCTTTTTCATCACTCCTCCCCCTCACCACTGTTTCATCATCTTGTAGCAAAAATGAACTGGATTATTCACACTAAACGCTGGACTATTCTCCTACAATTACTTAAAACATAGGCACAATAAGCACTTTCCAGTGTATCAGTAGGTTTGGGCAACTGGGCTCATGACCTAAATAATTGCAAGTGTGATGTACATACAAGTGTTTGCCGCAGATACACTTTTTTTAAAAAAATATTTCCAGTGTATTCTGTTTGGCACTGATAGATTACATTTCATCCCGTATTTACAACTACTCTAGACACACTCACCAACGTCAAAGTCAAAAAAGAAACTGGTCAATGAAATACAAGACAGAAATACCCCCCCCTCTCCTTCCGTAAAAAAGCAACAAAACACAAAAAACAAAGAAATAAAAACTTTCAATACAAGAAAAAAACATCTAAAAAAGAGAAAACCAAAACGAAAAAAAGAAGAAGAAAATTCCAAGTAAAAGCTATTCACAGTTCCGGTTATGTCAACTCTAACGAAGACTCCCCGTTTACTCGCTTAATGAACGCCGCATAAATTCCACGTACGAGATCCTTCCCTCCATGTTTTCATCAAACACAGAGAAAATATGAAAGAAATCTTCTTCGTTTAACGGAAAGTTAAACCTGTACATAGCAGCTTTGAAGTCAGTCACGGAGACGAAGCCATCGCCCAACGAATCCATCTTCCTGAATGCTCTTCTCAGTCCTTTCCAGTCAGAAATCATCTGCAGAAATATTAAATTGGTATATGGCCCATTTTGAATCAAGGTGAAGGGAGCACTCGGGCGAACGTGGCTTATACCGCACATAAGGCAGCCGTGACACAAAGCTAAAACACTTATGGCAAATCGCTTATGTTCCCACCTGGACAATGGAGCTTTGATAAATTACATAGGTACAAAGCTTTCTTTTAAACAAGGACTGTTTTACCCACCAAAAACTCGACAGAAATGCGCTCTCTTCCCCTATAGCCCTTTCTGTAAACTGAACTTTAATTTGCTCGAATTATATTCACACTTTCTCACCGATATGACTAACAAGCACACAAAATCATTTTCCTTTTCCTTTGCCTCAAAGTTCAAACTGAAGAATTATCCATTAGAGACTGGAATACCATCGAAGCTCTTTGGGTCTAATGTGAAGTGAACTAGAGGACGATTATGATGCAAGGGACTTCAGCAACACAGCTCACCTGGTTCCGAATTTTATCAACAACTGTATCAACAGCCTCTTGAGCTCGTTTCCCGTCCAACCACGCCGCCTACAAGAGAAAGAAATAAACGAAACATAGCATAGCAACATGTCAATTACTTGACCAAGAACTAAAGAAAAGATCGGGGAATAAAAACAGGATAGATGAACTTCCTCCCATACATCCACTCTCATTCTGGTTCGGGCGCGACGACGGGACTTAGTTTACTCACTCTTTTTGTCCTTTCGCCATACACATAGTGGATCCTACCACTGGAAGTGAGTCACATGCAGATCTACCTCGACACCATTTCCTTTGCGACTCAGTGGTAGATATTTCTGGGAGATTTCGCAGTGGCAGATCGTCCGATAGATAATTCGAAGGGTTATAGGTTTGCTCTTCTCAGGAAATCAGAATTCATTTAGAAAAATCGCGATTGTTCATATCAGCAAAGTTTGAGGTCCAAAACACCTTGAGTAAATCACATGTACAGGTGTAAGTGCCTTCAGCGCTTCAAATACCCTAAGAGCTACAATTCACTTTACATTCTCCACACAAAAGAAATACAGTGTCTGGCGGGATCAACTCAAATAAACGGCAGCGTTTGATTTTAATAAAGCAACGCGCGTTAAGTCACAATCGTTTCTCGCACGTCTTCTTCTTCACACGCACCAGTACAACTTGCACTATCCTTAAGAGAGCACCTGCCACTCGACCTTATCTTGAAAATTTTAACTCACCTTTGTAAGATATCTGGTGACCGGTGCCATGGGACCGAGGTGGTCAACCCTGACAGGCATCGTGGGAAGAAATTTCTTCAAGAATTCAAGGTAGCAAACCCTTCAAAAAAGAAAACAGAAGATGACAAAATAAAGCGTCGAAATCGTTGCGCGTTAAACACTGTCTAGTGTGACAAAAAAGGTGAAAAAATGAAGAAAAATACTTGAAAGGAATTAGAATTAAATCCAAATACAAAACTAGTTACATGATTCTCACCGGGAATTTTTTCCCCTATCAAACTTCCAACAAAGGCTCAAACATTCCTCGTCTGTCATATCCTTGCAAAATCGTTTCATGACACCCTATTAATAAACCAGTTGCTATTAGTACTAAATGCTATTATCGTATTCAATCGAATAAGCGCCGCAACCTTTACTCCGCAATTTTTCTGCACCTCAAATGCAGCGCCTATTCGAGGGAGGCACTTAACTGGCAAAAAGTCACATGTGACTGAAACTACTGGCACCGGATTATTTCAATGCGATCTACAGACGTAAATTCACGAAAACTGCAAGGGCAAGGATGGAGTCATTACCTTAAAATAATCGAATTCCAGCGTAGCACTTCCTTCCTTATCCACTGCATTGAAGGCGTTTCTCATTTCACTCCACTGAGAGCACACCTACACATAACACAGCAAAGTTTGAAAGTTGAACCGAAGGATTCAAGACTACGTGATAGCATCCGCAATCAGGTGAAAGTGTCCACAGTCCAATGGAGGCCTTCCATGATTTCTTTTGTAAAGGCTATACTGACATCAAGCATGAAATGACGTAACCTTTCGTTCTGATTGGAGAAAGCTGTCTTCTAAACTCAAGTAGGTTTACTACTGCGTTCGCTTACTTAAATTTTCACGATGGGATGTGTGTAAAACTCGACCGGAAGCGTCCTAAATGGATCAGAATCGTCTAAAAACAGTTCTTTCTTTTTCTAATCGTCATGGCGACTGGATAAGTCGCAGATCTGAGCGCTGCTGCAGTTGTGGGAGGTACAGCTACTTTGGAGTGTTTTTCGGTATACTGACACGCTTAGAGCGCCGTTTGAGGACAATATTTTTTGTACATTCCGTCCATTCTTGTTTACTTGTGTTCTCTCTTCGTTGATAATCGGACAATTAAACTCCTGCAAGCTGTGTTCAAGATCATCAATATCAAGATCGTTACATTTCAGGAATTTTCTAAATGTAGCCGGTCGCCTCTTATATAGCTCTAAGAATAAGGGCTTGTCTAACAGTAAGTTAAAGTACCTGTTGTTTAATGTTCTTTAAAATTTCTTCCACAGAAAGTTTATTCTCAGTCTTCAATGGCAGAAGAGTCTTGTCTTCCGTTGGGGATTCTGCCTGGTCTTCCTGCGCAACAACGGAGGGTGGAGTGGGAAAGGAGTCGGAGTCAACACCTTTTTCCTCAGCCACAGATTCCAACCGGTTGTGTGATAGTGATTTGGCGTAGTCTTGAAGAACTCGTGAAAGGCAGCCTACGATAACAATCGTGTTTGGCCATTAGCAGTTTATATCTTTCCTGTGTTAAGACTGTACATCAAGCATGAAATAGGGCAACTATTTGCTCCGACAAGAAGTCGTCGTCTTCAGAAATCATGGCTGGAAGAATACAGGTTTATTACTGCATTTGCTCATTTAGATTTTCACGATGGGATGAGTCTTAAAATGTTAGTTTTAAAAACTGGAAAGCAGTTTTTATGTTAATCTCCCTTGGATGGATTGAGCGTCGTAAATAAAAAAAAAAGGTTCAATAGCTAATCGTAACTATCCTGAGAGATGTCATCAAAGGTACATTTATATTAACAGCCGGCGCATAGAGAGAGAGAGAGAGCCATACAAAAGGCGGCTCAAAGTAAAAGTTTCCCTTTATACTAAAAATACACTCGCCTGATGCAGCCTGGCCTGATTCTTCTCCAGCTGTAGTGACGTTGAAGTTTAGAAAGCTAAACTCTACTAAATGCGCAAAGCTGACCGTACCATCCTTCTCAACAGGCAGTTTGGACCAAAGTAAATCGACTTCCGGTGATGTGAACTTGAGTTCGTATCTGAAATACCAAGCGATCACACGTTAACCCCATCACCCCTAAGAGCGACTGGCTCAGTCCCATTTTTCCTCACAGTATCGCCCTTGATTGGAATATAGAGGTCATGAGAATAAAGGAAATGATCACCAAGGTAAGAAGCTCCTGATAATCAAGAAATTTTCCAGGCTTGTCAGTGTCATAAGAAATGTACAGAGAACAGTGTGGAGAATATGAATGCTAATGTTCGGCTGGAAAGGGTTAAGAGATAAAGTGTCCGTGTGCCGAATAAACTTAACGAAGTATCAACTCATCCAAGCTGGCATGTCACATAGCACTTCCATAGTGAATAAAAAGAGATAAAAAAATCGACATAAATGAAGTCAATAATAAACTCAAAAATAGCCACACCGTTTTGCTGGCACAAAACCGAACAAACATAACTGGATTCTCTTCATATCGAACCATCAAGCATGTCGCTTATTTCCACCAAAGTAAGTAACCAAAAGAAGAAAAAGATTGAGGGCACATATGGTTAAAAACAGATCTATACTGACCCACTCAGTCCAAAAGTACATGGACAGTGAGGCCTTGTTCCTGGTGATTCTGTCTGGGTCGCAAAACCTTTAGCAAGCTTATATTACTTTCATGGCATGGCCGCTATTACCCCAGTTTTATTATTGTAAAAAAGTGTATCAAATTAAAAGGGAAACAATTAGTTACCTTTCAAACAATCTTAGAAACATTCCTTTGGATAAATATCCTTTCTTAAGTTGATCCATTCCCTGAAAAGTCTAAATGAAACAAAACAGGAAAAATATATAACTCACCCCACACTCAAAATCCAAGCCTCTTCCAGGAGTTCATTTAACAATCAAAAGGGTGCAACAGAAGCGCAAAGCGAACAAAGGGGGAGGTTTGAGTCATGTCACGTGAGAGAGACTCGACCCAAACCTCCTTTCCTTTTCCTCTGCGCTTCTATCGCGCCCCGTTTACACACAGAACGCCTAAGACAGGTTGCTGAAAATTGAAAAAAAAGAAAAAAAAACATACGTACCTTTTGTATTACTTGGAACTTCTCTGTAAGTATTTCCCGTACTAAGGAGAATAACTACAAGGATAATTTTATTTTTTAGCAACTAAACAAGTTTAACATTTCCATAATCTATCAATTTCTGTCAAAAGTCACGAGGTTTTTTAATATACATTGTATTGCCTGTCTGCAAAGTGCATTTCCAAAACTGCAAGTGATTCTCTTTCCCTCCAAAGACGTGAATAGCAATTCTCCAAACTGTCTGCTATACCTTGATTTAAAATTTTAGCTAGGAGAATTTAGTGGTAAATCAAACAATATACCAACCACGAGAACATGAACACGCGCCAACTTAACGTTTTTTCTATCTTATCTCCTTTGTGCAAGAAAGTTGAAATTGCAAGGACAATAGTCGTTTTGGTGGCCTCTGAAAGTGAAAGGGAAAAATTGGGAAAATTAAGAGAAAAAAGCCGCTTCTACGCGTCACAACTCCATAGTCTTCTAACAAACCTGAAGAACATTTCGGGGCTGTGATTCTTTCTTGGCTGTTTCCGTGTGTGATGCGCTCCTTTCCTGTGACTTTCTTGATAGCGGTCTTCTCGGTGAGTTAAAGTCCTTGGGTGAAGTGGTTGGTTTGACATTGACAGTTGAGGGGCTTGGTATTTTTACATTAATGGATACCTCTTTGTGTTGCCTGCATGAGACAAATAAAACAAAATTCTCTCTACGTACAAGAAAATTTGGCAACAAAACTAATCTAAGTGTCTAAGTTCTACAAAAAGAAGCGTTTTAAAAGTATTCAACAGTTATGGTAACGTCATTTCCGCCTGATAAATCTAACAGTGCTTGTGTCTGACAGGCCGTGAGACAAAGAAGTGCACCATGCTCGTACAAAGGAACTATGAGTTGAAACAATCTGACATCCAGTTTGCTTTTCAGCAACAATTAAAGGAAAAAAAACATACTGCACCTCGGTGAACTAAAGAGCTCAAGGAACCGGGCGTAAGGTATCAGGCTGTGATTCGTGTCTTCCAACAGCGGACGCAAAACTGACGTCAACTCATCTTCGGTAACCTTCATCTTGAATCGAGCTTCAAGCAATTCTTTAAACTGGTATCGCTTTATTACACCTAAGTTGTCTCTGTCAAGTTGTCTGCAAAGAATTCAATGATGTATGGAGTTAGGACCAATTAAATATATACAAATCAAATAAACGATCAATAAAACATTCTACAACACAGAATACACACGTCAAGTAAAGCAAAAATCCCTCAGGTGAGCTGTAATTTTAGCAATTACATGCAGGAAAGAAGCTTGAATTGTTCAAGCTTCGACGGGACTCGAACCCATGCCTCTCAAATACTAATTGGGCGCTATTACCAACTGAGCTACATGCACGAAGCCACAAGTTGAGAGTGATGCAAATTTTTAGGGGAATCTTTCCCAGCTCACCTGCAAGGGTCATTGCGTTATTTGATTTTCAATCTGCAGGTCAAAGGAAATTTAAATTTATCGCGCAAATTGTGATCAGAATGCACACAGTTGTGATAAGACCTTTTGATGAAGCAGTACAACAATTTAAAACAAGAAATAAACCCTCCTACAGATGAAATTCAGCTGTATACTCTACTCACTTGAAGGCGCCAAGCAATGCCAAGAAGTCTGCCTGTATAATATCCAGAAGTCGGGCTTCTGCGTCAAACGCAGTCGTACTACCAAGAGCTGAGTCTCTACTGCGATTAAACCTGCATTGCAATCAAACATAAAAGGCAAACTATCGTCGTAAAAAACATTGTATTCCGTTCTTTTTCATCGGATTGCTGCTGTAAATTTCCATTAATTTCCATCGTTATTCGAGGGGCTTCCACTAGAACGATCATTATAGTAATCAAGTCGTTTCAATTTAGAGCTAGTAGTGTTGTACTATGGAGGACGCCTTTTAGGGCCTTTTAAATTAAGCTTTTTCCGAGAGAGTCAAGACTCTGTCGCGTTGTTAACCCCGGAACAAAGATGTTGTAAAATAAGAATATGACTGAAATTTGAACTTGCTCAGAAGACGAAAAAGGAGTCATATCAATGTGGTGCTTGTGAGGCGTACTTCCACTAAAATATCAGGGACAGTGGGGTCACAGCTTCCCTCTTCGCGAACCACGCCCTTCCACCTCCCGTACTTTTGTGCCCCTTTTCCCAACTCTTGCCTTTCATTGTTGTATGGCTGATAAGCAGTACTAAACAACAAATGATTGCCTTTTCAATTTCTGCTCCCGCTTCCCGCCCTCTTCCGCACCCTATTCCCTCGGGCTTCCGCCCACTTCCGCCCCCTGTTCCCCTACAATAAAATCACATACATTCAGTAGTAAACCGTGCCAATTACCTGTGTTTAGGATCATCAAGCACAGCTTGCAGCTGCCCTTTCTCAGAGCGGTCTAAATATAAATCCATAAGTTTCTTGTAAGGAACCATGCTGTGTTCACGCATACCACACCTGAAGTAGGAAGCAGTTAACGCAAATCAATTTGATTAAAGAAATTCAGTCTTTTGGGGCGGCGCCAAGGTTTTTGTGAGCTCGGCGGACTTAGGAGTTAAAGAAGGACCGCTCGTTGCCACAGCTCTTTGAGGAAAGAGACAATATTTATCACTACTTACCTTTGGAGAAAATGTTCAGTTTCAACTGGCCCAAGCTGCAAGCGGTATTCAGACAAGGCTTTACGAAAATCTGCCTTGCTTATCTAACGCAACAGAATAAATTATCGTTAATAAGAGTTAGAGACCGTTACGAATGATCTTAAGATAACTACACGCACGGACTGACTATATATAGACGAGAAATTAAAAAAAACAAAAACAAAAAAAAACAAAAAACAAACAGTGCATGACGTAAAGTCTAGTGGAGAGGGAAGAATTTCATGTCCATTTCACTTTAAAGTTGACAGGTCGTTTTGCTCATCATTTGTCCTAAGGAAACTGAATTTCCAGGGTTTTCCAAATCTCACAAAGTTTAAGTATTATATATGACGTTTCTATGATATTACAACAACAACAACGTAAAGAAGCTAGGGATTAATTCACCGTACGGTACCTGTCCAGTATCTTCAGGATCATACTTCTTGAATGAATTAACTACTTGGGTGTAGCCTTCTTTAAACTGCAATATTCAGTTATACTTAATATCAGTTTTATTTTATTCTCATTATTTGTATCAAAATAACAACATTTCTGGCAAAGGTTGCCCTTTTACCACTGATTCATCCCGATTTTTCGTCCTCAAATTCATACCACTTCACCGAAGTTTACGTTTGACGTACAACATGGTCTCTTTTGTATAACAATAGCAAACAAAAAGGAGGGAGGAGCACATTTTGTGAAAACTTGCATCATGGTAATATTTTATGGTACATACAGGGTAATGTTTCACCTTAATTTTGAAACATAAAAACTAAGTAATGAAAACGTAACAGCTTGCCACATGACGGGCGAACGCATATTGTCAAATTGGTGGCCTGCGTTCGGCGGTCTGGCAAAATTTAATCCGAAAGACAGTTTATGTATGGAGGAGAAAAAAGGGATTGCACGAGATGAACTACAACTGCAGTAACTAAGGATTCATGATATGTAAAGTGGTACCATCAAAGGTGACTTTAGTGCAAAATGAACAAAAATATAACTCATTTTCATCTTACCTTTTCAGCAAACAATGTCAAAACACGATTCTGTCCTGCAGAAGTACTCTTTTCCTCCTGGGGTAAGTCTTTTCTAGCCTCTGCATGCGCAGAATGAAGTCTAACTTCTTCTTCATCATCATGTTCTTTTTCACTGGAGACCTTTTGCTCTTCTTCTTCTTTTTCAGGTTCAGTTGAGGGAAGTTGCTTCACCTTCTTGGGAAGCTCTATCGTGCAAATCATGAAAGACGGTCACTAACAGTTTTTTCGCCCTCTTTTTCTTTTTTTCAACTTCGCCTCAGTAGCAACGGTATGTACATCTACAGAAATATCATATTTTAAACTGCTTACCATAGAAGGGATTCACTCCAAGTGTTTTGAAGAAAACCACTGAATTCACTGCTCCAAGTCCTGTCTTGTCAAACCTGTGTCGAAAACATCAAATGTGAAATAAATATCAAATGAATGAAAATATTGAACAGAAGAAGCTGAGAGCAAAAGGAAATAAACGGCAAAAGTAAAGAAATAATATTTGCCTCCAATCACTCATTATTTCAACTTCCTCATTCAAGCCACAGTAAAAAGTATGTAGAACCTACTGACATTTACACAAATAATTGAACCACTGGCTGAGGAATAGCACTCACCTATCCCAAACTTTCTCAAATTCCTCCTCATACATCTGATAACCCAACACCTGTAGGGCAGTCCTTAACTGGGGCTTAAGTACCATGCCATCAGCATCAAAACAAGATGGGGGAAGTAATTTTGCATAAGGAAGAGTCCTGGAAAAGATGTTTGGTAGCTAATGTTCATAAAGGTATTCACTTTAATGCTTAAACTGATATGGCAGTAATAAATGAATCCAAGATATCCACATATTAATTTACCAACCCCCAGAGACAAGAAATCTGATTAAAAAAATAACTTGAAACCACCCGAGGGATGGAGCAATGACAAGAAAAGGAAACACTCCAGAAGACATATCTACCCCTTAGTATTAGAGAAGTAAAAGTGTAGTGACTTATACTCTACATGGATCTAAAAGACTAAGCCTGTTGTTTTTTTTTGTTCTTGTTGTTGTTGCTTCTTCTTTTTTTTGTTGTGAGCTAAACAATTGGGAGCAATTTTGATTCTTCTTTTAATAATTTGAAGAATTGATGTGCACTAAATGACTTTCAATCAGGTACCACTGGCTAGGCCACATTGTATAGCTGCACTAATTAATATGTCTACAAATAGCAGATTTAGTGTATGAATTTCATTTTCTTGGAGCCAGCCAGTAATCAATACTTTTAGTGATATGATTTTCTACTTTATGTGCAACTTTTGACAAATTACTTCCAACCCAAAAAGTCTACATGCCAAGTTCAAATTGAAATACGAAATAAATAAATTGGTTCTGAACCTGATATATTCACAAGGAGACTGTCTTACCCCTGTTGAACTCTTCTTTTAAGTTGAGGGAAAACTTCAAGAGCAGAAAATAATTTTGGTGGAGTTTTCTTCTGTCCTTGTTTGTGCACTGCATGCTTCTGTTCCAAAGCAATTTCTCTTTGTCGTTGACGTAATCTGTTAGCTGGGAGGTTTGCAAGGTAGTTGAAATGAGAAGGTGGTCTGAGCACTGGATCCACCCATTCCTTGGTGAGAGTCTGTAAAATAAGTAGAATGCAAATTTTACAAATATATATACAGTTCTGCAAAAAGATAAGTTGACAGTCCTACAAAACTCTGTCCCCAATTCTCGAAAACTTTGAGGATTGTGCTGGGCTAGAGTAGAGTTTTGTGACATTGAAATTTAATTTCAAGACGCTCGAAACTCATTTCATGTGTCTCAAGAGGAGGAAACAAAGGAATATTCCCACCCCTTGAAGCTTCTTACCTTTTTTCATATTCACAAGATAAAAATCCTCAAAGCATATATATATATATATATAATTATATGTTTAATTATAGTGTATCATATAAAACAACAAAATATTTGTTAGTACCAATAATTATTAAACATACAAAAATAAAAACAGAGGATACATGACATGGAGTCAAATTTTTGTCAGGTGGTCAGAGAGGCAATAAAGGGTAGTTAGTTCCCTATTTAAAAAAAAAAACAAAAAAAAAACAAGCAAGAACTAGCCAGGTCTTTGGCTCTACAATGCACTTCTAAACCCAGGGTCCAGCATGTGCATGCTGACACTAATTAAGCCACCATATCTCCCACTGTCATAAATAAGACCAACAGAATGATTGAAAAAGTTTACTTTAATTAACATTTTACAGTAAATCTTAGGAGGGAATCATACTTATCTCTTAACTGAAATGTTTTAAAGTTTTGTTTTTTTTACACTCTGGGTGTATGCTACATTAAAATGAGCTCACCTACTACCAATGTTCTACTAACCTCATTGTCCTGGAAATGGTGAACAAAATTTTCAAATGAGATTGTACTCTGTGTGTCCAGCCCAAGCCTGGAGAAAAATACACACTATAAGATTAATATGTAGTAAATATCATAAAATTCGTGGAAAGTCTGTCCATACGGTATTTACACACAAGTCAGTAGTATCAGAAATCCAACAGATTGCAGCCAACGAGTGAGAGTTCTGATACAAACAGATGAGTGCATAAATACCATACAGATGGACTTTATATGGAGTGTTATGTTTAATATATTAATATAAATTAAGAGATTAAATTATTTTCTTATGTCAATTTGGTTCAAGTAAAAGGCTCATAAATTTATTATGAAAGATGTAACCATATAAATTGCCTTGTCAATAGAAATGATGGAACCACTGCACCAACTGTACAATTTTTTTCAACATGATTATTTTCCTCAGTAATCTAATAAGTCACAAATCTATCCTCAGCCATCTTTTGTAAGAAATTTGACCACCCTGAGAGTGGATTTTTGTAATTTTCTGAATGATTCAAAAAGCAAAATAATCTGCCGGTGAAGGTTGACTGTCCAAGGATCACCTGGATATTGTTTACTCACAAAAAAACATGATACCCAGCTCCTGATTGAATATATTGCTTTCTTTACATACGAAAAATGTGATACATGTACTTGCCATTCGAGTGGCTTTTGCTTCAATGTACGGCTAGCTTGCCTATAAATATATTTCTCATCTTTTTAATGTGTAATTCTCAGTATGCATATGATAAAACCATTCATTATATCTCTTAAAAAGTGTAAAGCTATAATTGGTTAATTCATTATATAGCCCCCTAAATTCAAATGTTTGTTTAAATTCAGATCTTCCACCAGTATTTGGAGTTGGAGATTTAATAAATGTCTTCCTGACCTTGTTTCCTTGGTCCAAACTTTAAGTTTATGGACCTTATTTTTCCCCTCCTGATTTATGACCCACACCCTTATGCTTGGGCCACAAATCTGAATGGAAAAACCTATAGGTCCATAACTTTAATTACAAACTTCAAACTTAGTAAGTAAGCAGAGTAAGTAATCAGGTATGAGTGGAGGCAAATTCAATTTCTTTACCTTTGCCATTCGTTTCTTTTTCCTTCATTATTTTTTCATTTTTTTCAAATTTAATTTTACTTTAAATTTACAAAAACAAATTATTGTGCTCTTCAATGAAGTAAAGACAATCACCTCTTTAAGACACCACTGATTTGGTCAGATGTAAGATAGCCACATAAATGATACAAAATATTTGCAAGTGCTTCCCTGTAAAAATACAAAGTGTGAATTACAAATTAGGAAAACTGCAATATTTTATCTTAAAAGCCAACTTAAACGGTATCATTACGTGTAGCATCATTAAAAATCTAAATCAGTATGATGATAAGAATTTTCCCTTTTGTTATATCAAGAGACCAGCTTACTGTCTTTATGTATTGTTAAGTACATTGAGGAAAATCTATCAATCGTCTGTTACAGATGAAACCAAACAGTACCTGGATACATTGCCTTTGCCCATGGGATCATTAGAACGAAACAATTGACGAAGCCCACTTATTCTGGTCAGCAACTTTTCACGGATGAGATCTTCAAGCTAACAGAAGTAAAATTCATTGCAAATTGATAATGTTTATTTCATGATAAGAAAATTACACTCTAAATGTTAATAACGTTAATGTTTATAAATAATTCTACTTAAGAAAGATTATTGCCTGCCTTAAATCACTTTGTGGTCCTGATATTTCAGCAATATCCAATATTACTGGAGCAACACAAGCAGCATAACCCCACGATTTCTAGAAGAGCTGGCTCAGTTAAGTTGGTATTATGCAGGTCACCTAAACTTCCAAATTATCACCCCCTCCCCCCCCTCCACTTAAAAACACACATTCCTGTTCTGATAATTGTAAACCTAAGCGTGATTCTCTGAGGTTGATAATTAAACTTCATCCAAAGAATAACGGTTTTGAATTCAGGAATCAAAATAGTAAGGAAGTCAACTTGTTAAAATACTAACTTGCTACATTAAGCTATTTACACAGACATAAGATCTTCGCGGCCGTGCATGTACCTCTTCAGCTGAGAGCTTGTGTGAAGGTTTTTCCAATGCTGGACCACTGCTGTTTGGAGTCTTTCCTTTTCCTTGTCCTATAAAAATATCAAATACTGATTTTAGCTTCGACAATGACCAAAACTTTTAATTTAGGTTCAGAGTGACAGTAAGATTTTACATAATGTTAAGGTTTTCAAGTGTAGATTTAAGCTTGTAATTAAGAAGAAAAATGATTACGAGATGGCTCCTAGAAGTGTAAGTACATACTCCGCACTTCGATAGACAGTCTTTAATTGGAGGCATTTATCAGGCGTGATTTAGACACTTCGGCTAATGTTGTTGATTTACATTTAAGCCAGACATATAAAATAATTGGAATTCGAAGTAGAGGTTTAATTCTGATTTTCTCTTCTCGTTCGACCTACCTAGCGGCCATGTTAATACCCTGGAGTGGCCTTTTCTTCCTTGTTGGCTTGTTCGTCGCCTTAATGGTGGTAGAAAATCATTTCCTTCATCAACAATTGCAGTTGCTTCGCGGGAGTTTCCACGGATCTGCAAGAGGTCATTGTTTTCTTCTGACCGACGCAAGCCAGGATGCTCGATTACTGGCAAGGCAGGCAACTTTTTAGGTAAATCTTGTCTTGGAGAAGCAATCACATCGGCCATGCTCTAGAAAGTGGTATCATTTCCACTGTATAACTAGCATTTGATTAACTTTTAGGCTTCTGATAGATGCCTGGATAAAGGCTAAAAATGTAACATAAGATCAATTCCATGGTAACCGCTCGTTTAATCATATTCATCAGTGAAGCAAATGAACAATATATTTGCGATGAAGCAGGTCACGCAACAGGAACCAGCAATGAACCAGGTCACGCAGCAAGATAAGAAAGAGGGCCGTTCTACATTTTATATTCGAACGATTGAACGAAAAGTATTCTTCCAATTCTAATATATCCATTGAGGAGGACGTGAAATACCTTGACACCTCCCCATATGTCGATAATACCATCCATTTTTACTCGACGTAAAATGTAACAGCATACATTCTTCTGATTTTCACAAGTCACGGCAGAAGGTGGTTTTGACCCGCTCACCCTTGGACTGAGGATTACCTTGAGTCTAGAGTTTCCCCTGAGCCAGTTTAATTAAACATTTGCTCCACGTCTCTATGAGCTATACATCCTCGAGTTGTCCTGAAGTAAATCGCGCGTGAAAGTGTTTTATGCAGACAAGGAGACTGGAACAGAGCTTACCTCCGTGCATTATTTTCCGCATTGTTTAAATTCGCGTTGTTATTATCAAAATCTTCAATCAGCTTTTGGCTGACCTTATCGAAACATCGAATTCCCCATAGACCTGACAGGTTTTGCCACCCCTCTAATTTGACTGCACAGCTGTGTTTCGAGCAAAGCAAACGCTCTGTCCGTGATTTTGACCCATGAGTGAATTGTGCTGATGACTTTAGTCATCCTAGGTGAGAAGAAACTTCACGGCTCGAAGAAGACTTAAGATCACAAGAATCTTTGAGAGCTGCCAAGAGAGTCAGATCCCACGCAAATGCGAGCTGGCACACACATCACAAGAGTTAAGGATGGATATGGTTGTAAACTACGTTGTTGAATAACTATTGTCAGCAACCAAATAAAAGCATAGTCATTTACCTAACATCTTTACTTCTATTTTTAATTATTTTGGAGTACTAAATACTTTGATCGTTGCAGCGGAAAGTGTTCTGGGTGTGCAATTTGAAAAAAAAAAAAAAAGCCTCGAGCACATCATTCTACCCATACAAGAGGTCAATAACTCAAATTCAATGCTTTCTGTAACTCTACGAAATACAAAATAAAAACAAATGAAACAAAATTAAACAAATGAACACTATTCTATCAAATGATTATGACTGAAAGTTATATCAGCGATATCAGAATTGGGCAAAATCGGCTATGACAACAAAAATTTTGACCACTATTTTTAACAAACAGGACAATTTCTTCAAAGCGTTTTTAAAGGACTGTTTCAACACTTTTACTTTACATAAAACCTCTCCATCGTTTTCCTAGAAGTAATTAAAAACTTCATCCTGCGTGCGTACTTCATTCTCAAAAGGTAATCCATCATTAACTGGGGATTAACAGACTTGGATCGGTGGTAGAAATCACTTCGGCGTTCAGGAAGGAATTAAAAAGAAGAGAGAAATTCCACGACTCTGTGTCAAGAGCGATGTCTGACCACAGCCAAGTCTCTCATTGTTTTAGGCCTTAACAGAAGGTCCCTTCATATTATAGGCAGTCGTCTTTCTCACCAGGAAGGCTTTGCTGTGATTTTGTTAAAAAATCGTTACATTTTTTTTTTAAAAATCAAAGTAACCTTTCGTCCTCAACCATTAAAATATATTCTGTGCCTCTTCAGACAACACCACAATTTCATCATCAGAGTCATTCATTTGGACTTCGTTTGATTCACCTGCAACCTGAGCCCTGCCTGATCTGGAGGAAGCCCTATCCAAATCATTCATTCTTGTTTCATTGCTGCCTTCAGTACTTTCATTGTCTGAAGGAAGCACATGAATAGATTCGTCAGTGTCACAAGCAGTAAGATTAGAAGTCTGTAAAGGTGAGCTGGCTTTGCCTAGCCCACAGCCATCTAGTAAATGTACCATATGTCTACTGTGTGCCATGAGGAAGGGGTCTGTTTTTTCCACGTTTGGAGTCATCATGGCTTCGTTCTTGCCAGTGAGTATGTCTTTCACCTCTGCGGGTACATCAGGATATACAAGCAACTGGAGACAGATTTGCTCAGCTCTTACTAACACTTCTTGGACGTCTATATTGTAAGCCAGATCGTTTATGTACTGTTAAGATAAGGAACAGTCAACAATTTTAACCGACAGTCATGTATACAAAGCAAGCACTAAGGAATACATTTTGGAATAAAAAGTATGTAGACTCGAGTCACAAATTTTAGGATTAATTAAGAAAGGGCCACACACTCATACCACACATTCAACGGGTGGTTTCGCATTCCCCAGTGGCCTGATCGGTATATGAACGACAATAAATTCCCATATAATAAGATAAATCAGTATCTTTGCCCTTTGCTGTTGATGGCAATTTAGCACAACTTAGCTTCAAATCGAGTTGACAATTTCTTTGCCTAAGTAGTTCGTGTACCTTAAGGATTTCGGTGAATCCAAATCTATTCTCCATAATAATGTGACGGTGTTTATCCAAGATCGCCAAACAAACAATCAGGTGATAATTTGGCGACAATCTCTGTGACCACAACGTCTGAGGAGAAAAATAAACTCTGACTTTAATATTCGGACCGCGATCCGAACTAACAGGAAATGTGGCATAAGCTGGGATAAAAGATAGAGAAGAAAAAATGCTGTTAAAGGAGGGAAGCCATTTTGGTCTTCTCCTTGTAATTCTGAAGTCAAGGTAACTAAAGGTTAGTCTTTCAAACTAAGCCTGACCCACAGGATAGGAGAGTTTTGAAGTAGATTGGCTTGCAAATTTTTCCTTTAAGAACTCACCTCCCATAATGTCATAATATCTGGAAAGGAGAACTCGCGCTTAAAACAAATAAGAAGCCACCTGAAGCAGAAGTATAAATTACCAGAATCGTGCTCTTCTGTCGACGAAAAAGAGATCAAACGGTTTTTAGTGTTAACCTCTGAATAGACTGCAAAGTATCTTACAATGTAATCTTCCAGAGAACAAACTATATCTCGGTCACATTGCACTCCCCGTGCATTTTCTTAAAAGAAAATTCGTTTCCTGTTCCATTCAGAGACATCTGCTTGCTCAGGAGCGCAACTTCTCTAAAGGGCCTTGGAAAGATTACCATCAGACCAAACTTGACCGACCCGATCAGAGCGGCAAATCGCAACAAAGGTTAATTTTCAAGGAACCCATGTAAACTGAAAAACATACGTTTATTAACTGGCCAATAACGTGGGAAATGCAGGCAGCCAAATTGTCATTGGTTTTAGCTTTTGATTTAATTGATTAAATAGCTGTTGCAAGGAGAAAAATCAAATACTAGGATCAAACTGACGTAAAGCCAATGTAATCCCAGGTTTCCGGCCACACTGAACTGAAAACTTCCCTGACAACGTGCTTGATTTTAAGGGTAAAGTATCAAAGATGGGGTGGCCGAAAAGGAATGTTGCGCCCGGGAAAGCAGGTGTTGGTCGGAAAAAGAAAAGAATAAAAACTGAGCGAGACTTTGAGTGTCAACGAACTTTGTACTGCTAACCCAAGAATTTAGTCGTAGTAAAAAGACTGCATGTTTTCTGTAATACCATCGATGATATACGAGGTAAATGGTCATGCATTCGAATCAGCTGCAACAAAAATTGACAGGGAAACAAAAACACCGTAAGAGTGAATTACCAAGATACTTGTAGAAATGAGGATCAACGAACTTGAGTAGCACAGCCAGCTGATGAAGTTGTGCTTTCATTCCTTCTTGGTTCTCTTCAAAATTATGAGCCTATAAAGAAGTCGCAAACACAAGAAGTCAAAAATTTATATTGAAATGATCAGGGCTGTGCTTTAACCATAAAATGTCATTTGCGAAAGCTATCCTTAGAGGGAAAAACTCCTTCGGAGCTTAGTTGAATAACATCTTGCGATGAAGAAAAAAAAAAATTTCGTAAATTAATATTCATTTCACTTTAAAATTTTGGACCGTAACACTTAAAACGTTATTGCTTATTACATTTGTAATGGACCGCCGAAAACTGGTCACGGAGTTGGCGACTTTGAATGAAACTTTAGTCGCCAATATTGTTTTACTTGGTGACCCCAAAGATCAGTTGCTAAGAGATTTTCTATTACTACTGGACAACTTTGATTCATCAAGGTCCAGAGCTACTTAAAAACTATTCCCTTATTTTGTGCATTCATTGACAAAGGTCCTGTACATTCAAAGATCACTTCCATGTGATATGCTCTCATCTGTGATTCTTAAACGTACTGGATCAGTCAAAAGTAAAAATTTTTGTTTTGGACATTTTCCATGTGTTCTACTTCTTGAAGAAATCGAACGGTTTTCACTTTTTATGACTACAGTCCCATTTGTTTTTTAATCACGAAAAATTTTGTTTCTGTTTCTTCACATGTCAAGATAAGATTAGTATTTGGCATTGTTCCTGTTAATTTTTCATAGTCACCAAAACACCCTATGTCGTCGTTATGTTGACCGGCACAGTCGTAACTTGGAGCGCTGGGCCACAAGGATTAGCACCTACCACTTTTTCCATGAAGCCCACGAAACACCAAAAAGCTTCAACTTCATCTTCCATCAGAAATAATATTGGAGAAAGGAGGTCACTCATGCCTTGTACGTAACCTGGAAAGTAAAGGATGCATTCAAGGCTTAGTAAAGAAATTTCCCCATCTTCAGATTGTGGAACAGGCAACAAAAATATCTGCTACTTCCTGTTCTTTACTTCCTAGCGCATAAAAATAGCGAGCCGTTTGCAGTAGAAACAATCCAAAGAAGTGAGCACAAAGGTTGGGGAGAATAGATTCCCATTTATTCATTAAATTAAAACAACTTATTTCTTCTGCAGATACACAGTTTTTGTCATGCATTTCTTTTGAAGAACTTCGTCATGTTCTTTGGAAAAGGGAGAGACTTTCAAACAAAAGAGAAGATACATATATAACGTTACGAGCTGGTGAAATGTTGAACTTACCAAGATCAAAGTTGTACATGCAGTAAGTGAGAAGAATGTCATAGAGTTTCTTCACATTGGAATGGTTGGCCTCAGAGTAGAAGCAATGTGTTCTGTCTGTCCGTGAAACATCCTTATCTGTAAAAGAACTAACAAGCTGTAATAATCGTTCCCTTTTATGACTTAACAGCCCTAGACTGATTTCATTCCCTACTGAAGCAACACATCCCAAATAGTAATAGCTACACATATTCACAGGACAGCTAACGCATTCCAGAACTCTCACCAAGAGCTTTAAAACAATTTAAAACCTCTCATTGCTAGTCCAGGCGCCCTATAGGAGACTCATTTATGTATGTTACATGTAGGTTTTAATACAAACCAAAACAATCTGAAAAGCCTGGCTTTTTATGTCAGTCAGGTAAATGTCTGAAACAGAGAACTCTCTTCAATTGACAACATACTCATTTTTAGTACATGCACTAAGACAGAATGAGGAGTAAAAGATGTTTGCTTCATCAGTGTCCTTCTGTAGCAAGTAAATGCTTGCAACATGAACTAAAAAATTTAGATGTTGAAGGGTTCCCATTACATTTTGTACTTCCTTACCTACAAGATGCTTTCTTTCTCTAAATTCAGAAAAGTTATTTTCTTGTGTTTTGGTCATGGACTGCCACTGCCACCTCATAGTTTTATATTCTTCCCTTGAGAACAACAAAAAGCAAAAAACAATGAAATTGGCCCAAAGAAGGTAGGAAAATAGTAGGAAAATTTGTTGGTATTTGGCCACCAGATACCAAACTCAATTTGGTTGTTCTGAAGCTACATACACATGTTCAAGTTGAAGATCGGCTGCATACATATACCTTCCCAGTACGAAAAAAAGTTATGAAAGTTCCATACACCAACTAAGTATTAACATCATGAAGTTTATCTGAAGAGGCTTCCACTTACTCCTTCCCTCTAAAGAGGTTTTGCTGTGACTGTGCAGTGTAACCATACTTCTTGTACCCCAACAGATACTGCCAGACTGTTTTACGAATTAACTCATCAATACCCTGAAAGATGCAATTTCCACAAGGAAGGAGGGTTCTTTAATATCATCTTTCTCTTAAATATTGCATATAATTTTGCAGCAAGCATGTTTGTATATAAGGTGGTTTTGCTGTTATCAGTATGGTCATAAATTTTTAACTTTTTAAAAGACTGCATTCTTTTTCTAACACATACCCCATGGAATATCCTGTCTTTAAGCTTCTTGACATCAGTGACTCGCCCTACATCATCCAGGAATGACTGCCATTCATTAAGCCTCATTGGTTCTCCTCGTGACACCTCTGGAACCTCACCAAGATCTCGCTGCATATTGTTCATGTGGAAAAAACATTATTTACTTCTCTCCACACAAAAAAGGTACAAATTAATTTCTCATTCAAAAATGCTTTTCCTTCATGTATATGCAAAAGTATTTTGAATATTCCAAATGTTTATTAGATTGCAAGCTGCAATGTTGTACCAACACTTTAACACTGTGCTACAGGGATCTCTGTGGTGAGCTCATGTCATTACTAAGTTCACATTAATGGTAGCAATGAATTTTTAAAAGGCCAAATCTGAAAAAAATTATTGAACCTTTCCTGGCACAGATGTCTCATCAGAGTGGTTGGCATCATCCCCAAGATCTTCAAACTCAGGTTCCTTCTTTAGACCATTCTCCTGTTCTTCTTCCTGAGTGCCTTCCACTCCTTCCTGATAGCCTGCATAAACATCTCTCACATAACGTGTCACTTTGGACAAAGCATCCATGCCATCATAATATGCACTGTGGAGTAACTTATGCCACTGAAAAAGCAGTTGAAAATAATGACTTCTTACTAAACAACACACACATTTACCGCCAATCTAATCAAAACAATTAATCTATAAAAAAAATTCTAGACCAAGACTGGTTTTCAGCAACCTAATCTAAGCAGTACCAGTGATGGGTTAGTTGTTGACTCATGCCTGCATAAATGGAAATTGCAACGGGACAGTTTAAATGCCACCTATACAGACTAATGAAGTTATTTTCTCATAGGAAACAGTCAACTGATATGTGTCATCTGAGAACATGTTTAAGGGATAGAAAATTTGTCTCTTAAATTTTGGATGGTTCAGATATTACTTGGTAACAGACTTTGCATCATCTGATTTCACTACCTTTATTGTGCTACTAGCCAAGGAAAAATGAGGGCATTTGAGATGGATGAGGACAGGGAGGATTAAGTGTTTCAAGTGAGATCAGACTTCAGGGCCTCTGCAGCACCAGTTTTAAACCCTGTGCTAAATGAATCAAATATTTGTGACTTCTTCACTTAACCCTTTAACTCCCAAGTTCTCATTAGTAATTCTCCTTACTGTCTGCCAAATAGTTCTTGTGATGCTAGTTTGGAGAATTTGGTATTGGATCAACTAATGATCTTCTTATTAAGATTTTTCTTAAATTACTTAATCTCTTAAATCAAACGACTTGATAAGTTAAATCAGCCAAGTGGGGGCATGTCTATCTTAGGATCAATTTCAGTATCTGAACTGCCCACCTTCCTCTTCCCTAACCCAACATAACCCTAACTTGTTATCAGTTGACTGTTGTTAGGTTGGGGGTGGGTACCCAGTTTATCAGATACTGACATTGATCTATTTATTCTACTATGAATACAACTAAGGATTTGTAAGTAGGAGAAACAGGAAACAATGAGTGTATAGTTGGAGAGGGACATCTACATGTACAGCTCAAACGTCAGGTCCACAGATATCAATATTTAAGATTATTTTAAATTCTTCTAAATTTGCAGTTTTCTGTAGTTTTAATGACCAATGTCAGTAAAAAAAAGCCTTACTGGTACTCGATGGGGTAGATTATCCTTTGGGAATAACTCAAGATGATCAAGAGATTTCATTAGTGCATTGTGATCCTCTGTCACAACAAATAACTTGTGATTGTGTGGAGATCTGAAGTCATAAAGGCAAAGAGAAAAGCAAGATTTATAATGCACAGATATAAAAGGACTATCTCACATAACATAAGGCAATCCAACCTCTACATGGCATGCAATTAATTTTTTTTTTTCTGATAGCCACTTGGCTCCAAAATTTTCAAAGTGGCAGCCAATTAAAAAAATTGGTCGCCATTTTTAAAGACAAAGAAAAACCTTTTTTTACACTGTCAGTGTCGTAGATAGACCCTCTAAAATTAAGTTCTGCATGGTTCTTCAAAGTGGACACTAGGATGGATGATGTGCAACATTCAGGCTCACCTAAATCCAAGATGGCGTCTAGTCATCAATCAAGATGTATATGCTGCATTTTGGAAACAAACTTAACAAGGAAGTTTGCTGTGGATTTATCGTTGCAAATCTTTTTAATTCACTATATCTCTAGGTATGGTTATGATGAAGCATTCTAGTTGCCAATTTAGTGGCTAGTTCTCAGGATTTAGTCGCCACAGCAAAAAATTTAGTTGCATTGGCGCCTGTATTAGGCACAATTTCACGCCCTGATTCTAACAAACAAATCGACAGGGTTAATGTAAAAAAATTATGGTTGGGAAAAAAAGTTAAGTTGAAAGATTAAAGGAAGAAAAAAACAAAATACTTGAAAGAGCCTAATAACAGGTCATAGCAGATGTACCTACCTTGTAATCCATACATATCTCTGTAGGTGACGGATCATTTCACTTATACCCCCAGAGTGAAAATGGAGTGCTGGTTGAGTGGTGCCATTTTTTAACATAAATACAGCATAAGACCAGGCCAACTTTGGGTCAGAACGTCTGATAGAGTGCAACTCTGAGACATTGAAGTGAATGGCATACATGGATATCCTCTTTCTCTTCTGGACACTTCCATCTGTTTACAATGCCCACGAACAACCAAAAATAACATCAAAAAGTCATTTAGAGAACACTTTTAATGCTTTCACTGCCTGCATGACATACTGAGTATGCAATGCAATTTGCATATTGTGGGCCTACACACTCAGTATTTTGAAAGTTAGAGAGTACCACTCAAATCTCTGGCACTGGAGATGTAAAACAAACTGACCTCTAAAACTCAAAACAAGTTAAGATTTTGAAAAATTAAGAATAAATCCATCTGTGTTGGTACAAGACTTCTCAGTGGAGTTGGTGGTTAAAGACCTACCATTGGCCAGTATGTATTGCGAGCTTCTGTTTTTGTTATAGTTTTCACAAGAGCAAAGCTTCTATTATTTTCCCAAAGCTTTTGGAATAATCAACATCAAGTTAATGGTCACCAATTGTCAATGCTATGCCTGATGCATACTGGTTAAAAATAGGTCTTTAAAAGGTGAACTGATTGGGAATATTGTAGATCCACAACTCAAGTAATTGATGCATGACTATACTTTGATTTATTAAATACAACAAGTCAATCAAAACATGTTTACCACAAATGCCAGTTTCACATTTTATTTCTTATAAAAGTTTACCAACCCCTAAGCAAGTAATTCCAATGCAAAGGAGTTGTAGATTATAGGTACATCATGCAAGACAATGATTAACAAATGAATGTATACAGTCTCCTCAAAGTTGTTTAACAGTCCTAGACCCTTCCGAGGTGCAAAGTTCCTTTGACTGCTCTAAAATTCAAGTGTTTACAAACACCAATTTTGAAATTCACATGGGCCGAACTACAATCATGTAGATGTGCTTTGTGGTTTCTAACATCAACTATCAGAGAACATAACTTGAAAAACACTTTTTTGTAATAATTAATCAAATAACTATGCTTGTAATTTATACAGGTATCATAAATTACCTTCCTGTTTACTTTGAGTGACAAGATCCCATTCAGAATAGTCACTTGTTTCTAGCTCAAATTCTTCTTCTTCATTCACTGCAGGTGACCAATCTATAAATGTGCTGTTTTGCTGTCAAAAATAATTAAAGAAATTATATAACTACATTGTATTGAATATTTTTTTTTTTTTTTTAAAGGGCATGGTAACAAATCCTGCAATCTGATTGGTTCTTTACCCAGTCAGTATTTTCCTATCTCTGCCCATGGGCCACAGTAACGCTTTCATGAGTTGCCAAGTACATCCCAACTTTCGTTACCATTTTTTATAAATATATCTCAAATTTCCGGCTGTGCAGTATTTACAAGCAACCACTTCAGCCACTATCTCAAGCTGATAAATAACTTATGAATCCTCTCTTTTCTCTCTCTCAAATCACTTTGGTTGACAGAAAAATATTCCTCTGCAATTAATTTTAATTGTTCACAAAAAATACCCAGAAAGTTAAAACGTGAGGTATTTGGTTACTGAACGATGGAACTTTCATTCATTTAAAATCTGAATTTTCTCAAACAATTTGTTTGTAGTGAAAGAGCAAGAGAAGTTTTAATTTCAGTTCTGCAACAAATATACGCTCCTGGTGAGTCTTTCCAAGTCCGTTCAATTTTGACATTTGTACTGTAAATTGCACTACAGAAACTGAAGGAATTTATTGAGAAAAGGCTGCATTAAATCCCCTTGTGTCTCGTTGGAGTGTGCCATTCGAATTTAGTTTTGTGGACGAAAGACCAGATTTACAAACGCCATTGCAGCAAACAAACGAGCAAACTCTCACAACTTCAAATTAAAAAATTTGAATTTACTCAAAATTACTTTCCTCGCCGTTTCCTTAATAAACAGAGGTAAATCTTTGAACATGAATGAATCATCAATCAGAGCGAATAATGCTTTCCATTACATCATTGACTGTTTTTGAAGAAAACATTGTCGTAACAGTCCTTGCCAAACTAGTTCCATTGTTTTTTAAATCTTCTTACGCTTTTTTTTCTTACACGCTCTCTAATTGACAGGTGTCAGATTGTGACAGATACTTGTAAAAATAGTTTCAAAGTTTGTTAAGAAGCCTTTTAAATCACCTTTATTGTTGCTGAAATGAAAATGTTTCCGTGAGGCATCTCTCTTTAATTTGCATCACCTCTATTTCAACCAGGTGCTCGCTCAAAAATAGTTCAGTTTATGGAAGATCTTGCCATATTTACAGCCCTAAATCATTCGGGTTCTTTCGGAAAGAATCTCGTCAAGTTTAAAAAAGATAAATATGTTATTCACCAGCTAAGGGTCGGTCCGTATAGTGAAAAACTGTGACCGAGGTCACAGTTTTTCACCATATGGACCTCCCAGCCAGCAAATAACATATATATATATCATATGCAATACTTATTGAGTAACTAAATTGACCCTGAGAACCATATTTTAGCCAGGTCACATAGTTTGTTTTTTTTCCACAAATTGTGGGATGGCATTAACATTCCTTGCTCCATGGCAGCTTGAATGATTCATCCAATAAAAAGGGGCTTGCAACTTAAGGTCAATTCACGGGTGGAGATCAGGAAACAGTTTCATAATAAAACTATTGGAAAATAGACAACTGCAACTAAAAGTCTCCTAAGTCTTGTACAATTATAATTAGAGTGATATGGGGATTGGAGGTAAAGATGATTTATAGAACGAATTTTTAGAATAGACCCCTATAAAAATCCGTTGATACGACAGGTTGGCAACAAAAAAATACAATGACAACTTTATGACTGATACTGTAAGAGGTTACAAGACAGTTTAATTGAGGAAACATCGACATCAGGCAACGGGAAATACTTTAATTTTTTTGAAATGAGTCCCCATAAAATATATCAAGGTACCATAGTAGTAAAGACTACGTGAGAGCGAATCTTCACCTACTTTTTCGATAATTGTGACAATTCCGGGAATAATGTTGGCACCCTGTGTAGCAGTTAATACAGCAGTGTGCACGAACACGCCATCTTGGCTAAACACCACCTGAAGACAGTAAGTCAACAGATGAAAATTAATGCGATCAATCAATGGTGGAAAATAAACTTTACGAACCAAAATCATAAAAAAGTTCTTACGTACACCTGCTAATTTTGATATTTGACCATAATTAAACTAACCTTTCCTTGGACATCGGCCGTCTGCACAGAAGAGTCCTCGCATGTCGCAGTAGAATTCGCCGCCGCCATTATTTGTATCGAAACTTGATTGAGAAAGTTTACATCATCGGTAAAGGTTAAAAATGTCCAGACTACTTATAATAAATTGAAAGAGCAAGAAAGAGCACGTCACAGTACGTAATATTTATATATATTTATGATGACTCCGTTTACACTTCAACCCACGTAGCAAACGCGAAAAGCAGGATAGTATGTCATGTAAGCTACCATAACATTTACATAACGCAAAAAAATTAATATCTAGTGCCCAGTGTCCTTGAGTGCAAATAAATAAACGGTGTTTATAAGTATAGTTGATCACATGATTTCGAGTACACTATGGAGTAAATAAGCACGAGTCAATTTTTTTTTTTTTTTTTTTTTTTTAGTGCAAATAAATAAACGGTGTTTATAAGTATAGTTGATCACATGATTTCGAGTACACTATGGAGTAAATAAGCACGAGTCAATTTTTTTCAAATACTAACAAAATTTACAAGTACTTATTTATTCCAAATTGCACGAGAGGAATCATGTGATTACGTATTAATAATATACATGAAAAAATACGAGAGAGCTTATCGTAATTATGCAGAAGCAAAGCGCGTGCATTAAGTGCTAAAATCTTTTATTCAAAGTCTGCGAGCTAGTAACGTTGTGCTTTCGGTCAAAACAACCGCGCACGCTCAAAAAAAATAATATACAAAGATATTTTCACATCTTTAAGGCGAAAAAAGGTTCAAAGTCCGGCTAAACAGTTCAAGGAATTGTTCAGTCTGGTTTGTTACTTCTTTGCACTGAATTAACCCTCCTCTGCATTGAATTACCCGAAAACTGCAGCATTTATCTAAATCAATTAGAACTGAGTAATTTTTTCATGTATCTTATCAACGCTAATAAGTCAATTTTTAACTGACAAGGCTGCATTTGTATCAAAAGCTTAATCAACGAGTACTAATGATTTGTTTCAATGAAAACGAAGTTCCATAAAAAAAGCAATTGTGACAGTTTCTTTTAATAGTTGGTATAGTCTTTAAAAAGAATGCTAATTACCCCACGTGAATTCACAACAGATATAGAAGAGAAAGTGAACTATACATGTCGCCCTTTATCATCCTTTTTTTTTTCCGAGAAGGAATTGAACAAAGTCAAGGATGAACACGCCAAGCCCTTCAGTGAAAGATTTAGACAGAGACCTGAGAACGAGTGAAAAATGTGAACTATTTGTGTTACATATATGAAGGATCATTTGATGTATTTCAGGAGCGTTGCGGATGACATTTGTGGTCTTGTCCTTCAACATGGATTCTTCGATCACCAGTTTTAGTACATAGCTACGGCCATTAGAGTTGATTTGCCCAAATTCTTAAAGCCATGGATATTATACAGAGTAAACTCGTGAAGGTTTGTGAAAATAACATTTGAGTAAACAAACAAACTTAATAGGTTTTTGCACGTACCTAGTAGCAGAAATTTTTCCTTGTCAGCTGACTGTAATATCATTGTATCAATTTGCTTCACAAATGAAAAAATATCTTTCGATCATTTCTAAAAGATGTTTGAAAATATTAAGAAGTGTTTGAAAAGGAGATTAATCCGTGAGAATGTACGTAAGTGGAAATTGGTGACAGCCGTATATGTTGCATTGAAAGTCTGTTTGGTATTAATAAAATGCAATTATCACGTTGGCTAGCTTATTAATGCTGAGTTCGAGGTCTGTTGTGAAACTTAACTTATCAAATAAAAACCCTATTGTTTCATTTATTGCAACCTCAAATTTAGAGCCGAGTGGTAGCCACCTAAAATTATGAATACGTTCTACATCAGATTTCGTAATATTAATTTAATTATAATTAGCTAGAGCATCGGTATAAACCAGTCATTTTCAGCCACAAATCGTGTCAAAATCATACAGTCTTTTCAATTTTGATAAATTGTTTGTGAAACAAATTTGGGAGAACAAAATCTACGAAAGCAAGAATAAAGATAACAAGCAAATGTATGGCAAACCAACAGTATGGTCTGAATGCATTTTGAATTTGTAAAGTGCTACTTGACTCAATGCAATCATGCCACAGAAGATGGAAGTAGTTTTGTTTGTTTGAGTTTGTAATTTTATTCTGAAACCTTTCTGATTAATAACAAACCAATTTTCACACTTTTTATTTTTTTCTCCTGCTATGCAATTTCATTGACATGCTTGTCTCTCCCATCTGAGGAATCTCCCATCTCCTGCTATCTACCTCAATGTTCCCCTCCACTAGAATTTTTATGATGTGTTGAAAGGGACTACCGTAGCTAAAAGTAATCAAGAAAACTTACACCTGTTAGGTGTGAAATTTAACTCAGAAAGTTTGCCTACTCTGTTTTTTCGTAATGAAACATTTTGGGTATTATTATATTTTTTTGCAGTATAAACATGCAAATCTTTGTCATCATGATGTTATGAGAGCACTGCATCAGTACCCTACCTTACGAGCAGATCTGCAAAACTTTAGTAAGTGAGCCTTTCAATTTTGAAAGCAGTTTTTAACTGTTGGAGACAGGTGTTTTGAAAAGAATTTTCTGTGTATGTGTAATGATGAACTTTTCCTGAATATTTTTGGATTTAATAAGGTTAAAAAGCAAGTTTCTAGTTTGTTAATTAAATTAACAATTGGTTCATACATCAGTGTGCGTTTATCAAGATATGAAGCATGCGGGAAGTTTGGAGAGCACGAAAGATGTGTAAGAGTTGCTTGAGGCATTGCTGAGGGCAACTCTAGCTTCTTGAGTGCTCTCCAAACTTCCCGCGTGCTTCATATCTTGATGAACGCACAGCTGATGTATGAACCAATTGTTTTATAACATTTTCAACCCGATGGAAAATTTTTTTCTCTAGAGATTTGTTTGCTTACGTCATGAGTGTGCACAGTAGGAATATGAAGCACGCTCACGCAATTGAATTTGATTAGACAAATTTACTAGCTATGTTATAAAATGAAATGCACAAGTACATAAACAATCCATGATACATTGTATTAATAAGCAATTTCAGTATTTCATCTAGAGAGGAATCTTGAACAAAAAATATAATTATTTATATTCTTAGCAGGTGATAATTGAGACATGGTATGATACTACTCTGATATAAAGATTTAATGAATTTAACTGAGAAGTCACAATTCATAGACATAGGCATGTCTGATTGTCCACATTGTTGCCATGTGAACTTTAATATGTCTTAAGTGATGAGTGATTCAATTTATAACTCAAGTTGTAATGTTCAGGTTTAGTTTCCAGTACTCAATCATAAGTTTCATATTTTTCTGTGATAAAACTTACAAAAATTAGAAAGGGAGACAAAAAGGTATCTGTTAAGATAATTATTGGATGAATTGATCCCACAGCACATAATGATGGGAGAGAAGCTCAATTACTTGCCCTGGATGGAACACTTCCTGTAATGATCAGAGGTGAGACTTGCTGCTGCATGTTCAACTGATACAGAGACTTATATAAATATATAAATAAGTATTAAACTTAATTGAGAGATATAAAGCAGTTAATGTATTTGAGCGATATTCTCTTTATTTTTGTAATTAAATATATATTTTACAACCTTTAGACTAGATAAAAGTGTTTACATGAGGTGATAAAAACTACATGTAGGAAAGAAGTCAAAGTGTACTCACTTGAGATGTGGACTAAAACATTTTAACCAAGCACTGCAAGTCTTCTTCACTTATTGAGATTAACTGGTTATAAGTCGTTGTTACCTTGCATGATTGGTGCATTTCACATGTGTATTCTTTCAGAGGTCAGCTAATATTGGCTGGGTTCCCCTGTTGTTGTGTTTCTTAATCAATTGGCCATCATGCTGATGTTTATTCCAGTATCATTTTTGATGTTGTCAGGAGGAAGTGAGACCAACAATAATACTCCATCTCTAGTGTATTCATAGGGACGCATGACTGTGATGCTTTCTTTTGTATGGTACTGATTAAAATGTTCCTCCACAGCTGCATAGTGTGCAATTGTATTGCCAATTGTTATATGAAGAAAGTTGCTAATTATAGGGTTTTAAAAAGAAATGGATGAATTTACTGGTTAATTATTACAACTATGAGTTGCTTCCTCATTAACTGTTGAAAGCTCTCAGTTAGGGTTAAGAAATGTACAAATTAGTTGCCCAAGTGTATGAACCACTTTTTGTTCCAGGTGTCACATACAACATTCCAGTCTGTGTCTGGCTGCAGGAGAACCATCCATATGTTCCCCCACTTGTGTATGTCAAACCAACAAACACAATGGCTATCAAACCATCTCAATTTGTGGATTCCAATGGAAAAGTTTACCATCCTTTTCTGCATGAGTGGACTTATGTATGTTCATTAGCATCAACTTTCATCATTTCTCTCTATAACTTATGGATTAACCCTGTGATTCCCAGGAGTGACCAACACTGAATTTCTCCTTAAAAGATCAATACTACATATGAAACAGACAGTGATGAGAATAAAGAAAAGTATCAATTGGGGAATTATTTGTTGATCCAATATTACTTCCTGCAAACTGACATTATAAGAATTGTTTGTAAAAATAATAGTAAGGAGAGTTATCAATGAGATCAGGAAATGATCAGGTTAGACTGCTGAAAATGCATGTTGCTTTTCAAGGATCATACATGATGATAGGCTTGTTTTTTTTTCTCAGGAATGATAATGACATGTAAGCATCTAACAGTAAGTTTTCTTCTCTTTCAGCCCAAATCTGATCTTGCTGCCTTGCTTCAGATTCTCTGTGGTATTTTTGCACAGCAGTCACCAGTTTATTCAAAAAGTGCACCAACACCACCACAACCTAGTAGTTACAATATGCCACAACAGCCAAGCTACCTCCCTCAGTATGGTGGTTACTCCCCCAATCCGGGGGCCATGCCACCATACCCTGTTGGAGTATCTACAGGAATGCCAATGCCACAACCTGGGCCAGTCCCAGGCAAGTTTACACCGGGAGTTATGATAAAAATGTTATTTACTTATTTCATATTTAGTACTACATGATTACTGTTTCAAATGAATTACATATGTCAATGATCATCTGTGAAAATATTCTGCATCATCCCTTGATCTTTATGGAGGAAGATTAAAACACTTCTCACTGTTATTCAACCTTAAATACAGAAGACTCAGTACTGAAAGTAGAAGGCAGGACTCACACAACAAGAAAATGGTGTCCAGAAAACCTATCCTGTCAATTGTATAGAATCAGTCATCTGAATGCAATTTAATACCACCTGAGTTTTATCAAATGGCTAACGGACAGCTCAGATAGACATATGAATGGAGTGACTGAGCTCAGCTCAGCAATTATTCATTTACTGAATGACTGACTGGTCAACAGAATACATGAAGCTACTCATACAGGAAACATTGTTTTTTTTTCTTTGGTGATTAGTTTCATTTGTCTTTGTTGTTTAGGAAGCAGCCCAGGTAGACCAAGTGGTGGCAGACCTCCATATCCCCCTTATCCTCCAGGAGGTGGGTCCAATATGGGACCATCTAATCCCCCATACCCTGTGCAAAATCATGCAAGCTATCCCCCTAGTACACAACCATCTTATTCTGGTCCAGCTGCCAGTATTCCACATGTCACTCAGGCTAATTTGGACACAACTAACAGCACAACTGCAGTGAGCAGCACTTTGAAGGATGAAGAAATTAAGCTATCACTACGGTCTGCAGTGGAAGACAAAATAAGAAGAAGTACAAAGGCATTGTTCCAGCAAGCACAGGTATACATCATCAGATTTGAACTCACTGTAGACTGCTAATCAACATCAGGACCAAAAAGCTTTGGAGACAATTTTACTCTGTTGTTGACTTATGTTACATTTCAGTTCATATGCATTGCAATCAGTTAGCCCACCTGTTGAGGACCACCTCAACGTGCAAGTTTGTTTGGTAGAAAGTGTGTATTTATAAGACTACATTATTGGACCACAAGGAATCTTAACACGATACAAATGCACTCATTAAAACCAGATCCTGGATAGGACAGGAATGTCCTCTATTCAGCTATAGCTTTTTAACCTTTAACTCCCAAGATCTGATTGTCAATTCTCCCCTCCAGCTGCTACATATTTCCTTGTAAATTAGTTTTGAGAATTTGTTGTAAGATCAAGGCAACAAATTCTAACTGGTAAGTGTGAGTATTCTCATTAACTTTTTGCTGAAAAATGTACAGATAGTGAATGAAGAAGTCACCTGTCAATCTCTTCTGAGAGCTAAAGGGTTAACAGGTAGTACGGAAAAATTTGTCACCTATTTTCGGTTCACTTTTTTTTTGACAGATTGAATTAGATGAGTTGAACAGAACCCAGAATGAGTTAAAACGGGGAAGTGAAAAACTACAAGATATTTTACAGAAACTGGAAAGAGAACAGGTAACAGCTAGAAATATGTTAAAACTTTGTGGGGAGTAAATTCACTTTCCTTCTCTCTCTATTAGTTCAATAAGCCCATTTTCAGTCGCTTTCGAGAGATTACTTCGAGGAATAATTATGACAACTACCGGCATATACAGAGAGTATATGCATCAAGAATTGACTTCGTTATTGAAATGTGCAGAAAGGGACAATCTCTCAATTTGATTAAATCTTTGATTAAAAGTGTCTAATCAAATTTCTTAAGTAATCATCCGGTGAAACTGAGAAATTAACGGATTGAGTTGTGGCTTATTTGCCATATCACGCAAGGCAAGGCATATCGCTCCTCTTGCTCTGTGGATGTATAAAAGTCCACTGACATGCTGAAGCTGCGTACAAGGCTGGCACATGGCAATGTGAAAAAGGTAGAAATTGTCTTGCTCCAGAATTCAGCGCAGCTGTCCTCAGGATAACTTAGAATTTGGAAAGTAGGTGGGTAGGGGGGAGCACTTAAAAGAGCTTGGAGAGAAGGCGGAGGTTCCGCTGATGTCTTCCAACCCTGAGCCGGAAAGTAACGTATTAGATCAGGGTAGTAAAAATTTGTCAGTACATTCCAAAGTAGAATGTACACGGTCAATATTCGCGTGCTTAACCCCTGTTAAAGAATGAAGTGTTCGAATGACCGTTCCTTGCTGGGTAACACGTAATCGTTCAAGCAGAATGCTGGAGATCCTTCCTTCCCCCCCCCTCCCTTCAATTTCATTCCTCTAGGACCTGAGTGCAACACAACCAGTTTTATGTCATAGATCACTTATTAGTTAAGATTTAAATTCTCGACTGATGTCTTTTCATTCGCTTCGCAGGCGGACGTGGACAACGACATCAAATTGTTAACACAAAAGAATGAAGAGATTTCTGAGGTTGTCAGCAAGTTAGAATCGAATTCTGAAAATCTTGAAATCGACGAAGCGGTAGTGACTACAGCACCTCTTTATAATCAGTGAGTACACATAATATTATTGGTTGTTAGAATGATGCACTGTTTACTTGTGGAACTGTTGGCTCAAAAATTGTTCTCGCCAGAATTCTCAACCTATTTGCGGAGGAGAATGCAGTAGAGGATACAATATATTATCTCAGTGAATCTCTGCGTAAAGAAGCCATCGATTTAGAAGTTTTTCTTAAGGTAAGAAGCCTCCCGGTGATGATTGTGGCAATTTTCAGGGTAACCACAACAGCCCAAAAAAATCAAAGGATAATGTCACAAGGAGTTAAAGGCGCCAGTAAGATCTTCAAGCTTTGCATCAGTGTGAGAATGATATAAAAAAAGGAATCGTATTTTTCGATTTGGTGCAGAAAATTCTCGCGTAACTTCAGGGCGTGAAATTGCGCCTAATACAGGCGCAAATGCGACTAAATTTTTCACTTTGGCGACCAAATCCTGAAAATTAGTCGCCAAATTGGCGACTAGAATGTTTCATCATAACCTTACCTAGAGATATAGTGAATTAAAAAGATTTGCAAAGACAAATCCGCGGCAAACTTCCTCGTTAAGTTTGTTTCCAAAACGCAGCAGATGCATCTCGATCGATAACTAGACGCCATCTTGGATTTAGGTGAGCTTAAACGTTGCATATCATCCATCCTAGTGTCCACTTTGTAGCACGTTAAAGATCTTTTCCCTAACTTAATTTCTAGAACGATGACAGCGTAAAAAAAGGTTTTGTTTGTCTTTCAAAATGGCGACCAACTTTTTTTGAATTGGCTACCACTTTGATGAATTTAGGAGCCAAGTGGCTATCAGAAAAAAAAAATTAATTTCACGCCCTGAACTTTGATTTGCCAGAGAAAGGCATAACTCCAGTTTAACGAGTGTTTTCGTGCACTTTTCACGTGCAAATTTTCTGGCAGGACTACAAACCTTGACTGTGAACAGTCAATGCTAACCCTAAGCAAATATTTTAAAGCAAAGGATTCTGAAATTATTGTTCGGGCGTTTTAAATAAGAGTCCAAATTAAAACTATATAATTAAAGGTTATTTAAGGTGAAATATCGGGCAGTTTCTGTCTACCAATCAATTTCACGTTTCACTTAGTAGAAATTAACCTTGTCTAGAGTAATTGACAATTGATGAGTACTTCTATCATTCGTTCTTAGCCCCTTTATTTTCTCTTTTTCTTTTGTCAGCACGTAAGGACATTATCAAGGAAACAGTTTATGTTGCGAGCCCTTCTATATAAGGCAAGAAAAACAGCTGGATTAACGGAAGTAGCAGGATAAAGTTTAATGTGTCTTTCTATATATTTAGCCGTGTAAGCTCTGAATTTGCCCGCCTAAGGGCGTTACTTGAGGTTATTCTTTTCTTTTTGTATTTTAGGTGGAGTAATTCTCTTAGATTGCACTGAACAGGACGAGATTATTCCACAATTGAGGAATATTTTAAAGTGAAGTTTCGGTTATTATTCCACAAACCAAATCTTTCGAAGGGCTCCTACTGAGGCCTGTATGCAGCTCGTGAAATTGTTTGTAGAAGTGAAAGATCACCTCACGTGCAGCTCAATAAAACTACAGCTAATGATCGTGAGACTATTATTTCGTTCTGCTCATGAGGAATTGGTTGGTTCTGCTTATGTAATGACTTGGACCAACTTTTCAATCTAATCTTCGATGCTTTTAGATATGATTTTTGCGGTGTATATGTGACTGAGAAGATGTTTGTAGAGCTATATGAAAAAATACTGTACCCATTAAATGACAAAAATTGGACTTTTGGTAGTCGTTATCGCTTTGTATATTGATGTTGAGGAACCTTATTACATAATTATATATTACATACAATTATTTACCGAAGTTGTGGTAAATGTTCATCACTTTCACCAACACTTAGGTTGATAACTTTATTAGCATTTTTTACACAAGCTGAACAATTGACAGACCAAATTAAAACTCCACTCTTACAAAATAATCGCAATCAGTAAGATAATCATCCAGAGCGATGATCATTCCCGTGAACTATCGCACATCAAATCGAGTAGTTGAAGGATGTTCAAGTTGGACTAAGATCTGAGTCAAATTTCTCCCTGTTCCCTCTCATTATTTACTTGTTTCGAAGTATCGTTCTCTTTTTTCTGCTTTCATCTCGCCTACGTCCTACTAATAAACGCTTCTGCCCTGCTGGCGGAAACGCAGACAACACAAGCGTGAGAGAGAGAGAGCTTCGTCTGTGTCTGGGGCGTGTGACTTTTCGCCTTCGCGTACAGGTCCAAAGCACTTGGCGCCCGGTTGAGTAGAGTTCGTGCATGGCAAGCTGAACCTTTTCGACCCAGACTGTAAGCTCACCTTAAACTCTTCAGAAAATTTAATTATACTAAGGCTCATGCAGGGATTTTACAATAAATGAGATTCAAATCGCGAAGGGAAGAAACGATATGAGACCCCACCTAGATTTGCTGACACGAATGAACATATCTTGAGTCTAAAATCAAATTTTAATATTAATGTCTGTGTCCTAATCCATCTCATCACGCAACATACGTGCTCTGCTTAAGGAAACATTTAAATCAAAGAGCTCAGAACGAAGCAACTTCGAAGCTTACCTTGTGAATGCTTTTAACGGTGTACCTTCAATTCCCGGCAGAGCCAGTCAAACGTTTGGCTTACTCATTCAAGGAAAGGACATCATAAGCCCTTATAAGCCACAGTTTTGAACTTTATTTTATCGCAATTTTATTGTAACTTTTGTATGACATAAAGCATTTGTGAGTAAGAATGCCACAGTTAGCGAACTGTGGTTGGGGTCCTTTGAACTTCAGACGCTTCAGCTACCGTGGCAGGCAAGTCGAATCCCTTGTAGAAGGGGCCAGACAATAGTGACAATAGTCATAATTATTTCAACTGTCTCATTACTTTGAATATTGTCTGAGGAAAAGTTGCTGCTTTTATCCAAAAATAAAAAATAAAAAATAAAAAAAAACCAACAACCAAAGACACTGATGGTAAGCAGTTGGCCCCCTCTACGTCTAAATTTGTCCGAGACATTCAAATTGGATCAAGTGAGTAAAACTATTGAGACCACGTGAAAATCTCCCTTTCGTACGTTAGTTGGCCTGTTCCACATAAAAGGAGATAAGTGTTTGGAATGTTTCACGAGGATGGTGTGATAAGTAAGTAATTCTTCGAATCTCAAAAATAACAAAAATAATAATAATAATATCAATTGATTAAAAAACAGGACATGTGGTAGACCTGTTTACAAAAATTGCCTCTCTAACAAAACGTAATCCGTTTGAGGGTCCATTTCCGTGTTCAGATGTCAAGATTTTATAGTGTGTTGGTCATACAATTTTCCGACTCTGTCAGTAGGGATGAATTCGATATTCATTTTTAAAGAAAAAAAGGCGATAAAATGAAATCTTTCCTGAAGATGAGATGGACCGTTTGCCATTTTGTCATTCAGTCAATCCATCTATTCATCCATCATTTTCAATCTTCTTTGGAAAGATGACAGCTAATTGCAAATCACTGTAATTTGTCATGTACAATAATCAGTTTAATCCAGAAAAATTTCTGTTTTCTGTTTTTGATAGTTTTTTTGTACCTGTCTGTGCACAACCCTCCAAAGCATCCCATAACTTGACTCTACATTGTGAGACAAACGAATAAACGTCCATTTATTTTAAAAACCACGATGATGCCAGCTCAGTAACATCGAACTTGCTGACCAGTGAAAAATCTCCTCAATTTCTTATTTCACAATTAGTAAACACAAAGACGGGAGATTGATCATAATCAGGGAGCTCACTGTTTTCATGCTAGTAAAGACAAGATAACTCTACTAGCTCATTACGAGTTAACAAAGAAATTGTGTGCATCTCATTCTCACCCCCACCAATTCCTGCCCCTTTTCCACAAAATTTCAAAATCGAATCATTTTACCATGAACCATGAACGAATTCAGAGAATGTAAGCAGCAGTTAGTGATGGCGCTTATAAAGCCAAAATGTCACTTCGTTGTTGTGGTAACCCATTTTAACCAGTCATGAAACTTCTATTTCATCCATGACATGCTTATTATTCGTTATCTCAAAGATACAGTCAAATCCTCTACAAAATTTCTACGTTCTTATAATCACCGCCTAACAGCAGACGTCCGCTAACTCCTATGATTAAAAATATGTAAACTCAGGCTAATTTGAATTAGCTTCCACTTTGTCAGTTAATTGTCTCTCAGACAGCTTTACTTAAATAGTGATTATCTCTGTGGCGGAAAAACTGCTGATCTTGTTTAAAATAGGTTTTCCCTGCCAATTCTAGATAAAATTTCAGCGCAAAACATGCGAAAAAATGAATTTAAGATTAAGATGCCGTGACTGAAGCCCATATGAAATATCAAATGATCGTGTGGATTTGTATCTGTCTCAAGACTGCACCTTCCTTTTGCCCCTATCTTTGGTCAAGTACTTCAATGAAAAAGGGGGTAAGCCTAAGAATGATGAAAATTAACCGCAGTTCATAAGGCAGGCCTGTTAGTCTAACAATTTTACAATTACGAACCGTGTAACTTTAAAAATTTGCAACAGCTTAAAAGGCGGATTGGCGGCTTTGGTGCTTTATTTGCGGAAATCTCAGGAACATATTTTGGCGATTTCTGGAGACTGAAACTCTGAGAGTTTAATATCAATGCATTAGTTAGAAAATGTAAAGTGCGAATAGTTTATTACCTTTTGAGTTGCAACACACTCTGCTTGGTATAGGCATTTCAATCAATTCCATTAAATGTTCGAGGACAACGTCTTCTTTTTGTCCAGGAGGACATTCACATGACCAAAAAGGTTACGCTTACCCCCTGCTGTGTGCAACAAAACGCTGTTTCAGTTTTCAAGGGGCTTGTTTGAGTATTTCCTTTCGTGTTGGGAATTCCATACAATACTGCGCTCCTTATTCCAGGCGTAGTCTTTCAGAGAGACGAAAAGTTTTTACCTCTGACGTTCAATGCACGCTCATTAAGGGTAATACGTGCTCGTTTAATAGTGGATCGTTCGATACGAAAAAAAAAAAAAATTTAAACTAGACAGTGACTAACAACTATTCTTAAGTTCACTTCGTCCCTACATCACAAACGGTTTTTGTTTTTTTCATTTTTCCCAGTATTTCGCCGCTTATAGAGTTACTAAATTAAATTGAAACAACTGTTTGATTTTTTTCTGTATGAGTGTTCCTTGACCTTTTGGACATTTGGACTTATAATCTTTCTTTGAAGTTTTTTTCCCATATAATGTAACTTCATCTCACTTTGAACTACCGCACAGAAAGTAACCTACCGCGCTATCATGCTGTTGATTCCAATTAGTTAATATTTCTGCCCCATCTGAGTCCATTCTGGGTTGCAATACTCCACTGAACGAAACATGTGTCTTTTCAAAACAAACACGGGCATGATTGATTCAACAGTAGCTTGTGCTTTACATGAAACGGAAAATTTGAAAACCGTAGACGTTATGCAAAACTGATTCTATTTTTAGACTCTTAAGGTTGTTTCCATTCCATGAAATACTGCACGGTTCAGCGTTAATTCTTATCTCTGATACGTCTGTTAGCATTCGTATATATAATGACTTATATCTGTTCACACTTGTACTATTATTAGTGTTGCTATTTGTGAAAAATCTTATATGATAGAGCCATTCAGTGTCAAGAAAATCGGGCTAGATGCTCTGCATGTCGAACCAGTAAATCCCTTCAGTCGCCAATGGTCTTAGGATCGCAGAAATCGCCTTAGTTGTTTTTAAAATCCCACAGTCATTATGGATCGCTCTATGTCGACTTAAAACGCCCACATTTAGTGGCAACGTTTGGATCGCTTTAAGCTGACTGTAAGCCAGACTGGAGCCCTTCGCGGCCACAGGAGTTCTGTTTTTTCTTCAGGACTTTCCTCATTAGATAGAGACCTCAATTATATAAATAACAGTGTTGAGCCCACATGTTTGCCAATAGCAGGGTGGTCATACCATTCTCGTTTTTTACCTTGGGAGATTTGAATTTTTGTAACATTAATTATTTTACATTCTGATCTAAATTATCCAATCGTCAATTAGCACTAGTTGCTGCAAACAAGAAACTACGCTCTACAGTTTACCTGTATACAAGCTGTAAATCAAGGAAAACTCATTGATCTTAAAGGAAACGAGGAAATTGGTGTTTTTTACGCCACCATACTTTAGTTAAAATCTTTACGCCAGAGCATAAATGTTCTCCCACTCTTTGATAAATTATCTAATGGAGAATTGTTCATGCTAATTCTGCTTCCCACTGTCGGCATATGTGACCAGCAGCCTAGTGTAGGTGAAGTTTATTTACCGAACACCAAGAATTAAGATGCATGAGCCAACAAGCTTCTGTAAGTCAGCCGTCCATCCGACATCCTCCGACAACATCATCAAGCAAGTTGTGAGATAAAAAGACTCTCGAACATGGGATAGTCAAACAAATCAAATTACGTGTACATTTTGCTAGATACGTGTCAAATGGAAGATGGAGGTAAGCAAGGCGAATGCTCGAATGGGTGTGAATTTCCGCATTTTCATGGGTGTGCTCCAGTTCATAAGATTAAAATTGAAATCGTTTCCTTAGAACAAGAATGTTTACATTCTGAGTTTTTCTAGAAGTATTTTATCCGCCGTTTCTTGTAGCTCCAGAGTTTTCTTTGATAATTAAACACGTTCGTTCTTACTGTAACTAGTGGGTTTCGGTTGTAACTAATCATCAAATATGAAAAAAGAAAAAAAAACTAACGCTATGAAGCTGAATGAAAGCGAAATTTCTAACTTAGGTTAGAGTAAGTAAGAATTGTTTAAGCTCCTCTGCAACGCAAATGAAAGCACGTAGTGTGTGTTGGGAAAAGTGGTCTCTGCCTAACGGGTATTCACTTCCATTGCTAGCAGACCTCTAAAAACAGGCGGATCTCATTAACAGGAAAGCAATTAAGATCGTTTTGTCTGATTGGCCACGATTGAAGTACAGAATGGACCTTGATTCTTCTTGAAGCATATCCGGTTTAGCACGTTGATAAATAAAGACTCGTGGCATTGACAGCCGCCAATGTTGAAGATAAGCTCGAGCTAAACATCGCACCACCATGAGGAGCATTTACATATCGATTTTGCTAATGCTTGCATTACTGAAGATTATCGCTATTGGCCATCCAATTAAGCAACAAGGAGACCCTGAAGCCATCATAATAATTATGACTGGGCAACGAGTAGAAAAACCAAATATTGAGTCGACTCTCGAGCAGACAGACCAGAAGCCGAAAGACCGATGGCTGAAGCACTGGGTAAAGAGGATATTAAGTAAGAAAGTATTTAAAAATAGTGAACTTCTTTTTCGATTATTTTTTCCTTTTGTGTCAAAGCTTTGCTTCAAGCAACAATTACTACCGATAACCAATGTCGAATCGCAAGAGAAATCTCTCAGCGGAAAATTAATATTACAATTAATAGCCAGTCTTGTTTGATTTGATTTTTGACATGAGAGGGTGTTGACGGAAGACAGTTTTTAAGGAGATTTGACGTGGCTGATTTTACCATATCTTTCAGACACGTCCAAAAGCCGACTAAGTGACCTTACAGGCCAACTTTTAATCCTTAATAAAAATTTTGAGCATGATAGTATAGTAATAGTATTCCACAGATTTAAGACAATATTGAGGCTACAGACAAAGAAAGGGCGGCGTAATGATCTGAAATGTCACGACCACTGTTATTTTTCCATTGAGAGGGTTTAGACATTGATGAACTTTCTGTGCACACCTAGAACTACGGAAAATTAAAAATCCCTTTTCAGGCGTTTTTGTAGCCTCCAATTAAATCTTTTATTATTATTGCGGATATGCTTAGCGAAGAAGCCTCTAGACTTTTACACGGTTGACCGACGAACGATCAATTTGCACAGCACCAAAACGACTTTTTTGTGTGTGTGTGTGTGTGTGTGGAACTAATGCATCTTACACTCTGCTTCCTTTGTTGCCAATAACAGAGAACAAAAATGGCAGATGACTCTCCCGATCGATACAGTGGACCTCAGTGAGAATGCAAGACTTGTGGTGATGAGGAAAATGCGGTGTTTTGGTCTGAAGAAATCCAAACAATATTTGTTTTGCCGACACCGGCGTAGGACACGTAAACAACTTAAGACTTAAAAAGTTTTAAACTTGAATTATAAATTTCATTAGAGGTGTAAATCTAAACTGTTATCGCATACGCTTTCGTCAAGATGATGTTAAAGTAAGCTATTTATAGAATTTTTTAGCCCGTTTGCTAAGCTCGTGTGAGATGATTCTGTGGAAGGTCTACAACTACCGTTGTAAAGGGGCGTTCTGATATTGTACGACCGGAAAGAGTCCGAAAGTTATCTGAATCGCATTGCTCTTGTTGATTTATTTGTTTGACATCTTTACAGTTGAGATGAAAAAGAAGAACTGCAGAGAGTGAATTAAACTAAAACAGATGTGGGCCTGTAAAAGAAATAATCACCAACAGTCGCCATTACCATTTAATATGTCATCAGCCGAAAGACGGCAAAATGCCAGAGCCAGCAGACAGGGCTATTAAAATAGAATTACGCAAACGTGTTGTTTGAGTACATGTTATGACCAAGATAAACAGAGATCAGCAGTGTAGGTTAGTATAACATACAGGTCAGTCAAATCTTCTTATCACGCCTCTCCTTAACACGGAGCATAACACCTCTGCGGAGATAGCAGGCGACTCAGGCAAATACGTTCCCTCCAGAAATTGTCTTCAAAGTGAAATTCAAGCTATCAGTGTCGGTCTGTTCTAAAGAACTCATAAACTGCAAACTCGGACAAAAAGCATGCTTTATTACAGTAGGTGCATATCAGAGATTTTTTGCGCCTTTGAGATAGAGGAAAGTATGCGCTCCCTGTAGCTCTCCAACAGTTGAATAAGACAGTCCGCTTGTCACAATAATTCCAAATTTGGGCATACTGTAGGGCCAGATTTTGGCTTTTAAGATTTCATGAGTCCAGCGTTAAGGTTCAGGATGTGGTTTACAAATCGACACTCAGTAATTTCCGTCTGGAAATAAAAAAACTTTCGTATAGTAGCGCATGTTGTTATTATTTTCCGGATGAAGCAGTCAAAGTCAGTTACACAACAAACACTCAGCTCGCATCTGGGGAAATTAAACCAAGTGTCTGAATTATTATATTATCAGGCACTAGAATGTGTTTGCAGAGAAGATTATTTAAAATTCTTTGCAGTATTTCATCTTCCTATCATCTGCCCCACGGTCAAGAAATAGGGAATTGTGAATTAGTTAATTGCATTATTACCAATCCGGATAAGTGGAATTTTCGGAATTATTTTAATTCACAAACAAAAGTTGCAACATTTACGTATCAGGAATTTATTGTCACAGTTTATGTACCAGAAATACATTCAAAAAAATACTTCTCGCCCGATCCCTCACAATTTCACACATTTCAAGTGTTTGTCGTTGCCGAGGTATGGATAGCTCAGAGGGTGTCTTTTATGGCAACTGAAAGTTTATTTCTCTTGCGGTTTTACCCACAAAGCAAACAGTGACCAAGGGAATGAAGGCAAAGAGGCCTCATCTTTTCTGTTGGAGTTTCGCGTTGAGAGGGAAAGTGAGAAAGATATGGAGTGATCCATTTTTGTTTCAAACGTCTTTCCCGCTTTCTGCTATCTGGAATGCACAGAACATAATCGATAGTGGCCATGTGATCATGTCTCGTGTTCTATGACGACGGTTTTACCCGTGTTTATTTTCTTCCGTCATCAGCTTGTGCATCATCACACGTAGAACACATTTAAAGACCGGACGTATAATACTTAAAAATATAAATGATGATCAATCAGATCATAAGGCAAACAACTATCCGTATATTTCTGAAAATGAACGGCCGCCAGAACCACGAGTCCAAGTGAAATATATGAAGGTATCGCATTAACACGACAAAGCAACGATTCAGTGGATAATCATTTTATGAGCGACTTTCGCAATTAATCGGAGTAAAGTGAATTGGTATTTTTCTGATTTATTTCCTTCCACTAATTTGCTAAAGTCAATCATTACACCCCATCATCAAGCAATTATATTGAATAGCTCTAATGCATTCCTTAATCGTTGAGGAACGGATCTCTCCAAGATGGCATCCAAAGACGTTTAATTTACCGGCTACCCCGTTTTAGCAACGATGTCAAGTAGGCCAAAAGGTGCTTTGATTTTGTTTAATGTGCTTAAACTACTTTGTACCTAAGTTGTTTTGATAAGTGTTTGTTCTAAGACGAAGCTGAAATGGTCTGATATCATCCCAATTACCATGTCATTCTGTCGTCATACAACAGTCGTTTCCTTCATAAATAGCTTCCTTTTTATGATGAAATAAAACACGTAATGGCTATTTTTCTCAAGGTGTATTTTAAGAGATAAATAATCCATTACAGTCAATTATATCTTCGAGTCAAATAAGGCTTACAACTGGCATGAGGTAGCAAAAACAACGTCCTTGAACGAATATCAAAAGATGTATTTATTATAAATAGATAATCATTGTATAACTTCACTTTTTCCGTGTACAAATAAATAACATTCTGATGATGCAAGACTCTTCCTTTTTTCGAAAAGCGTCCCACTAATAAATAACATTTTATCCAGATCTTTCTTGAGCTGGCACTCTATTTTTCAGTTCCTCGCAAGAGTAAACATTGTCATCCTCTGAGTTCATAAATTTCACCAAGAATCTGCTCCAGAAAATCTGCCTTGTTTCGACTGTAAAAGCATAAAAAAATCCGTGTTAGATAAGAGCAAATAGTTTCGATCTTCTGCATGTGATTTCTTCACCGTCGGAGAGCCGAAATGTACGTGTAACAACTGCCAATTTATCAAACTGCTTCATAAGGAAACCCAGCCAATAACTTTAATTGTTTCATCTTCATTGCGGTTGCAGTTGTTGAACCAGAAACAAGCAACAGGAAGTGTCAGGAATGTGCTTTGCACTCGTCACTTCAATTTTGCAAACATGTTGTTTTCCCATGTTTAAAATTTCGGTTTTACACAAATTGTGCAGTACAAGGGTGCTAAAGTTTCCCACCTCGTGCTGAGTAAGTTAATTCTTAAGCTTTCAAAACCTGTATATAACAAATTTAAGTTGTTGCTACTGGTCATGCTAAATTTACTGTAACAAATCTGTGAGCCTACTAGAGTTTGCGTTGCCAGCATTGGCATAATGTAGAGAGATAACGCTCTGAGCACAGTAAAAGAAGATCAAGGTGTAAAGATTCTTACCTTAGATCTGTGCGTTGTTTTGTATTTTTGAACCCACTTCGATAACTCTGATACTTTTCTTTCCAGCTCCAGTTCTTTGTTCTTCAGTCTCTTAAGCTTTCTTCTCAGCCTGACGCCATCCGATGCTTGCTTTTTTTTGTCCCTCTTAAGTTCATCTCTTCTTGCAGTAAGTGATAAAGCAAACCCCTCACTGTTTCTGCAGAGGGTAGCCAGGACGAGGAATAATACAAAAGAAATCGTCAGCACTGTTGATGTTTTCATCTTTCTCTCAGCGTGTCTATGCAAATGTGTCTCACGATGCTTCTTGCAGCGGTCTTTTATACCTCACTTATAAGATAAATCAAATACTTAGTTAATGACTCAAATATGGATTGGAATGATCACGCCCCCATTCCTCGAAATAGAATGATCCAATGACATGGCAAGCTTGAAGTATCCATTCATTTGAATCCAAGCTGTTCTTGGACAACAACGCCTCAGGGCGCCTGGAAACTCCTATAAACTTCTCGCCTCGAATAGCCAAACAACCTCAATTGTAACATAAACAAACAGTTTTCCTAAAAACTTGGGCCTACAGTGATGTTTCATTCAGTCTTGTTACACCCCGTGGCGCTCAGCTCAGTAAGAAAATGCAGACAAATAATGGAGTGGTTGTTAAGGAATATTTAATGACCCATAACGAACGATTCGAGCGTTTTGACATGCGGAATGATAGCCACTAAGTCGAGAGGCTACTGAACAAAATAGCAATTCTATCTTAATTACACATCCCGCCTGCTGAAGGGCACTTGCATTTGCACATTAACTCTTAAAAGGACACTCTTTGGATCACAACTAGACATAAACCGTTTATAAGAATGATGAATGGAAAATTCGAAAAATGCAATTTGGAAGCCTTTTAGCATGGCGGTAACCCATGGCCGTCGTTTTTACGCCGATGGCATACTGTGCTGCAACCACATAGCCGAGACTCATTCATAGCGTTTGAAGTCATATCATGGATAGTCACATAATCTTGGTAATTCAGGGTTGGCTACGTTGGCTGAACATGATAATACGATTTTACGGGGAAACTTCTTTCATTGGGCTTCTTTTTGAACTAAGTTACTGTTTTATCTATTGTCTTGAAGAATCTTCAACGGTATTTTGATGTCGTGATGCAAGGTCTTTGTTGGTCACAAAAGTGTAATAAGACTTTCAAAATTGCCTAAAACATTAACTTTGAAATGAGAGTCATTCACCAAGGATCCACTATTGTTATGTTTGAGAGGTTTTGTTATTATTCTCGCGAATTCTGTGCAACAATACCCTATTCCACTATTTATAAAACAAATGATGCTGACGTTTTTTTATGGTTTAATGTTCCCACAGTGTCTCTTCCTTTGGCCAAACCGAATTGTCGAGATTTCAATGAACTAGACAAGAGGAATTTTAGGTATTTAACATAAAGTTAAATTACAACACGAACACTTTGTCGTAAGTTCCTCTATTTACCAGGAGCAATGACGATATGACAGTTTTCCTCTTTAATTTTAATTTCAAGGTATCTATCGGCAAAAAATCCAGAATCCAACGGAAACTTTCTTACGCATTTTTAAAATGTTCGGTTTCCGGTATAGAAGGACTTTGGTGCGTTAAGCGAACAAAAGGCACAAACTGATATTATAATTTCATGCTCTGAAGAACTGCGAGCTGAATAACAACTATCACTTTAAGTAATTTAGGTTAAAATATTTCCAAATAACTTGTTTCTTAATGATTTTCTACCTACTCGGAAGCTCGTATTTTATCAATACATTTAGAATATCAACATAAAGAGGGTTTTATCCAAACAGATACCTCGGTAAAATCTCTTAAGAAATTACCGAGATATTTTTTGCAATGATGTAAAAACCACGTTTTCCAAATAACATTCTAAATCCATAAAAATCGATTCTAGAAAACCGGGAAATTTCTTTCACAACTTTATATTAGCCTTCTTAAACATTGTCAGCGTGTAATAGCTTTAGTCCCAATTTAGCTGATAGAATACTTGAAGTTTCTATGCATTTCTATATCTGGTCAATAGGTAAGCATTGTCCTAAAGTTTGCGCGTTCGAGATATCGTCAATTTTGTCCAGTTTGTAATCTTTGTGTGAGACTCGTGGGCCTCTTAACTCTCGCAGTGCGTGTGCCTCTCTATAACCAGGATCATGTAAGGGACACCAAAAACTTGCCAGGAAAACGTAGGAAGACGTAAGAGCGAAGATAGCCCATGATAGACCGACATGATAAGGAGTAATAATAACTGCTGTCCAAGAGAAAGCGGTATAGGTTCCATGTAGCATTCACGGCGATTATGACTCAGGGTGCAGACTTCAACTACAGATTTTAACACTTTTCTGCTCAGTCAAGAATTCCTTGGTGAAAAGCCACAACCTTGGTCACTACGTAGGGTTGGAAAATGTTTCAGTCATTAATGACTTTTGTCTCTCTCTGTATCTTTGCAAAATTGAATGAACAATTTGCAAATTTGAGCAATATCTGATTTTGAAAGGGAGAATAGGGGTGTCGAGAACTTATTTTTGAAGGTCGTTATTCAAAATTCGCTTTATTTTTACGAATTTTCTGCCACAATTTTCCAAAGATTGTCGGGGCTCAATGTGGCAGTTTCCACATTTTTGGCAGATTTCTATTATGCCCCAGCATATCGACAAGTAACGCAAACTTTAACGCAGCCTAAGGAAATGATTCGCGCCTTAGAAAACACTATTCTAGGAAAAGGCTTTTTTTTATGCATGAAGTAATGCCACGTTCGGCCAAGAAAGGGGGTTAAGAAGCGATTTACATGCATATTTGGGGACCTAATTCGCCCAATCTCTAAGAAACTTTTTACCACTGCTCTATTGAGATTAAATTTTTGACTATTGATATTATTCTATGTTCAACTAAAATTGTGTTTTTTTGCCCAACCATTGCTCGGTGGAAGGGAAACTATTGTGAGAAACAAAGCATGGCAGCTGTACCATTCGATCCAGGGTGCAAGTTGCGATTTATTGGATAGCAGCAGCCAGCAGGGAGCGTTCCGACCCCCATCTTTGAAACCAAGGTTTGAACCTTGCCTCATGATGTAGCCTACGTATTGTCAGCAGTTTTGTATGCGCTTTGAAGGGATCTTGTAGCCACAGTTTGAACCTTGTCTCATGATGCAGCCCACGTATAGTTAGCGGTTTTGTGTGCGCTATGAAGCGTTGAGTGCCGGAGCCGCAAATCGAGCGGCGAAGCCACGAGAGGTTCGAGAATCCAAAATACCACCAGCTATACAAGCTAATGAGTTTTTTGTTGTGAGTTTGCTTCCTCGCTGAGTTTTCCGGTTTTTCTCGTACGTTAAATCACACTCCAAATCACAATTCGACCTCAAAAGACGAACAAGAGCCACGTAAAACAATAAACTTGCCACTGCCAAAACCCACTTTATGTATTACATCATTCAGTAATTATGCCTGTGACTAAACTTGTTTTGTAAGTAAAAATATTTCCTTTTATTTGACCAAATTCTTAAGAAATGACATAACGAGCTCGAATTTCTCTACTGTCACACCTCTGAGTAACAAATCCTTTATCCTCTCATAGATGTTGTAAATTACACAAGGAGGTCGAGAGGAAGTCGCAAAGTATATTCCTAACTAAAAATAGTTTCCATCGAATGTACTGTTTACAGAAGCCTGTCACTGTGTACTTATGAATCGTAGCTGAGAGTCAAACTTGAGACACTCGAACATGTTTCAATCTGCAGTAGTTTTATTTATGATTAGGTCCAGCTCGAGGTGGAGCCCAAATGTCGACAATAATCAATTTGCGCACGCTATAATTTAAAACGAGCATACAAACTTAAAAAAAACTCAGTTATTTTCCACAAATATGTTATGTTAAGCGCTTAACTGGTACCTAAAGTTTCTAATGAAATTACATAAAAAGGAATAAATAAATAGAAGTTGAAATCTCAACAGCCGATTTGCATCATTTTCACAAATGTACCAACGAGCAAGCATTTTCATTGCTCGTCATTATTTCAACATTTAATGCTGGACAAAGTTAATGAGGCTGATATAATTAAGTCTTGGCAATTTATTTCAGTCTTTTCGAGTGTGTGAATTTGCCCTGTTCGAAGAATGCATCATTTATCAGTATGACTTTTAACTTAGTTCGCACCAATCTTGTGTTGGATCTTAGTCTTATGTTCGTTGAAGGTGGGAGGAAGTTTACAATCCAACGTTGTGTCTCAACAACATGGCGCGTATTTTCCATGCTTTTCCTGCAGTGTCATTCGTGGATCACCAAATGGGCTTCTTTCTTACGCCCCGGTCTCCAACATCGAAACTTTTGCTCTACAAAACAACGACATTTTTAAATTTAGACTACGTGTATAGGCCACCACGTTGTACCATCAGGTTTCCAAGATTACACGCAGTGCATTCACCTCCGTGATTTATTTTTAAACTTTTTGTTTGTTCTTCTCAGTCATCGAACCGCAAAGAGAAAAGTCAATTTTAAAACGTGCCTTACTTTTCCTTTATCATGACTGAATCTTTCCACCGACTGCTTGTGATGGATTAAGCTTTTCACTGATAATGCTTTGATTGTTTCAGACTCAAGTGCTTCTTCTACAACGACCGAGAGATGTACAAGATACGTTTTTTTTATTTACTGCATGGCGTGTGTTTGCTAATGACGATGTTTACTACTAATTTGCTTTTTTCTCTCTATCAATAAATTTCATCTCATTCACGACGAAAGTGCTAAGTGTTTGTCTCAGACTACACTATTCCCACATTCTTAGGATAATCAAGTCGATTTGGTTTCAAATGTTGTCATTATTTAACGCGTGTAGAAGTATCTACAAAATTTCCATAATTTCGAATGCGCAGAGATTACAGTGGATTACACTCACGTTTACACTCACGTTTTCGTTTTCAAAACATCCGCGTCGACCGGTTACAAAATCGCCAAATCAAACGAGGTTGATACTTCTGCTCCAAGCCCAAACGCATTAAGCATTTCATTGACAATGCTTAAAGACGGAACACTCACTTACTTGTATTAGCCTTGTAGCACTGAATTAATTATTTCGTTATTATATCATAAGTCTTGTGTCTACAAACCAGACTCGCTACTCACCTTCTTGGAGAATCGTGTCAGCCAGCGCCTCATTTCCTTGAGTTTTCGTTTATTTTCTTGTCTCTTTCTTTTCCTCCGATTTTTGTTTCTTAGGCGTGCTTTTCGTCGTTTCTTCTTTCGTTCTTGTTCCCTCTTTTGAACCTTCCTTACTCTGCCATTTGTAAGAACAAAAACAACCCCGTGACTTTCCTCTGGAAACGAGAGCAATATCAGTGTGAGTGTCGTGAGGATGACAAGAAGCGTGAACGTCTTCATTGCGTGGACCACACGAATTACTTCGGGCACTGTCTTCAAGCGCGCTGTTGAATAGAGGCAAGTGCCCAACCACTTCTTTGCTTTGTGATTTAAGCTGTGATTTCGTCTTAATGGGGGGCTATTAAGAATATTGCAGCAAGTGGTAAGAGTGTTTGTTGACCGCTGGGAACGTTCGCTACAGTGCTACGATAGCCTGCTTGGACTGATGTATGCAGTGGGAACCGAGGCATTGTAGCGTCATAAGCGAAATTACCGAGGAATTCCAGGTATGCTGTGAAGAGTCTGAAAGTATAATATATTTGAGAGCCTTGAGGCAAACAACACTATTTGCAGCGTTTATTCTAATGTTGTTCTCAGTTCAACTCTTAGTTCAAACACCCGTGTAATTTTGGTAAATTTTCTGATTGCATTTTTGTGAAATATTGTCAACACCTTGTTAAAGGGATCATAAATCTCTAAGTAATCGCCAATGAACAATGTTGTGATGTGTGATGTTTACAAAGGGTTAATAAAGCTAAGAACGTGAGTTTGCCGAAGCATGACTTAAATTACGTATTTTTATCTAGGCCGACTTTTTTTCTCACGAAGCAAATATGACAGGGAAATTTCGAAAAAATGCGGTAATCGCCATTACTTATTTCCCTAACAGCTGTGATTTCACAAAACTTGTCTGGTTGGCAAAAGTGATTTTCTTTGTTATTTGTGGCTCCTACAAGACAATCACACATCCCCTGAGAATCCTAGCTTCTGATCATCTTTCAGGAAAACAGGCTTATCCAGCTGATTGCGTAATATAATGTTGTCTTCGAGAGAGATTTGAAGGATTGTTTGCTTAGTGTGAAATCGTTGCGATCTCTGCACACGGATTGCGGAAATGGCGGCGACTGGCTCGAACACATCAGACAAACTGGTGCGGTTCAACAGGCTGTGGACAAGTAGGTTTAGTAAATGCACAAAAGGTTATAGCCACTTAATGTCCTGATCACCATCATTGTCTTAGCCATCTTTTTGTTTGTTTGAATGTGATAAAACACTTTAACTTCGCTTTTGGGAAAAATGCAATTAAATTTGCTTTTGGAGTGGAGCAGCTTAAAGGGCACCACAAAAACTAGTCTTCGAACACGAATTTTGCAGCACCTTAAAAAACTACTTAAAATGAGCTTTATAAACCGTCAACCCTTTCCTTCCTCAATTCTCGTTGTAATTTCATCTCCAGTAAAAGTTCTCTTGGTCAATTCCCTTATATTCTTTAAAAACAGGTTAATATTGTTTTCCTTAAGTTATTGTTAGGATAGATTCTAATTGGAATCCCCCACAAGCTCACATCAACAGGTTATACGAGGAGATTTCGGAGAAAATCAGCGCGCGCAAGATTTCGTATGAACGTCTTTTGCTTTTAAGTTAAGGTATAAAATTATGCTTCTATCAAAGAAAAATTATATAATTGCAATTCCTAGAAAGTGCAATTAAAATTCTCTATCGTCTTTGAACAAAAGAGAATTCGGTAATAGCGACTTCAAGTTGAAAAAGATAGATAAGTGTTCCTTTGTCCATTCTGCATTCTACATATTTTCACCTTCATAAATCAAAAATCTTCTATCTAGACAAACTGTGGTGTTTAAATGAGGTGGAACGAGTGTTCTTGGAATCTGTACCAAGTCACGAAAGCCTTTTTATACTCTAGCTCGACTATCGTCATTACCATTCTCAGCCTATATTTTCACGAGATGTTCAAATATTTTGAAAAACCACAATGACGTTTGCAAGGTAGTCAGCGTAAATAATGACGAAAGCCTTTGACTCTTTGGTACATTTCATTCTCTTACACAGTAGGTAGGATCTAGGATCCCGAGGAAAGAAACTTCGATATAAACCACCCATTTACGCAGATCAGTTTAGTATTGCTCTTTATTTTCACGACGTGGGAGAAAAAGGTGGCACCCTATCGATGCCCGGTACTTCGGCAGTATCCAAGCATGCATTCAGAATACTGCTCACAGAAACATCAATGCGTTGTTAGAAACTCTCAAGTTTAGTGTTAGTATTAGCACGATAGCCTATAAACGTTCACGCGAACACGCTTCCCTTGCTTAAAGATGCTATTGTGATAAAACTGAAGTTAAACAGAAAGATAATTTGTTATGTATTCTAAACAAAATTAAAATCTGTAAGATAGTCCAATTTACCCGAGGCATTAGTTTGAACTTCTCTGCGACAACTAGAGAAGAGCTTGTTCCTTTTCTGGCGACAACATTATGTTTTTCAGACGGACCCCTCATTATTCTGAAATAGACTACTTAGCTTACGGAAAGAACAGTGAAAGCAAGTCTATAAAACCCATTCATCTTCGAATGTTTGGAAGCGACTCGCGACGACACTGAGATAGAAAGACTTGGCACTCTTCCGACGTATGAAATATACTTTAATTAATAGTGAACCGACAATTTTTTATCTTGAAATAATAGATTGTTGGCGGCGGGAACAGATTCAATTCAGACTTGCCTGATATACAGTTAAACTTTCTGGGCGATTGAGCTCCGCATTTCACTAGCAGAGAGACTGAGTGATAGGATAATTTTCCAGGAACATCAGTCATGATTGGAAATGATCGAATGAAAAAGCTTGAAAAAAATTCAGAGCTTCGACGAGATCTGCTCATCTGTGGCCATATAGATACCGTTGCTATGCTAAAAAAGCTGTGTTTTGATGCCACATATTGGAAGTAAGGTCAGGTGTGAGTGTCTTATTAATTTCCACACTCAAAAATAATGAAATCAAGTATGGAAAAAATGGGAAGAGAACATCTCTTATGAGATGGCCCATATTTCACATATTTACACTTTCATAAATAACCTCCTTATCCTTTAAATTGAAGATTTCTTCTTCGAAAACGTCCTGGCACCTTCGTGCTTTTCATAGCTCAAGCTTACAGCAGAACTAATTTTGTTTCCCTTTCCCTGGATTCAAAACGACTAGCCGTTCGGGCTAATTAAAAAAATCAATTATCAGTAACATCTATCCAAGGCTACCGATTGTGAACAGACATTACTACGACTTTCAGCAGAATTGCAAAGAGATTAATTTGATTTATTTTCGTTTGTTGAGTTCCTAGTTATTCGTTATTTTATCTTGTAATAAGCTATTCGCAAGCTTCTCCAGTTTGCCAAGAACAAACAAAATAATTCAGGCTGATCATTTCCTTCCTCTTTGTTATTGGACTGCAAAATAGTGTCACAGCATTAAGTTCTAACATTGGAAGAGCAAACCAACTTACTTTTCTCGAAGATTTTTTCTCGCAGTTGGTACGCGCTTATATTTCCCTTCATATTTAAAGATAGCAATTTCGACTGGTTGAGGTTCACTGATTCAACAGGGGTAGGGATGGGGCGTGGTCTTTTTACTTCTGTTTGGAAACAGAATTCGTTTAATGATCACTACGCTATCCTCGTTATAAAGCTAGACAGCTGTCCTTACCGTACAGTTAGTGCCTTACATCACTATACTGTAAAGTAACGCACTTTTGAGCAACCCCATATATAACCAGAGCCAATCTAGCGGAGTGGAAGAGTCTTGAAATACAATAAGACAGGGATACCTATATAAATCACAATCAGAAATAGAAAAATCAGAAAATAATAGCGCGCTACTATTATAAACAAAACGTCTGTCGCAGTATTATCTCGATAAATTAATGATATTGTCAATATTAGCAGCAATGCTTCCCGGTCTCTCTTAGTTTTTTCGGATATTGTACTCGACTCTTTCTATTATTTCAGGATCTCTAAAAATGCGAAGAAGCGAAGGATAACAAAATAGTTTACAAAATTTGTTTAGGAAATTTAAACATTTTCCATCCACAAATGCCGTTGAGAAATTCAATGTCCTGGTGTCTCAAGCCAGGAAGGGATGATCTTTTTCTCGAACTTAATGAGTGGGAAAATTGTTCTTGAGAGGGTAATCTTGCAAAATGGCACCCTGCGTCCCTGCCCGCCCCCCTACGGAGGTAATATCCTACGCTGCTCTCTTCAAAACAATTACATCGCTCTATCTTAATACCGACATCTATCTAAGTCTTTGTTGGTACCAGCCAGAGAAGCTTTTTGAAAGATCATTCTTGAAAAACAAGGTGTTTTAAATGTGTTTACCGTCAGTGCTGACCACCTAAGGTTGCAAATCGAAATAAATTTGCACTTATTAGACCGATGGAGGGAGACCAAAATTCTAATTTTAGTACATTGCTTCAAGGTAGACAGTTAATGAAACTATTTTGAGAAAGATGCTCATTCTTGACTCATCCTTGACCTTGGCAACGATCGATATTTCGAGATTAAACAAATGATTCTGAGAAATGTCAGAGATTTTGATCGTTTTGAGGGCAGAACTTTCGTCGAAGTTTATAACAAACTTATGCTTCGGGTTTTTTTTTTTTAAGTTTTAGGATTAGACAGTTGTATCTCTTTACATCAGACCTTATTCCTGGGTAAAGTTCTACTAAATTTAATTAGATGAAGTGTTTGAAAACATTATGAGATATGATCAAACCTGAAGGGCAGAAATGGGCGTTTGGAGTCAGTATTCCTAGACAGCGGTTTAGGAAGAGAAAAGAGTATGTAATTGACACCGACCTGCAACACCAATATCGCATATAATTGAATTGTCTTTATTTACGTAATAGCTAAGATACGGTGATTGCTATTAAGTAACGCACTGTTTCATTTTGCATTAATATAGCGTAGTTGAATTGAACTACGATATAACCTGACAGTTATATGACTTCCTTCCGTTTGTTTGATGCCTGTTCATGGTTGCTATGGAATTTAATTGATCGGGAAGCCTGTCAATACATCTTTTTCTACAATGCGTAAAAATGTCAAACGCGGAATGGTTCTATCCCAGTCTTAACAATGTGAGCATCATTTTTTTCACAAAAGCTTTTGGCCCTGGACGTCATTTATGTGTCAAAAAGGCAACCAACGATGGCATCGAAGCGTGAAATATGAGCAAATAACGTAATAAAATCAACAAATAACATCTCCGCGTTTACAAAGAATCAGCACGATTGAAAGTACGTGTGTTTGAAAATGTTTCTGCTTCAAAAGTTGACACATATCATGCGTTTAATCACGTTCGTGGCGCTGTTTGCGAAGCAGTAATTCCATCTCTTAAGTTTCCTTTAGTATTAATCTATTGATACGCTCTCAACTCTGCCATTTGAAGCCGGATTCCTTTTGCTTTGTCACTATAGTGATGACTTAGCAATTTAAGAAGGGGAATGGTATTTCAACTGTAGTATACACAACTGAACCAGGTATGAAGTTGGATTCGTTAGCATTTGATCCTCCGTTACTTTCCTCTATTAATGAGATGAAACTATGTCCCCTCCAACCACAACGATAATGTGCGCACATGAATATTTCTAAGTACTTGAGATTGTATCACTCTCCATTTGAACGGAATTGATTCTCACGCCTCCAACTACTCTTCTGTGATCATTGCGTATATAGCCATTTTTTCCGCCTATAAACATGTACGTCAAAGTTTTAAGACTAACAAATATTGAATTTCGCTTCAATCTGGCAGATCCGTTGGAAACTGTCGAAGCCCCTTCTCATGTGTCGGCATGGACAGCTTTGGATTAAAGCCCGATACCTTTTAGTCGATAGTAGGCGTATTATTATCACTTATCTCCAACTTCAACTCAAAATTTGTGCGCTGCTTGTGGAACGCACAGTCCAGCTACTCATCATTGTCAATTTAGTTTTCAGTCCAGCGATTATCTTGTCTCGCTTCTCAAGCCGCTCTCTTAGGACTTGGTTCCTGTTTTGGACCTCAAGTTTCAGCTTAACATATTTCTCGATCTCCTCCCTGACTTGTGAGATGATGTCCTGCTTGACCCGAAGGCGATCCATCATTTCCTGCATAACACTGTCGCATCTTTGACTTATCTGCTCTTTTTCGTACCTTAGTTTCTCTGCCTGAAGTAATAGAGTGTCCTGAAAGTCGTGAGAGTTCTTTATTTGACTGTTTTTCTTGGCGAGCTTTGCTTTCAATTCCTCAATTTCGTGATACGCCCTCGCAACTTCGTTCATAATGTCAATTTTACTCCTCTCGAGCGAGAGCAGTGCGTCATTATTAACTTGAATTGTTCTCTCTTGATGACAAATTGTTGCCCTTCTCATGATTATAAAGAGACGACAGAGCGCAATACTATTTTTCCTGATTGGAGAAAAGGACTTGATATATTTCCTTCGAAATACTTTCGAAACGTTTGTCTTCTTCTTCTTTATCAATATATTGTGCCTCGACGTTGTAATTTCGTAGATCTCGAACGACTGATTATAACAATTCGCTCCCGCCACTGGGTTGCAGCTGCAATTACTTGTTAACAATCAAGTACCAAATCTTCCTAATGGCATTGATCATTCGCTGAAAGAAAATTTGCGTAGTGCTTATTCCCCAGAGGAAAGTTCTTGTTTTTGTCTTTCAGTAGCTCTAAGACGCCATTGTAATTTTGTTACGTCAAATAGCACCAGAAAGTTGAAGAAACAATATAGTTGATGTGTTTGCTGAGTTTGCCTTCTCTGGCTGTGCAGAAAGATGTTCGAATCAATATTTGCAGCCTTATATACTTTAGCCCCGGTGCAATGAAAATGTTATCCGCTCTTGCAAATATAGCTTACCATTATTCCTAATGTTAATAATGTTTGCCCGCGTAGATTTCTTTTGTTTTTCGTTTGTCTCTCAGCATTGGAAAACAAAAGCGTCAGTTATTGGAAGTCAATTAACATTTGGTTGAAGTTTTAGCTTAATACACGCGAATAACAATTGCTGAGGGAATCATTGTTTGAGAAGATGGTAACGAGCTTTTAAGTTTTTGTACATGGCAGACTATAATTGTACAAAATTGACTGTAGGACAAACTACTTATAACTTTTGTTCGACGAATGGATAGTAGCTCGTTTAGACAGTATCTACTCTGCTGTGGTGATATCGTCATCTTAATAAATAATCGTTTACTGTTTAGTGGTAGTCCATGAGTATCCGTCTAAGCATGACGACTTATTTGCAATTATGTTATCAGTCTGTCCACTGTTGATATGTTCATTGGGTCGTTTTGCAGGCCTTGTCGATATCACCAGAAGTTAAGCACATTATTGACCCCAACCAAACTGAAGTGTAGTGACATGTTAGACTTCCGCTCTAAAGACGCTGGAGCAGTAGACCTGTTAAACAAGACATTCTTCCATAAATGCTAATTACTGACATTTGTGCCTTGCTCTTAATAAAGCAGTGATAGTAATTAAGTCAAACGTGACATGCGTTTTGTTAACTCTACAACCCGGTGACGCATGATTTTGAGTTGGGTGACTTTTGAGTCTCGCCGATTTCCTCAGTAACACTCAGTGTTCATTACATATCATCATATCATCTGAGCTATCTCGTTAGCATCCGTCTAAGGTACTTACATGAAGTGAAATTGACGCCTTTGTTATGACACTTGACGTCTGCGTTAATTATATGCGACGTCGTGGTAACAAGTAAACATTATTTTTCTTTGGCGTTGGTTAGGCAGAACTAAATTTAATTTGATTTCCTGCCACTGTCACGAAAAGGGTCGAACAATAACGGTGTGCTGAGTCATAGGATTGAACATCACGATACATGTACTGACTTGAAGGCGACTTTCGACTCTTCAGCCAGGACAGACAACTTTTGAAAAGCCGTAAACTTGAAAAGATTAAATATGGCAGCGGATGGTTTAGTCGCTTCGCTGCCCTCAATTGATCCAAACAATGATTTCGATGGTAGCGAATTCTCGCCTGTAGACGAGCAAACTGAAAGTAAGACTTGCTTTGACCAAAGTCTGATCTGGGAAGTTGCGGTACACCAAGAGTTCCTTGAACCAGAGATTGTAAGAGCGAAGAGTGTTAGTCCACACCGCAAAGTCAAAGTTCCAAGTACATCAACACAGACCGGCAAAACCAGGCGGGGTGAAGATAAACATCTGAGTACAGAACACACTGAACTTCGGCAACAGAATATGAACAGATCTGGAGTACCAAACCGTATGTCTTTAAAAACTCCTTGTCGAGATTCAGGTAATTTGTCAAGGAACGGTGAATTCGAGCTTCCATCCATCCCAGTTCAATCAAAACGACAAAGGGCCCTGACTGAACCTTATCTGTTGTCTTCTTTGAATGAAGGAGTTGACTTCGTAGAAGGCGATGTGTTTCGTAAGAACCTGAGTTTAATGTATCGTCAAGGTAGAGAAGTGAGAAAACTGGAGTATGATAACACAGCATCGAGAAGAACTTTACAGGAAGCACACGACATGATAGGAGATCTCAAAGCCAAGATAGAAAAGAGAAATAAATTCATCAGAGAGAGGAACAAGAAAGAAGGAGACATCGCTCATATTGTTGAAACTTTAAAACGGGAAAAGGACGAAAAGCTCTTAGAATACAAAACGATACAAAAACGAATGACTGAGGCACTGGCGCTCAAAGACAAAAATCTTGAAGATATTGAGGCAGAGAGGACACAGGCTGAGAGTCTTTATCAAAAACAGTTAAAAGACAACACTGAACTGATGAGAAAAATTGAAGCAAGGGAGAAACAAATCAAGCAACTGAAAGACAAGACAGAAAAAGCAAAAAAATGGAAAGATAACGCTAGAAGCTAACTTAATTACAGTCAATGAAACGGCTGCTCCAATCATTTGGGTGGTTAAGGTTTTCAATGATTTAAAGAGCAGTTCGAGACGGTCACCAGTTCATCAAATTGGAATTAGGGGTTTTTTTTTAAAGGAACAATCAAGTTCGAGTCAGCAATTTGCAATCCTTCGTAATTCTCTCCAATCTAAGCCATCCTTGTTCCTTCTCGGTGAATGATTTCTTCTGTTATATTCCTATCTTACTGAACTGATATTTTAGTGGTCTCGGCCATCATGTTGGAGGGTATAGGTAGCTCTGAACGTTGCAAAGAATGACTGAAAATATTGTGACACTGGTTCCTAATAATCGATGATTTATGCATAACTGTTCCACAAAATAACAAATGGTAAGCAACCAAGTAAGAATGTGTTTCGTGAAGTTATGATTGCATCTGTAACGTGATTTTGTCACTTAAGACAGATCTAACTGTGAGCTGGTACCATCACACCAAAGTTGCTCATTTTAAGCAACCCAACACCTCAAACAATTGGAAAGAGATCCTCTTCTCCTTCGCCAGCACAATGAACGTGATCTCATTCCAATTAGGTTATTCACAGCCTCTATTCCTCTTCACTTCTAACTAACTGAACGCGATGTGAGATTCTAATAAGGGTAGAGCCCTGTTGATAAATTCATCAGTTGGGGGCCTGAGACAAGGCGTGGGGTAGGGTTAGGGTTTTAGGGTTAGAGCATGCACTCGCTCAGATAGACGATAGACCGATAGAAATGATAGATCTTGGGTCCATTGGGCCCAGGTCTATCGTTTAGCCGGAAGAAGAGGCTGTGGATATCGTGGTACCCTTGTGAGATAATGTTCTGATGACAAAATGATGATAGGTGAAAGCCCCTGAATGGACATCAGGGAGCCAATGGTAGTGACATTAGGCCTTGACTCGCGAAGGAAGGCGAGATAGCCGGCATCGAGAAAGCAGCAACGTATAGGCCACGTTAGGCCTCGTTGATTTGGCATAACAAACATAAAATGCCTCTGTGCACCAACTATCCTGGATAGTAGAGGTTTGGCAATGTGACCGTAAACTATCTGACAGCCGCAGAAAGAAGATACGTTTACTTCTTTCTAGTGGCACGGTTCCTCATGAGATCCTGTTCATTAACAACCCCAAACAAAGTTGGTAAAATTTAATTAACAAAAGGTTTTTTAGGCTTTGAGCTTATCTGAGGAATGTATATTCTAACGGTTTCTGTCGAGGCCCGTTTTAGCTCGACTGCTTCAGTAAAAGTTGTTTCCATGCCTCTTATCAAAACAAAACCCCAGATAGGATGCAGTGAAAATGCCGCATTCTGAATCTAATGATTACCTCTTGTTTCAACTGATACCAAATACATGTATTGTATAGGCTCAAGTCTCAACTCTAGCTGTTAGCTGTCATGGCTCTCTGAAACCATGGCTTCTTCTATTTCCCTGTCACCATGTCTTAAGACGCGACACGGGAACGGGAATTCTGGGAATTCTGCTTTGGGTCGGTACGTAGGTAAAATGGAATCGTGACACTCACTTCCGTACACCCCTCCCCCTCCTCTTTTACTCTGTCTTGTCTTGTTAGCCGCTTCATTGTATCGTAGCTCTTCTCGCTTGAAAATTTTTTATCAAATTCCTCTTACTAACCGTTTTTTCTGCTCATATTTATGGCCCAGGTGTAGAGCTCATGGGTCATAATTACATAATTCTATACAAAGGAATATAATATTTATTAATACGAATTAAAGACTAAAAAGATTATTGCGCGCCGGTCCGGTAGCGCTCCTTAGGAATAGCTAACGTTTGCCTGTTAAGAGACTTAAAATTACTACAAGGTCTAAAATTTGCTGACAAAGAATTGAAAAGGGCTGACGCGCTATCCTGGAAAGTGTCAGAGGCCATAGCCTACGTTCTTTCATAGGCAACCAGCCTAATTTGAGAATAGTGTCAATACTATATACACAGTGTCCGCAGACAAAACTGGCTGCGGCAATCTGAATGCGCTGTATAGCCTTTATAAAAGACAGTCAGTAATTGGATAAAATATTATATCATTAAAGGCAAGGCGGGAAATAACTAAACTTTAAGCTAATTTTTTTCTAAGATGAAAGTTAGTAAAGTTCTTGATTGGATTCCGGATAGAGGGGGGAGATTTCGATTCCTTTAACTTTTAAGTTTGGTGGGCCGTACAGTGAAATACGGCCTGCTAATGATAAACATAATCATTAAAATTTACTTATATATTGGTTTAGTATACAGAAAGTAGTTCATCTACACGCATTAAAACTGTATCAAAGATTTAATTTGAGTGCGTCAAAAGTATTACATAAAATTTTTATTGTATTTTTATTGTTATTGTACTTGACAAACAATAACAATACGCTTTCGTGGGCTAGAGAGATAAAGGCTTTTAGTAAAAAAATCTCTCTAAATTTTGTTCGATGAAGACATACAATGCAAAAATGTACTAAAAGTTTAAAGGACACGAGTGAAACCAACACCTTCTAGCTAAAGGATAGTTGATGATAATTATATTTTTAAAAATAACTAGGAAATATTTGGACGTCAGTTTATCGAAGAGGAAAGAAAAATCAATGGACATTTTGGTTATTTCAGTTTCCAAAGTAAATAACGAGAAGGCCAGCAGGATTGGAATATTAACTGTTTTATTATTGCAATTAAATGACGATAGTTGTTCTTAATGATGAAAACAACCAGCGAGAGAAACGGTCAGAATGTTTGCCGACAAAACGTTTAAATAGAAAGGAGCCGTCTGAATGAATTATACGGAAATAAAATTCAATCAGAATTGAAAAAAAAATTTAAAGCAGTTTTAAAAATTATTTTTCAAATGATGTCAAATAAACATTTGAACTTTTTATTACTTGTTCATTACATATCTTGTGTAAAAAGGATTGACGACTTTGGCCGCGCGAAAACGTACAAGAAAATTTATTTAAAGCTTTATCCTCTACTCTCCAATACAGGGTTTCCAACGAATATCTTGCGGAAAAGAGCTCAAAACATGAAGTATGATATTCACAAGTAAAATATCTGGCACAACTACATTTATTGATGCAAAAACTTATGTTAGAAATTGACTGTGTCAAAGAAGCTAACCTCTCTCAAAAGTATACTTTCCTTTTTCTAAGGAGACCGCCGAGCTAGATTATTGTAAACTATGACCAACATTGGTCTCGTCTTAAAATAACAAACAGCTTTAGAACTGGTGCCGTTTGTCCCTAAATTTATTTGCAATATACCATCAAACCAATCGCGAACCAAAACAATTAAAAACACATTTTTTGATCATCTGTCGCTGTTTTCTTTTCCTTTTACTGAGCCGATAAATTAACTTGACCGTTCACGTTTCTTTTATGTTTCATATTCTTTTCCCAAAAGAGAATAAAATAATTCAAGACACGTTAATTAAGACTTTGCTATCAACATTCTAGCCGGTGGCAAGTAACCGTAAGTTATCGGTTTAAATTCTCGTTTGCTCTCCTCAAAGTGCGCCGATATCAGGAGAGACGATTATCAACACACATGCAGGTACATGAATACTGCTTTGTTTCTCGAACACAAAAGTTTCTTGAATGTGATCTTAGTTGAGAGATCTAACTTCGGTTTAATAATATGGTAATCACGACTTATAAAAGACCGAAAACAAAAACCTCTATTTAGGGGAGCCATTAGCATGAATTTATGATCATGAGGTCGCCTTTGTGTCATCAAAGAGAAGCTGGACAAACATCAATTGAAGAATCAGCTGGCCATTGTCTTTAGTCATACGTGCAGGCCAAGAAATTTTGCGATCAAAATTCAAGCCTTAAGCGCACGTCCTTCGCCGTTCCTTCTTTCAACAATAACGAAAAAAAAAATTTCGAGTAAAGTTCTCAAATCTTGGCAGAGAAGTCTCCGTCTTATTTCAAACGGTTGCAATAGACAATTCTCTCTGCTTTCTTGAGCTATAGCACACTGAGAGAAAATCATCGCTATGAGTAAACTTATGTTATTTCTATCTACGACACTTTTTAGGGCTGTGACGTATTCTTACCATCAGCCAAGAAATAACAGATAAAATAACAATAAACCGCATGGAAAAACTGGCCCTTTCATTATTTTCATTTCCTCCAGCCGTAACAAAAAAAAAAAATGATAATAAAAAATCAACGGCTTAGCATAGTTGCTTTCAATATGTAAAGAAACCGCCCACAAAAAAAAAATTCAAATTGAAGTTTAGAAATTAAAATTTAATAAAAAGTAGAAATGAATCAGGTCTTTAAACTCGAAACGAAACCGTTTATTTGGATTTTTTTTCAGGCGATAGAGGAAAGGTGTTGAGGAGTGTTTACCGAGAAAGGTTATTATCATACGTTCATTACAGTTTAAATTTGTCAAGGTTTGAAATAAAAAATTGGATAAGAAAACTCACTACAGAAAAGGAATCAGTTCATTCTCTCTTAATTGAGAAATAGTACAAGTTTCAGGACACAATTGGTAGTATCTCAGGTCAACCGAGCGAAAACATTGAATGCGCTTTTTTGGGAAGTTAAAACAAAACAAGAAGGTGCTTTAACTAAAAATACTCTTTCACAAACCAAGCGGAACACTGGCTAGAACATGTTTGATATCATTGTGGTAAAAGTCAAAATTTAATTTCACCAAGTTCTTTAACTAAAGTTTAAAACTTCAGCACATCTCTTCCCTGCTCTCCTTTAGTGCATCCCTTAAATACAGCGCGTGAATATCACTTATACAGGTGGCAATCATAGAGGAATATTAATGACTTTACAGGAAAGTGGTATCTTAAAATAGATCTTTATCGTCGCGCGCGTTAAAGGGTAATGGCGTACGATTTAAAAGATTTAAGCAACACGCGACACTCGTATCGCAAAACAACGGCGCGCGTCGAAAAGGTAAACGGGATGCGCGAAAGACTAAATTGTACATTCAATATGCCTTTTTTGCTCGCTTAGAAGTCAGCTTAAGTCGCGTAGTTTGTATACTTAATTACTAAACGCTTGAAATATGCAAGGACAAGGTGGTACAAGCAAAATTACAATGACAAGATTTTTAAAAGTCAAATGATTTTAGAAATTCGGTGTGATATTTAAAACTTAAGGGGGTCAGTCGACTTAAAGAAAAACAACAAAAGAAAAAAAAATTTCGTTCGCGTTTACCAATAACAAGGAAATAAAATAAACAGATTTCAAGGTAAATTTACTTTTTTCCAATGTTGTGTGTTTTTATCCTAACCCAATCTGGTTGACCCTTGGCAAGTTTTTCGCCGAATCGTCTCAATTCTTGTTCTACGATGAGCGTTGCTAAATGCCCTGAAATGAACCACAGTAAGCTTTGTGAATATTCATGTCACACCGCTGTTTCAGTAAAACTCGTAGGACAAAACACTAAGAAGCTTCTCTGGCGTGTCAATAAGATGAGCGGGACAGATAGGATTTTGTAATTCCAAAAACGTCGCAAACTCCGAGAACGAGTCTAAAACGTCCCACTCAACGGTTAAGTTCATATGGCAAGTCGCTATGGACTGTTGAGTCATCACACTGCCTAATGGTGATCGGTTTGAAACGGCCTCCAGACTGTACCCACAATTGCCACTGTTGTGTAAGATTTCGCTTTTTAGTTCTGTAGGTTGCGCAATTCCATCTTGTCGAGATTTTTTAGTGTTCTCTTTTTCATGTTTTCTGCGGATCTTAACATTAACTTTTGATGTTTTATGACTGGGATTTCCTTGCGGAGATTGTTTCAACTCATGTTGCGTCTCTGGCATTGTTTGCTCCCAAGTCTGTGCCTCACTTTCTGTACAAGGTTTGGGGAAGTCAATGTGATGAAGTCTTGTAGTGTTTCCAAATCGAAGAGCCATGCGATCCAAGTTGTGCTTTAAATTTCCGGTTATCAGCAAAAAGCTCAAAATGAGTACTTTGGAGAAGTGTTCTAATCTTTTTGCTTGATCTGATACGGTTATCGCACAGTTCCCTTTCGCCGCTCTTTACAAAACGTGCTTTACAAAATAAGTTCTAAAGTTAGGCCACAAAACATTCAAGGCCAAATGTTTACGACTGGGCGACAAGATCAACACTTAAAAAAGGTACGAAGTCACCAGTTCTTGACTTGCGGTCGAGTTCCCCGGGAATTTCCTCTGACGGATCGCTCAACCCAGAACTGTGGCGTAGTTCGTTGTTTCTCTTCTACAAATCCGTTCGCGTGTGTCGTATCGGGCATAGCTAGCACGTTGTTATCGTTGACTTCCATGAGAAAGAGTAACCGCGAAACATATGGTACCTGTTTGAAACACAACAAGGAAAGTCGAATCGAGTCATTAGTCAAACATCTGCTTGAAGAGACAGTGTTATTGGCTAGCGATTTCTATTGTTTGGAACTCACTTTCTTGCCGTCTTTGTCTAATGCTTGCTAACCGAGTATCAGAAATAAATTAGCTTCTTAAGGACTGTGTAAATGGCGATTTACGCAGTGTTGATCATTTCTTTTGAATGTATTGACTGCAAGCTTCGGGAGCATGAATCGTGGTACAGAGAGAAAGAGAGTCAGCTACTCTAAGACACTCAGGTTGCCCACGTTTTTGCATGCGAAATTATTAACGTCTGTTTGTTTTTCATGATTGTAACTCATTTATTATTCACACAAATTAACCATCACATGGAGAAATTTTCAATTCAGTTTAGCAGCGCTAAATGGAAGAACACTAGAGAGTGCTTGTGATTGTCAGTAACCGCACTGACAATGGCCAAACAGTTATGAAGCGGAGAGATTTAAGCACATGCTCTTCAGCGGGTGCAGAGGTAACCCCGGCCCTTTTCTTCTAGAGCTAGTGACTCATTAGTTGTGTGACAAAGTATATATTTTTTTTCTCTTGTGAATTTTCCCTGAAAAAGAATAACTGGTTATTGTGTGGATTCACCTGCTTTAAATGTTTTCTTGTTGTGACGAATTTACTGAATAAATACTCGCTAACTGTCGTTTATCATCTTATGAGACTTGCGCATAAAGAAAGATGCAAATTTTCGTTCACCTCAGCAGAGAATCTCTAATGTTCAGTTGAACAAATTCTCATCAATCGTTGAGATTTCAACAATGGATGCTAAGCTTTGTTTCTTTGTTGCTGTCACTCCCATAGCTGAAAATTTCGAACTGTTCAATTTCACCTGGATAACAAAAGTCATGGAGATGCAAGTCGTTTTTTCAAAGTTGTTGTTTTTTTTTTTTTGTGGTTAACATTGTTGGTGTTTGAAATTGTATTGACTTTAGAAAAAGACGGCAGCTCCCTTTGCTGCCTTTGGTTAAAAATAATAATAATAAAAAAAAAAAAAACATCAAATCAAATTATCTTTGTCGACTGTCCTACGGAACCTCGCAAGTTTCATTTTATTTCAATCTGCTTCCAGCCACTTAATTGCAAAAGTTCTGTGCCTTTTGTGAGATTCATAGTATTTCTATTATCTCTTTTGCTATCAAATCACATGTATATGTAAATATTTTCTCGATATCTTCCCTGACCCTCACCTTGAAAATCATCAGAATGGAAATGCTCAAAACGGAATCCATCTAAGCGCTACTTTTCGAGGTTATAAAGATATTCCAACGATAAGTATTTTTATCTCATTTACGCCGCAGGGTTTAAACATAGGAAAAGTCTTTCTGTAAGAAATATTTTAAAGAAGTCCTATTTTCGATAAATCCAGCCATTTTGAAAGAAAAACTCTCTAATTTATCAGGCTAATTCGTCAAACGATAATCCAAAGAGTCAGACGTAAACGTGACTTTGTATACCAAGCGATTAGTCGCTGTTTTGTCTTATCCGCATTTTTATATAACTCGCTGTCTGCGTGACGTGACATCATTTTAGGGCATATATAAGCCGTTCACGTTTCACACTTATCACCGCATCGTTCTTTGAAGTTAATCTTTCAACGTTTATTTACTTTTTAGAGTCGATGTATGAATTAAAATTGAAAACCTAAAATTTTGAGAAGTAGGAGATTAAAAGAACGGCTAAAATCTTCGTTGGTAATATAAACTTGACCTTTAATTTTTGTTTAAAAATATACAGTTTAGATAGATCGTGATTCTTACGATTTTTTCTTTGTAATTTATTTGTTTTTTATCTTTTTTTGGAGATCGCTTTGATTATATAGGAATAGACAACCGCTCTCTCTGCTTAATTTTCTTGATTTATTAGTTCCCCACTAAATAATTTAGAGTAAATGTCTGCAGACCCTTTGAAGACCTGAGACACAAATAATTTTTATTCATGCTTTTCGTCACTTTAATGCGGAAGGGTATGGCTCACTAACTTTTCACGTCTACAAATCATCAATAAAACATCTTTGAATAATGCTTTAGAGTCTTCATATTTTTAATAAGCATGCACTTTCTATCAAATTCAAATGAATATTTTGCACAAGGCCTGACGAACAGGTGCTAAATTATGTATGAAGGACCTTCAAGTCCGCTAAATCTACAATATAATTACAAGTGAATCGGTCAAGGTCGCTGAATCGATTTACTTCTCGCTGTGTTCCTCTGACAAGAACAAAAGGAACTACTTCGGTTACTTCTAAAGCTACAAGCTGGCCATCGCCAGAAAGGTTCATTGATGACACTTTTGCATCTGGTGTGAACACAGTAAACAGCGTGAGTTTACTTTTACACAGTCTCCAGAAACGAATCGACCGATCTTTCGAATCTAATCCTCCTGCAGTTGTCATCGCAACAGAGCCATTGTTGGTTGTGTAAATCCGATGAATAGCACCGAGGTGCGCATGCTTAAGCCTTTGAACACACGTTCCTTTTCCTACGTCATAGAGCTCCATTGTGCCATCAAACAAACCCAAAATCAAGGTTCTGGTTTCCGCGATTATGGCAAATGAATGAACATGGTGTTCCGTTTTTGATTTAAACAGGAGCCTTCCTGTATGCACTTCATACACAACTGCACTGTAGAGCTGGGTAGCAAGATTGTAGACTATATCTGAAAGGAGATTCCCATCTGCAGCCAATTGCATTTCTACAAAAGAAGGAAATCATTAAAATGTTGTCCATATGAGCAGTAAAGCGCACGATATTATCAATTACTTGTTGAAATCAATGGTGTTCGCAGGGTACTGCAATTGATCACTACTCCCTCTGAATGTGCCACTACTCATATAGAGATCTAATTTTGACGCGATAAGCTAAAAAACTTGGAATGACCAATCTTATATGGAGTATAACATTTGGGGGAATACACCGATGTTTTAATGTAATATGTACCCATTGAACGCAACCTTTTAGGCCATTGAACTCATTGACTAATTGTGGAGATTTTCTTAGTCCTATGTACACATACATAAACGCTTGGTTAATGCTTGCTTGAATTTAGTATCGCCTTGTTCTAATACTTATTCGCTACTCGTGTTTTTATTATCAGTCTTTTAAGGAGCGTTTAAGGACAAAACAGAAATAATTGAAGTCACCCAGGCCATCATTGGTTGACTATTTGACACTTGAAATCACTCAGACTCACCACTGAAATCTGCCTGTGATTCTTCCAGGGTAATTCTTTGGATACACGTCTTCTCATTCATATCCCACACAGAGTAGCTATACCACGACCTAGCCTCATCATCATTTACGACGCTGTGCCCAGAAACACAGATTTCGCCATCTTGGGAATGGACAAGTCTTAACATAAAGACAACAATAAATTTTTAAGATTCATATATTTTAATGTTATATTTAAGGCTGTCATTCGGTACTAAAAAATGAAATGTCAAGAGACCGGTCGATTCACGAGGAATCTGTTTCATATTTGTATCGGTTTACAATCAACTCGCCACCACGAAGACTCGCTAACAGCTGGGTCGCCACCATCTAGTCGCCACCAGTAAACTCGCCACCAAGGTCGTTAGCTAATTTGGTCTAAATCCAAAGCTTTTGGCGACTCCTAAGTTTGAGCTTGAGTCTCGCGAGCATCGCCATAACAATGCCATGGGCAATACTGTAGAGCCATGCTGAAGGCCTAATAGTTTTATCAAGATGGGGGAAGGCGTCAAATGCGCGCAATGATCGAAAGCCACCAATTTGATCTGATCAAAGAAGATATCAAACGGAATATCGAACGAAGTCTAACCTGTAAATATTTGGAACGTTCATCAAAAGAAATTCAACGAAAGTTACTGCAACTTTTTAATCGAACGAACGGATGACACGATCGAAAAGAACTGTCATCGATCGCATGCATTTTTTGCCGACAAAAAGAGTGTTTGAAAACTCAAAAGGCGATCCTGTTAACTTTTAACCCCATAACACTTGGTGGCGAGGTAACATGCCTTGTTGGCGAGGTCGATGGTGACGAGATCGATTATACTTTGTGGCGAGCTCGCTGATGACGAGTCTTCCTGGTGGTGAGGTGACTGGGTACCTTGGTAAAGGTAAAAAAATTTAACGCTGTAAAAGAGCAAGAAATAATCCTAAGTTATCGTTTCCACTGACCTTCTAATATGTTCACATTCCAGCTGATCTATTCTCTTGCCGTCACTGATGTCGAACACACATAGAGACCGCTGATCGTCAGATATGGCAATCACCTGAGCCTGTTTGTAAACAAAACAGCTGTTTGGTAGTCCTCCTTGACAGGTATCCCCATCAAATTGATGGATAAATTGTCTCTCATTCATGTCAAATAAGTACATCTTTCCAGATGACACCAGAATGACTTCACTGTCGCTAACACAAACCACTTGAGGTTGTATTCCGTTTATAAACTGGATAAAATTTCCTTCTTGAAAGTCTATCAGACGTACTCCATTTTTCTCCCAACAGATCGCTTGGTACCCAAAGACACTGACGACTTCTACTTCGCCCTCCTCATCATTCTCGTCTTCCGGTGATGAAACGTTCCTTTCTAAATCCCACAGTCGAACGATCTTGTCCCGAGATGCCGTAACGACGTGATTAAAATCAACAAACTCCACTAGGTGAATAGTGCTTGGGTAAGTCAACATCTGTGCGGTAATGTCGCCAGATTCCAAGTCAAACACTTTTAATTCAGCCCGGAAAACGTTAGCATTTGGTAAAAACCTTGAGTTTCCCAATGTCAAAGCTTTTGATTTGTCGGACGATAATGCATAGCATCGTACCTTCTCTGACAGGTCTACAAGCTTACGAATTAAAACCTTCTTCGAAACATTCCAAAGTTCCAAAATGAAAAATTTGGTCTGAACGGCGGATCCCTTCCTCGAATCCGGTTCTCCTTCACACATCACTAAAAGTAACGTGTCAAAGGCTGTGACACCAATAAATTGTACTGTAACGCCAGGACCGATCTTCATCTTCACCTCTACTTTACCGGTGTCCAAATTAGCAGCTCTAATCCAACTTCTTGAGGAAGCAACTGCGGATAATGTGCCCCTGCTCGCGTAGAGAACATTGTGATCATCAAGAGAACACAAAATAACCGGTAATGACATTGCACTTTCCTTTGGTAGCATATCGTCATAAATTTCTTTAATCTGATTGCCTGTATGCAAGTCAAATAGCTTGATGTGTTGGTTAAAAATCGTCACCAACACAACTGTATTATAGCCCTTAAAAACACAAATTGGCGCCACAACTGTAAGCTTATCTAAGAGAAACACCCTTTGGCCGGTAGAAAGCCTCCAAGCAGATATGGAACCGGGCTTTGAGGTCACAACTGTTGATTTATCAGGGGTTATCGTCACAAACCAGACATCATCACCTAAAAGGCCACAGGAATAAAAAGAAGAACGACTTGTATGAACTATAAAATGTGATAATGACAAGCTAGTGATCCTTGTCGAAAGGCGTTGCGGATTAGAAAAACTACAACGCTGCTGCCTTTGTATCATCATTTCTTCGAAAAACCGGAAATGTCTTTAAATTATTGTAGACCCAATCCAAAATAACTTCAGTTTCTGCAATTTTAATTTAAATTTTCGGGTAAAATATATTTCCAGTTGATGAAGAAAGGGTAAATGAATCTGGATGAAGTTCTTAAGACAAACTCTTACCCCGTCCTCAAGTATGAGTTCTAGGACCTTGGTCATCAACATAGAATCACTTTGTTGCGGTGACAAGGAAATGCAATGGTAAATGTTTGTCTAGCCTGCAGAGCAGGCCTAATTTTGGCGAGTAAGTGCGCAGCATTTTCTTGGCGAAAATTATGGCCGCCATCTGTTATCTTAATGAGAGCGGAAGGCTGAGGAGAGAAAGAATTTTGTACCAAGGGGGTGGCCGACGGTCAGAAATAAAGAGAGGGGTAGGGGTAGGGGGATGAAGTTTACGCCTGCCCGAGGTCATTGATATTTTTGCAAAACTGCGTTCGCCCACGAATGGAGTTTCTGATTAGTGCGGTTAATCTCCAGCCGTCAATCACAAGCCAAATGTGTTATTTGGATATTTCGCTCTTGGAGGAAAAAGAGAAAGATTGCGAACTCTGTCGATGAAAAAGTTGTTAGTTTCGATTCCGTTTTTGATGAAGCACCTAATTGTGTCTTTCGGAATTTGGTATTTCTCGCGCATTAAAATCGGAACAAAAAGAAACAATTTCTACACTGGTTTCTGGAGAGGATCTACTGGCCGTGTTGCCAGCTAGCTTTAGGGAAAGCCTATGTTTCAGGTGTTGGTTCGTATGAAAAAAATTACGACGGAGAAAATGTTGTCGTTTGTCTACTTAGAAGCATCTTATACGACCAAATGGAAGAAAAATCGTCAAACGGATAAACGGCAGCTACAATCAAGGATAGTCGTTTCGAAAAAATAGATTACAGCAAATATCAGCTCATATTTGTGACTGCGGAGGAGGTTTTGTCGATGCCATTTCTTTCCCGGCTGAAACAACTGCCGCACCTGTTCAATCATCGGCTCTACGTGTGTTTGTTTTTTTATCTGTGACTGTGCTTCCGGTTTTTTTATTTAACTCATTTTGTTTGGTTACCTGCTACTTTCCGGAATGCAGTGACGCGCAACTCATCAGAGGGTGTTTTGCTTTTCAGCAGCCTCCTCGGGCAGGCATCTTTTCGCCTTCCCCGCCCCCCTTCCCCCCACCGCCTCTATCTTCAAACAGACATGGGGGGTTAGATAAACGATCGCGAGCTTCTTAACGCTTACTCGCTCTCATAAGACGCCTGCACTGCAGGCTAAAGTTTGTCATTTGTTATATTTGTCATATCAATCTAACTCAAGTCAAGAAGGGAATATTGAGACCTTACCTACTCCTTCCAACGTCCGAATCAATCTTCCTGACCTAATATCCCAGACCGAACAGGTTGTATCAACAGAGGCACTCGCTATAAGCTTTCCATCCGCACTTGCACTGATAGCGGATGATGGCTTTAGTTGCCCGGGCATCGAATGAACTAATGGTCCACCAGGTGATGTTAAGCACACAGAAGTGGGTAAAAGACAGGGTTTCCATGGGTGTCGGGTCTGGTCCAGTAAAGCTTTTACATAATTCGATTCTGATGTTTTAATGCGTCCGAGTAGCTGTGTGGCTAGCTGCGCTGGATGTTGTAGTAGAGCAAAAGTGGAAAGTTGTAAGGTTTCCTTCACAAGTTGGATGTCGTCGTCGACAATTTTCTCAAGGGCAAAATCAAAATCATCCATAAGGTCCCGGAGGGAACTTGATTCTAAACAGGTAAGAAGGAATGTGAAGTTACAAAGTACTTCTCGTTTTAATGCTTCGACGTTGTTGCACAACACCAAATGATAGGGGAGCTCGTTTATCTTGCGAAAATTGAAATTCTTTGACTCTTTGTTTCCCTCAAATGTCCACGGCTGATGAGAAACAAAACGGTCAGCTTCAAGGACTTGTCCTTTACTCGTCTGGTACGGCTTCCTCTTTCCGTTTGCCCACACACCCAAGAAATATTCACCTAAAGCCTGATGAGTAAATGTCCGCTCCTCTTCTTCAGACAAGTATCTAGCTCTTGCGGCTTCGATAAATTGTCTGTGATACCAAGTGATAACACTTGCACCGTCTGCACCTCTGTCCACAAGGTAACCTGCTAAATCACTCCGTATACGGACCCAAAGCAACGGAGGGATACGTCTGATAGGTGGTGTCCAGTACTGATAAACGTCATCCAAAACGCGATCATCGCAGGATAGTAAGTCCTCTATTTCAGTTCCAGTCAATCCGCTCTTTGCAGCAGTAATGTAAGCGAGGGCTTGCCGCACCAATACTCTTCCGTGCTGAAGCTCAATCCTCTCAAACAAAGCATTTACAGCGCCTATTTCGGCCAATATAATAGAAAAATCATGACTTGCACTGAATACGTGTTAACTCACCGAAACATCATTTAAGTACATCTAGATTGTGGCCTTTAATTGATACCAATATTAGGTTTCGTCTAACAGTTAAGTTGTTATGAAGTCCATTGATACACGTGGGTTTGTCGTGGCTCTACCGAGATTGATGTAGGTTCAGTTTTAAACACAGTAACATAACTAACGTTTTTTTACCTCTGACTGTGTCTTGAAGTACAGTCTCGCTGGGCGAGGAGTAGGACTTCCATCTCAGGGCTTCATCAAACGCGACTCTGATAAAGATTGGGAGAGAACACTTTTGAAGAGATTCTTTAACAATGACTTCCTGGTTGGAAGAGAGAATTCTGCCACCACCATTAAGCCAATTGCTGAGAATCTGGAATGCGTCTTCTTCCGGTAGCTTTGGGACCTCTATAAAGTTCTCTTCTTTGAGTAAGGACTAGAAATGAAACGAGGTAACATATATGTTATATACCAAGCGGGAGATCCTTATGGGAAACAACTGCGCTCGATGCCCAGAGTACAGCCCGTAATTAATCCGTAAGTTTTTGGCCTTCTTACCCTCAACTGACGCATTCCTTTTAAAACACCTCTATGATGTAGGTTACTGCTACAGTACTTCTATTAATATCTTATGTGATGCAAAAGCATGATATACAACCACTCAAGCACTGGATGAAGAACAGTATTTTGAGCGTGCTTCTCCTTGCTTTAGATATAGTAGCAATTAAGCAGAGTTTAACTTTGAAGACTTCACTTTGGGCCCAATTGATCGTAGAAACCACTGAAGTAAGAATGTTCGTGATACCTTTCGTTTCACATGATCAGTTAGAAATGACAAACCTCTAAAATTGGAAAGCACTCGTATTGGCCGTCAGGTAAAGTAGACACAACGAGTTTAACGTGGCCTGGGAGAACTGTAGGTAACCAAGTCAGTTGTCTTGCGTTATCTTCTGGTCCAAACTGATCCAAAGAATCAAGGAAAACGAAAAGCGGTTCGTCCGAGTTGGCAAAGCTAAGGCAGGTTATGAAATCTTCCTGCAGCTCTTTCATGTCCTGTGAAAAAAATGGGAAAGAACTTTAATTCGATAATCCATATCGCAGTGAATCGTTATCCGTACATTCATCTTTTAACTGCAATCTTGATATCTTGGTAACCAATCTTTTGAGTCACGAGATTATATTCTCTTGTTTGAGTATAATGTTGTTTTCGCACGCTAGTCAAGACTCAGAAGAATTAACAAAAAGGTCTTTATAAGCAATATGGGGCGCGATCAAATTTGAAACACGTCAATCCAAAAAAAAGCGCGCCTTTCCAAATTAAATATACACACCTGTCTGATTTTGGTAGGGTCTCGGCCGTAGATAAAGCAAATTTGTTGGCAGACACTGTAAAGCAGAAGACGAACTTGAGAAGAATTTGGCGTTGTTCCAATGTATCGAATGACAATGTTCGATTGGCTGAAACAATTCCAGACTTCTTTGGCTGCCATAGAAACCACTGAGGTCTTGCCACACCCTGACTGACCGTGAATCACGAGCGGGTCACATCTATCATCCTAAAAAGTATATATTGTAAAGACCTGGTACCCAATTTTAAGAATGCTGATTGTTGAATTTCTCTGTACTTTTGTTTCCGCAAAATTATTGTTGAATACAGTGAAAGGATTAGATGTAATGTAGCGCCAATGCAATTATGTAAAATGTTTACCTGGAGATAAGCTTTGCATCGATCTAGGATTTCTTTCCGTCCGTAAAACGTCTCGTACTTGGTCTGGCAAAACTTTAAATGTTGCACAACTTCCTCGTACGTCGGATCACTAACATCCTCTCTGATTCTCTTGTTTATGGAGTGAATGATCTTTTCTTTCATCAAATATTCCACTTCTCTACACAAGTTGTTTATATATTCTTCGTGCTCGGGTATAGTGGAGGGAGAAATCCCTTCAGAGTTCCAGTCAACTTCAAATCTCATGATGTTTAAGGCAGGTACGGCTAATGTCACAACGTCCTTAAGATGCTGCAAACGAATTCAAAGGATGGCGTCAAGACTTTTCGACAAAACAGGTCCATGATATACAAGCTATCAAACTCGTATAAAACGCAATGTGTGTTAGAGGACTTTTCCTTGATGCTCCCCTCTTGGTGTCATGTTTCCCTTCCACGATAGTTAATAGAATCTGGTATAAATTGGAATAACACGCTCCAGTACTCTCATCACCTCTTTGCTTGCATATGTTAACGTTAAAAGCAGAAGGAACAATTTCATCACTTTGGGGAAAGGGATATAAATGATCGATTTTGGGTCTCCTCTACTCTGTTGTTATTAAAAGGCTCTTAAAAGGTCAGCCGATGCGCAAACTGTTTACCTGTAACATTTCCTGCGCATCAGTGTCGATCTCCTTTGTATCATACTTGATGTCAATGAAGTGATGGGCATTTTCACTCTGCAAGTTATACTCGAGGTCCTGGATATTTCTATTTATCCACAAGCAATTTTCATTCGGGTTTGGCCCGCGTAGAACACCACTTCGAATCTCGCTTTCGGTCACTACAAATAAAATGGGGGCTTTAAGTAAGACACACTCCTTACCATCGAGATATCATCCTCATTCGTGATTCCTTTGTGTATAATCCTCTTGACTGAGATGCAAATTCTTCATCTTATGGCCAATGCAAAAAGCCGTTTTAACTGTAAACAAATCCGGAGCCTTCATTCCACGTAAAGCAGTCAGGAATTTTGTGAAATGAAGGGACGTTAAAAGTAGTTAAATAGCCTTAAATGAGATCAATCTCGGAGTGGCTCGAACGAAACTATTCTTTTAAAAGGTTGCCATCGCAGAGAAAGTAATCAAAAAAAGGCCAATAACAAGCTCACTTCCGAAAAGACAGAATTTTAATTTTTTAACATTTAATTTTTATTGATAGAGCCTCGGGCGAAACTTATTGAATTTTGCCATTTCCACATTGTAGAAACACACATTCCTCTCCTCTAGTCCCACATTTCCACCGCGTCATTATTTCTTATCTAAATTACCTAAACAAAGATCATGACTTCTGCTCCTTCAAACCCTTTTCAATTTGAAGTATTCCCTTTAAAAATGTCGAATTTGCGGATAATCTCCGTTTATCGTCCACTTGACCATAAATCTTACCCGACATGAAATACTTGTGCAATTCGCCAATACTTGCAGCTCCATGCAACGTTTTTGCTTCTCGTCTGAGAATGTCCTGAATCTGAGAAAAAACCTGACTCCAATTCTGCAAAGCGACTTTCCTCTGATCAGCATCGTGACAGAGGCTATTAGGAATGTGATAGCTGATTGGCTGCAGAACGTACATCGGTGGTACTGCGTTCATGTCACATTTAAACCACTTTTCCAGCAGTGCTTTCTCCTCTTTGTCTTTCATTTGACTGAGGAGCTCTTCAAATTCTTTTAAAGGTATTTTGGATGGAATCGGGCGGAAACCGTACTTTTGGCCTAGAAATGCCTAATGTTAAGAAAACGGGAAATTAGCAAGGAGTTTGTCAGTCAGTTCAGTACGATTTGTTGGTAAGATTCTATTGTAAGATGTAGTCGTTAGCACATAGGCACAGACCGAGCGTTTGGTGTGTGCCATGCCAATTTCTATACAATCACGATAGAACCATTTCGCTCAGTATGGCGCCGTCTCAGTGTTCCGAAACAACACTGGAGACTTCACGTATAGGCACATAATGGATTGTAGTTATATTTACCATAAAATTAGGTCCAGTTGAAAGGTCCTGACAGGCCTTAAGTTCCTTTAAGCACAGTTCCAGTGTGGAGTGATCATCAGTGGACTCGTCACGGACACCCCAACGCATATCAACGACCTGAAGACAATAGAGGTTATTATTAGCATTTGTTGAAGCCTGAGTATAGAAGCAGTAGCTGTCTCCTCCAAGATTCTAATAGCTCTTGGTCGAGCGCTTAAATTTGACAAACCTGAAACTCGTAACCCTTCTCCTGAGCAAACTCCTTTAATTTTGGATAGATTCTCTCCATCAGGGCGTTCCTTTCAGCCGCCATGTCTAATCAAAGACAGAAGCATTGGAAAAAATTGTTCTAAATATATCAGGGAAACTCTTCGTATAACCATTATAACTCGTCCTCATAAGGATATGGGAAGTTCGTATACCACAGGTCTCTCACATTATTTCCGTTAGGATTGGGTTTGAGCCTGGAACGGTTGATCTGAGCCCTAAAGCACGACTAATCTCTCTACTGCGCCAACCAATCAACGTTTTTTAATGCAAACTACCATAATTTCACTAATTGGTTAAAGAAAAAATCTATACTGCGATCCTCGTGGTTTAGTTGAAATGCTTATAACTGCTAAGAGCCAAAAAGAGGTCGTATCACACTGCAAAAAAACAGCGACAACGACAGTATCAATAGTGGTAATGATACCATTCAATTAGTTGATCACGAAAATATAATAGCAATGGCAATGGTAACGACTACGATGATGAAATATTGTACTTTATGACAACAGTAATAACCTGTAAATGTAGAACTGGTAAAGATGCGAATAATCTTGGCCCTAGCAGTCAAACTTTGTTCCAAGTCTCCACTCATGACTCTTTTATATCGTGCTAAAAGCTCAGGAGACTGGTGCAAAGTACTCCTTGTGGCTGCTGACGAAGCCCTGGATTCTGAGGATGTAGGGTCAAATATGACAGAGCCAGGTGACAAGATCGACATTGCGTTCGTTTTGCTGCCAGAATCATTTGATGCCCTGCATAATCAAATTTAATTTATGATCAAGAAACGTTCTTAAACAGTTACTTGCTTACTGAATTTCGGACTCTGCCTACCGTCCTCCCTCTGGTTTCTTTTGCAAACGTTTTTGTGGGTTGGCACGCAACATTCTCCGGCAGCATTGCGTGACATTCCAAAAAACATTTGCTCGCTGAGGAGAATATCATTTCCCAGATCGAGTCTCCCTTCTCCTAATGCTACGGTCCTTCTTATTTGTCCATTCTGGAAGGAATACGTGCATCAAAATTGCTAGTAAGGATGGAAGGTTTGGATATATGCAGAGGTGGTCCAGATCTCCTTCAGAAGCCTCTTTTATCAAGGATTCTAGAAAAATCAACCATAAAAAGGGCCTTTCCTTATCATGGATAGGCTGTTTAATTGGTGTAAATATCTTGCTTCAGACTATGAGTTTATTTACCTTGTTGAAGAGGGAGATGCATTTTTATGCTTGATTTGTTTCAGCGAACTTGAGCAAGCTGCACCCATGTGGAGCACTTCTTACGTTAGGCAAGAACTCCTTGACTTATCCAAAATGACCACTAGATAGGATTAGGAAGTGATGGTTTAACTTTCATGAATAATCATCATAAAGAACAACTGTATATTCATGTCTCAAAATCAAACCCCAATGACAGTCTATTTTTCTGCAAATTACAAAAAAATGTTCAGGCCTGTACGGGATTTGAGCCCATGACCTCTGCGATACCGGTGCAGCGCTCTACAAGCTGATCTAATATGCCAACCGGGAGCTGGTCATTGTGTTGGTTGCAAATAAATCCGTGAGGTGGTGAATAAACGACTGTGAATATATGAAAGTCATATATTTGAATTGCGGATAAAGACGTGAATATGAAAGCGACCTTCGCAGTCATGAGCACTACTTGAGAAGTAGGGAAAACAAGGCCTGAAAAAAAGTTTAGGCCAGTACGGTTCAAATCCCGAACAGGCCTGAACTTTTTTATCACAGAAGTCATGGGTTCAAATCCCATACAGGCCTTTTCGCTCTCATATTCACGTCTTTATCCGCAGTTCAAATATATGACTTTCATATGTCGACAGCACGTTTGAATCACTAATGCTAGCCATGCATGACACACATTTGGTCCTATGCGGAATTTTCAGATGAATTATGTTTTATCATATATCTTTTCCGTAATCACTCAGTGTATTAATTGCTACTGGTTGCTGCTGTAACGATAAATTGTTCAAATTACTGGTGAAAAGGAGGAAAGGACTGACAATGCTAGACGCCTGCTCCTTAAATATAATCTAAGTGAACTACTTGCTCAGTAGTCACATCTAAATCAACAACGGGTATATTAAAACTTGTGAGTGCGATAAAATTACACACGTACGCATCATTACTTGTTTAACTACTCTAAAATTCAAGTTCTGAGCTCCTGGACAAACGAAAAAAACTGTTAGAATTCACTTATTTTATTTGAGTAGGAAGAGCATGATATAAGCAATGTTTTGATCGTTAATTGTCTTTTGTGTCGACCGCCTTAAGACCCGTAACTTATCTAACTTACCAGCGGTAACTATTACGGTTTCGTACGCAATCACTAACACTGTTGAAGTGAGAGTACTCGCTGTTTGGAACTATGAATAAAAATCGTTTCTAACTGTTTAACCAAACTACCTATAGAAATCCCGTTATCTCTCACATGTCCGATGCAGCGCCGCCCAATTTATTCCATTGTTCAACATATAAACCCAAAATGTAAACACTTCTGAAGCGTTCTTCTAACAATTAGTCGGGATAATGAGCGAACAATCTAGTTTTTAGATTTAAGTCTTACCAGAAGCTAATGTATCTCTTAATCTTTTCCCACATTGTTGCATTTCAACCACCCAAGCTTTCCACCGGAGTGTATTCCTCAAGCACTTACGATACACAGTGTTCGAAGCGTGAGACACGCAATTGCGATTGTGCAAATACTGGACACAAGGATTGTTGCTTAGCAATTTCAAGTGTGATGATCAATTGTCCGTGAAAGTGAATTCACTAAAGACCTGCTGAGCATAAAAAATGTATGTGATCATAACGATCATTGGTAAGCATACCACATCAGTAACGGAGAAAATACAATTTGTTGTGTGGTCAATAATGTAAGAACTGCAGTTGAACCCCGGTAACTCGAATTGTCAAGGAAAATTGATATCGGGGTTTCGAGCTACAGGGGTTTAAACAATAAGACCAGAAACACTTGATTAACGAGGTTTTATGCTTCTACATGTTTCAGTGAAAGATTTCTAGCAATGTAAAAGTATAAAAACGACAAAACAAAACAAAACAAAAAAAGCATGAAAACCACAAGTACTTTAAAGTAGCTGCCTTTCAGAATGTTTAGCGCTAAATCTCACTTTAACGTGTGATGTCGACAAAGGTCAATTTGTCATAATATATAAATGAGATTAAATGTGATCTTCCGGTGCAAACTGATGTTATGCGGGCTCATTAGTTCGCAAAAGTGAAAATCGAGGGTAAAATTATTGAGACAAGTACCTGGAGGGGAGTAAAGATCGCTTCGAGTTAGCGAGGTTTTAAGTTATAGAGTTAAAATTACAGTAAATATGCGAGGCAAATCCAAGGGAAATCAGTTTTGTTTCGAGCTAGCGGGGAATTCGAGTTACCGAGGGTTCGAGTTATCGGGGTTCAACTGTAGTCCATTCGTCTCTGTTTAGTCGGTGTATGGCTTTGGGTTAGGGTGGGTCTGCTTTAATTTGGTTTGGCAGCATGAAGATCGTTCCACGTTTTTATAGCTTCAAGCAAAAAGCGAAAGGATTTCCGCATGACCCCACACTTAAATAGGGAAACAGTTCTTGGGTAACAAAAGAAAAACCCCAATTGATTGGGGTTACACGGAAACCTTTCCCAGAAAAGTACTTGGAGAAAAGAAAATAGTAAAATGTTTGCGCTCAGGTTTCCGCAAGTCGAAAGAAATTGCCGAGCCACCGAGTAACGGACTAATCCTAGTATGACGGAGCAATACAAAAAGCCATACCGTGTGACATCTATCCAACAGAAGCAAGTGGGTGTGTGGCGTGATATACATAAATTATTGAGAAAAACACCGACAAGCCTTTTGAAAGAAAAGGAAAAGGGCAATGTAAACTCAAAATCCAGCAAATAAACTTACGCTCTTTCCAACGATCTTTTGTAAGTCGTATTCCTAGTATTATTCCTGCATAGTGGTATGTAAATGGTTTTACCGCACCATCATATCTATTTAGTCCACAACAGGTAGCGTTCGAATGTATGTTTAGAAAAGCCTGAATTCGAATCCACTATGATTATCTAGGAAATGTATATCCAATTCTATATTTATCAAGGCAGTGCCACACTTCAAAAGAAAAACACGGACACACCTTTTATCTTGAATGAGCTTTTGATAAACCTCCCCTCTCTGACAAGTTCCACCAACACTAACCCCCTTTCCCCCCTCCCAGTCTGGCACCCCTTGAAATAAGGCAGTACTGGACGTTTTATCATTGAAACATTTCAATTCTGAACGCAGATGACGTAACACAAGAGCAACGTAACCCCTTCCCTCCCTCCCAAACTCGGCCACCACCACCACTACCAACACACGGTTTGAAAATTGAATGATAATAGATTTCACAGAAAAATAGAGACCACAAAAGAAAAGCAAACAACATCAAAACGCTAGATTCTACTTTGTGTGAAGAAATGTAAATGATATAAAACTGAAATGAATAAGCAGACCGGCTTCATGTGCATGAAACACCACAACAAGTGAAGCAAGATCTTTTCTTTTACTAATAAAACTTTTGGGAATTACAAAAGATTTCAACTTCACCGCAAAAACATGTCGAAAATTGGTACTTCCAGTAACGGACGAGTTTTCAATTGGAGTCAAAATAGAGCTATGATGAGGATATCGTTTTACGCGGTTTAAAACACCGACGATTTTCCTTTTTTTTATCATTACTTCATTGCCCATCTATGGACGAGATGTACAATATGCTTAGTGAAAATTATTTTGTAATTATTTTAACATTAGGATTCGTGTTGCTCAGCGATAAAAAATAATTAGACAGTGAAAAAATGCTCATCGTAATACCGGTGAATTAACAATTCACGAAAATGACTGCAGACATTTGTTGCGGTGTAGTCAAGGGATCTTCAATATTCTGTAGAACTGCTTTAAAAAACTTAAGCTCAAAAATTCAGTCATCTGTAGCCGTCTACCATAAAGTATGCCAGTAATCGCTTTAACTTTCATATTTTTGTTATTTTAAGAAATCCTAATTCAGTTTCGTAGCAAAAATCACCACCAATGAAAGTTATACTGTTCTGGATTACTCTTCTTGCGTACAGAATCAGTGTTTCGGAGCGACGGAGTTCATTAATTCATTTCTACATAATTGGATGGAAACAGTCCCCGACTTCCGTTACATGTTCCCATCCACCATCCTTCATCCACTTCCTCAATGTCAGTGATGACGTCACCAGGGTCAAATGATATCTCATCCTCAGCAGCTAGAAATGAATTGTGGGAGTTAATGGCGGTGTCTTAAGTCCTGACGGTTTGCAGAATGGAAAATCTTGTAAGTTGCGGACAGCTTAGTAAGGAGAAAGACATTGAACAGAAGAGCACTGCACTAAGGTAACCATTTAAACGACCAAGAGTTCAGCTACTAACTTTAAATGCTATTCATGCCAAATTCTAATTAGCTTCAAATTTCGCTTTGCACAAGTTGCCGAAAAAGGTGAACATTTCACTGAGATTTAGGAATTGTGCATTTCAGAGCTCGGCAAAGTGCTCCCTTGTGTGGCGAGAAAAAGTAATATCTCAGATAGAAAAACTTACTTGCTTGATAATCGTACAGAGCTGTCGCATTCTTTCCTTCGCCTCCTTCGCTAACCTTCAACGAGTACAAAAAGAAATATTACGCTAATAGTGGATGTGGGAACAACGCGAGTTCTGTCACTCCTTAATTGTAACCGCCTGGGTGGTAATAGTACTGAAAACACTCGCAACTAACAATAGTCCCTTTTACGGCCGCATTCACTCGGGTATTATCAAACTACAGGTTCTCGTAACTTTGCGCTTTTCCGAAATTTGCACTAACTACGTGATCAATTCCTCTTCCATTGAGCCACATTTGGCTGAACAGTGCAAACTGTAGGGGTAAACTATACTTTTAGCTGTGGTATCTATGTTTCCTTGTACCTCCTCCTGTGTTGTTTGCTGTTCTTGGGTAACTTCTTCGTAGAAATCTGTAGGTTCTGATTCATATCTTGCTTCCCCTGTCTCTTCATAGGTCGCTTCAGCTTCGGTTTCTTCATACTCTTGCTGTGCTTCAGCTTCTTGTTGTTGCCTGGCCGCTTCTTCCTCTCGCCAAGCTTCTTCCTCGGCCTGACGTTGGGCTTCCTCCTCCGCCTGACGACGGGCTTCCTCCTCTGCCTGACGACGGGCTTCTTCCTCAGCCTCCTCTTTGTCGCGTGCCTCTTGCTAAAAAATGACAACATACATGTAACACGAATCATAATATTGTACACTCGCCGCATGAGAGCCTTGCTTGACGGCCAGTTCTCTTTAGCACAGTTGGTAGCTACATGCCACAACCTCCGAGGAGTTACTGTAGAATCCTAATGGAGGACTAAGATTACATTCGCCCTTTGTTGGTTTTCAAATCTACGATCAGATCTAAAGTCAGACTCATACAGTTAGCCACTTTGCCACATGTACCCAAAGTCGAAATAAAGCTTGGTTAATTACCTCTGCATGCCTTTTTTCGTTGATCTCTTTCTCTCTTTGTTCTCTCGCCTGTCGCCGAGCTCTCTCTTCTTCTGCCCGTCTCTTGTTTTCCTGTAATAGAAAAATTATTGGCATTTTGGGGAAACGGAAAATAATTAAAAGGAAGTCAAAATGACAAGAAAACGTAACAGTTCTTTAGTACGGTAATCGTCAACAGACCTCCTCTTGCTCTCGGGCTAAGTTCTCAAACTTTGATTTCAAGTTGCCTGCTGCTCCAGACCCTGTCGAATGCAAATATTGAATCATATCTCGAAACAAAAACAAACAAAAAAAAAAAAACGGGCCCATAATTGGGACAGTGGTCATATCTTTTCTGCTCCAGCTTTATCGCGATTGCGGTTTTTCCCATTCATATATTTTCTGAACAGGATGGAGTTTATTTGAACGAATACTTTTTCAGTAGGACGGAAGAATTCTCTCTGGCTTTGGCTTTCACAAAGAAATAAAATTGGATAATCTGAAAGCTTTAAGAGTCAACCATCGCCATGATTATTCTTGAAAGGAGGAAGAGTAAAAACCACTAAAACATATTTTTTGCCGTGGCTGTTCCCTTTCCCCCCCCCAAAAAAAAAAAAAAAAAAAAAAAACAAATGTTTGGATAAACAACGATACAGCAAAAATTCTTCGTGTTTTTAGTTCATGTCTCCATTCCCCACAAAGAAGAGGGACGGTTCTTATATGGCTAATGTATTTCCCATAATGTAAGGGGACCTTGTCAGGGGCTTTACTCTGTGGACAAGTGGGTGCCACTAGACCTGGGTGAATTATTTTGGACTTGAGTAGGGAGTTAAAGTTCACACACCTGAAGTGATCGTATTTTTGAAAATCAAAAGTATGCTTAGCTAGTTTAAAGTTTCTAAGACAAAGCCTTGTAAACAGAACCAACCTGCACGTGGTTTTGCTGTCTGGTAAGTTGATTTTACTTCTTGCATTTCATCAAAACCTCCAGCAGACTGAAGAGTAAAGATATAAATTAGCACAGGTCACTTGCAAAAAGTTTTGCTTATCTGTAAGATCGCGTTACTCCTCTGAAAAACTTCAACTAACTTCTGTGCTTAGGGATGGAGCGATACAGTTTCAAACAGTAAAGCTGAGCTAGGATGTTGGAAATATTCAAGGAAAACGAACGTATCAGTATTCATTGATCACACTTACTGCATCTTGTCTATCAGTCTGGACACCAAATTTACCACCGAAACCTTTAGAGTGATCTGAAGTACAGTGGAAGGGAAATTAGCTGTGTTAATGGAAAACAAAGTAGTTAAACTTCCCTTCGTTCACCACTTGTGGGCATACAAATACAAAGCAGTTGTAGAGAGATGACCATCTAAAGAAGTTTTAATACCAGGGAGGATTGTTTTAGGTAGTGTAAAGACAAAGTCTCAGGTGACCCATGGGGGAGAACTTCACGTGTAGCGGCACTAAGGTACAAATGCATTCACCTTTTCAATCCCCGGGGTGACTAAAAGTAATTCGTCCAAACAATCGGTAGATTTTCAAGCAGAAAGGTGACGAAAAGTACTAAAATAACCACTAGGAACAACATTTAATTTCACACCAAATTCTCAGGTCTAGAGTAACACGACATGCATGGCAGACAAGATGGGAAGTTAATATTTAGATCTTGAGTGTGAAGGGGTTATTAAGCAACACGTAGTTGTTGTGCCGAACTTCGACCTAAATAGTCTGCTCATATGATTTGCTTATTAGAGCGCTTTATGACAGAGTGTCGTAAAACCATACTCAAAGTAATCACAATGACCAGTCAGAAGAGAGTAAAATATCTTTAAGAGACAATGCGAGCTCAAAGTAAGAACAACCAAACAACCTAAAGCGTGGGAAAGTGCGGCCGACCAAGTCGTGATTGGTTTTAGTTTTACATCTGATTGGTTAAGAGAGTAGCATGGGGTTTCTAGACTGATCACAGAGCGAAGAGCGAAGATACTTTATTGAAAATTGCTCTATTTATTCTTGACTTGAAAACACTTCTACATGTACGTAATGCCTCATAAAGGCAGAAGCAAGACTATGACTAACCTTTCTGAGAGGCATGTTCCTCAGTTTTGCCTTGGTATTCAAAGCCCATAGCAGACTGAGGAAATAAAATAAACATGTAAGGTACTAAATCTGGTGTAAATTAAAGTGGATTTTCATTCAAAAAGAAAAATGTTCAGTAAATTGACCTTGTCAACTCTGTCTGTTTGTACTCCATATTTTCCTCCAAAGCCTTTTGAATGATCTGAAAAAAAATAAAATAGTGATTAGACACACTGCTTCCTACAAGCTAGTCACAAATTGCTTTCAAAGTTGCATCACTGATTAAGAGCCATTTTTAAAGGTACATGTGTACATGTGTATGTTGAGAAGAATTGTTTTGCAACAAAGAAGAATTCACCTCTGTCAAGAGAAAATATCTTCGATAAGGTGAAAGCCCTTAAAGGTGAGATTTTAAAAAAAATTAAAACACACCTTTTTGTGAAGCATGTTCTTCTGTCTTTCCTTGGTATTCAAAGCCAACAGCTGCCTGAGGAGAGATTAAAAGAACAAAAAATTGTCATCATAAAAAATGTTATATTAATTTTTTGCATCATGCTTAAGTTTCAAATAGCAACTAAAAGTCCATGAAGAACTCAAATCTAAAAGTACTAAATAAACAGGAGTTATCTGAGTCATAGGGACACAGGTGTCAGATCATTTGAGAAGAAAAAATATCTTCAATTACACCATATTCATTAGGTTTATCAAGTGACCTTTTTACAATAGTTTTAACAGTGTTGAATCAGACAATAAGGCAATGTCTAAAATTATCAAATTTTTGCTCTTGATTTTTCAACAATCTTACTATGCCAATGAAGGCTTAGAATATTGTTAGGGAATGCTAGGGAAAGTGATGCATACGTCGTCTCACAAAGACTAAATCAAGATATTTAAGAGTCCTTTTTCGTCTTGTTACAAAAGTTGGTATGAAGCCATACAAAATTTTATACCACTTACTTTCTCAAAGCTAAACAATTAGAAACAAGAATAATGGGCGCAATTTTAACATGATCAAGGCAATTGCCAGTTAAAATATAAATTAAATCACTTATAATTAAATGGAAACAAAAACACTTTTAGAAACATGTTTTCCTTTTTCATCAAGCTACATTTGATTTCATGACAATCAAAAGATTACAAACACAATGACAATTAAAATGAACTTCTTCATGAAGTCATTTTGTTAAATCAGTTTTAATAGGCAATATCAATTCCTGTACAAGTTACAATCACATCTAAAAGCTAAAAGAAAATATGATTTGATTGGAAGGTGTGAAGAGAAAAAACTCAGAGGCTGTTCCTTGCTCCTCCAGCTGGTTCATTCAGCTTCAGGCTGTTTGGGGATAAAACAAATTTTATATCAATAAAACTCTTAATTTAAAGTACTTAGTTATATACCAACATGTACCTAAGTATGCTTGTCTAACTAACTAAAGTGTAACAACCTATTTCTAAGTCTGTTTTCCTATTTATCTATCTATGGTACCATTATTCCATTTTTCAATATTTTAAGGAAATGCAACAGAAATTATTTGTTTTTTTGAGTGGATGGTGAACTTGTGATATTGTATTTTATCTTTTATTGGTTGTTGTTCTCTAATTATAACAAAACTTGATGCAAACAGCAGTCAGATAGTTTTCTACTACACAAGGTTAAAAGAATACAGTCATGTACATGTATCTCAGATTTGAAGGAGGTTAGGTTAAAGCTGGATGAAACATACAATGTATCTGGTTGATTAAGAATTATGATGTAGATTTAAAATAACTTCAAGGTAGCTTTTTCTTCAGGTTGCCCTGTACAACTCTTGGTCTTGTCCCTGTGCAACTTGCTTCGTGGTTCATCTCTTTATGCTACATGTATGCCCTCCACACTACTTTATTGTTGTTTCAAAGTCAACTCCTTCCTATTTTGTAGTTCACTGCCATTCACATGTAAATGTAACATGGTGAATATACTTTTTCCAGGACAAACATTGTTAATTGCTAACTATAGCCATAATTTTGGGTCACTGGGTATGATAGAGTCACTTGGCAATTTCATCCATCACTATATATTGCACTTTGCTCTTCTCAACAAAAACATGCTTTTAGATAACCTCTTATTAATAATATCATGTTGATGAAAACAGAGAGAGAGAGGGGATTGCTATGTCCTTGATGTAGAAGAATCTGAAATGATTTTCTTTGAATGAGGTCTACTACAACACACTATCAGTATTTCAACTGCTTAACCACAGTGAGTGTCATCAACATACAGTTGACTAAATGATGTCATTTGCACTTTAGATCAACCGTACTACATGGCTTCTAACTACTCTAAATTCCATTTCACTGGGCTGGCTTATCTATTGCTGAGTTTCCTCCAAGGTTATGGACACAACATGGGCTCGATTACCAGCCACTGTTCAGGAATATGAGCCTGCCCTCCTACCCTTGAACCCTCAGGAAGGAACAGGTACCATACACAAAAGAGTGATGGAAATCAAGCCTAGATGCAACAGTATTCTTACTAGAAATACTGAGTATACAATGGAACATGCTGCATATCACAACCCATTCCTTTTAATTCCTTAATTCAAAAAGGATCTCATTCCCCTCTTTCCTGGCAGCATTCATTTTAGTTAGATGCTCATGGAAGTTCCTTTTCACTTCAAAGTTGACTTCCATGGAGCAAACATGTACTGTGCATGTACAGCACTGTCAGAGGCTAAAAACATTCCTCTACAAACCAATTACTGACCTAAAAAAAACAGCAAACCTGACTGCCTCAACATTACTAAGAGTTTCAGCAACTGCCTGCCCTTCCTCCAAACTTTAATCTCTCTATCTGTTGGCCACTGGCTCAAACTTCAACACCACCAGACAAATACTGACATTTGTAAACAGAAATTGCTCTGTTTCACTTACACAAGATGCAGACAAAGTTTCAAACTTGTCAAGGATTGACTTGTCTCCCAACAGAATTTGGCTTAAAAATTCCTTCAGCTTCTTCAAAGTTTAAAAACTTGCTTCCATATTATCACCCCATTTTAATAGGACATGCTTGTTTCATTTCATCATGATTTTGAAATGGATAGTCAATGAAACACAAACTGACGATGCTCAACTCCTCTCTGATCTGGTATGAATCTGGTGTTCTGCTTGCTTGGCTCCTGGCTCTTGACTTTCAAAGTAGTGGATGGTGAACCAAACTTGCTGTTATGCACCCAGGTGTCCAATAAACCCGTGAACATACTCATGACTATATATGCTTCTGGATATCTTAGTATCCATTTTTTTTCTCAAAACTAGATTCTCTAAAAGGTAAAAACTCCTTTTTTAAGTTCAAAATTCTTATTCTTTAATTATAACATTCATTTTTATATAGTTTACATCAACTGCTGCAGCTGGTGTCCAAAGATTAGGTAAACCTTAAATACCCTGTTTGCATTACGCAAAGTTTTCAATTGTGTCATTTGGCCTTAAGGTAGTTGCAATTTTGGGTTCTGCCTCACAATGCAGAGAAGGTTCACTATAACATGTGGCAATTCATGGGCAGAGGTGCATACAGACTAATGTTTTATAGTAGTTTCCTCCACACCCATCATTACTAACAAAATACCCCCATAGAATAGAATTTTCAAAGTGTCAAGTATCTGTAAATTCACTTAAGATTAAGAAAGCTGAATTAACTTACTATTAAGAATGCTGGACATACTATTAATAATAAATTATTATAAAATTAATTATAATTTATGAAGCAACCCCATGGAGAAAAAAAGATTTCCCCTCCTTTGCGCCAACAATTGCTTTAAACTACACCTCTGCCTTTCTGGAAAAGGCCTCATTCCTGTCTAGTCATCATAAATGCACTTAGAATTGCTTAACAGTTATCATAATTTTGATAAACACTGTACCTTGTCTACTCTGTCCTTCTGGACTCCATACTTTCCACCAAACCCTTTGGAATGATCTAATGAGAAAAAATAACAAAAAAAAAACCAAACAAAACATGACATCTCACAGGCATCACCACCAATTGAGGCTTAAAATATGGCTTCATCTACTGTTGGTGAGACATTTATTTTTACAAAATCAATGCACAAAGATTTCTTCAAAAACAAGAAAACAATAAAACTAGAAACAATTTTTTTTTCTTATTTACAGTGTACAGTTCAAGGTAGAATATTTTCTTCAAGTTTGGTTGAAAATATACTATGTAGAATGAGGTACCTTTCTGGGAAGCATGTGCTTCTGTTTTCCCTTCATAATCAAAACCAACAGCTGCCTGAAGAAGGAAACAGTTATCATGGTTTATTGTCGGTAATAGTGAACAATGGTTCCCATTTTCGAGTGTCGGTTACCTGTCGGTTAACTGTTGGCAGACAGGTTACCGACGCATTATCAACACATTACCGACAGTCGGCCAACAGTGTCAACTAGACCAAAAATTGACTGAAAACAGAGTCCAAACTTTTCCAGTCGAAAACAGTAAATAGAAACACATGTCAATCGCATCATTTGTACCTATCTACTTGATTCTATTTAAATGGTAAAATAAGCTTGTTTAACCCATCTCCTGACTGTAAGTACCAAAATACCTATTTCTTATATCCTGGTTTGTACACAAAATGGTTCCTTTTCTACATTTTGCAAGTGAATGAACTAACAGGTCAAATAGTTCTAACCAAATAAAGACTTTCTTAAAAGGGTTTCAGAGGCAGTGCATTTAGGGATTGGGAACTAGAAAAACTTTTCAAAATGGCAGATAAATGAAATTGAACCAGTTTGGGAAAGTTTTGCTAGCCAATGCAAAAAAGTGGGCAAAAGCCACAGTAGCTATTGAGAGTACAGTGCAAGGTAACTTTTTGAAATGACTTTTCCCCTTTTCTATGTAGTTTTAGAAGCAGTTGATAGGTAAATGTTTGGGATCATTTCAGTTTACAACCCACCACCAGGTTACCGACAGGTTGCCAACAAGCTACAGACTGTCGGCCATGTATGTGTACATTCATTTGTAATTTTGCTCACCTTATCAACTCTGTCTTTTTGGACTCCATACTTGCCACCAAAGCCTTTGGAGTGATCTACATTAAGGAAAAAAATTAAAATTTACAATACATTTTGTTCATAACCATGAAACAAAGGAAACTTTAAATTTATAAATTTATACTGTCTCATTCATTATTAAACCCTTGCAAAACATAGACAATGTCTTTCTTCTAATAACATAAAACATTTTTTTTAACAAAAATGATGTGACAAACCTTTTGTGGAAACATGTGCTGCAGTTTTGCCTTCATAGTCATAGCCAACTGCTGCCTGCCATGTGAGCAGGGTGAAGAAATAAACTCTCATAAGAATATATGAACTTACATTAAATTGCCGTTAATTTTAAAACTTAATAAGGAAATTAAATGCACGCACATGAGAAACCAGTACTAATCAGAAATTAGAAGTTGAAATATTAAGAAGAGTACACCATTCATTTTAAATAAAAGAGACTCAGAGGTTGCATCTCAATTACTGCTACATTTTGAAACAATTTTTGGAAGTTAATGTTTTCTTGTGTATCCTTATATTCAGCATGATCAGTTCCCAACATGTATTTCAAGTAAAGAAAGATGTTTTTGTCTTTTCACAAGCATGGGACAAAGAAAAAATTCTGAGTCTCCATGAGGAATCCCTATGAGAAACTTCAGACCTTCAGATTCCACACTCCGATGCTCTACCACTAGGCCACAGACTCCACAGTGAGCGAGGTCTATTAACAAGTTCATATGACATGCATCCTGCATACTACTAGAATCAGCAATGTTGATAGCATTAATGTTTGTAGATGAAAATAGGAGAGATGGTAAGTTTTTGAGCTTGGTAAAGAAATAAAGAAAGATGTTTAAGTGTTTGTGGTTAGAAATAAATAAATAAAAATAAAGAAAAATGTTGAAGTGTTTGTGGTTTTGTGAATTTCAAAGTGTAGAACAGAACACAGGGAAGGTCACCACCAGAATTGCTGAGTGTATAATTATACAGTACACAACAACTGTCCATGTATTCACAGACAAATTGACTGGTCTTCTATTGTTTTTACTACATAACTTAGAATCTAGCCAGGAAGTGAAATCTATATTATATGCAGATCTACTGAGTTTATTTGTATTGTTCAGTAACTTTCCTTCTACTGTTCCATTCCTTCAAGGAGTATTCAGTAACTTCATGCACAGTTAAATGATGAAAATAACACTGTCGAGTACCTGGTCAACTCTGTCCTTTTGAACACCATATTTACCACCAAATCCTTTAGAGTAATCTAAATAAGCAGAGATACAGTCAAAGATGAGAATTATACCAGTACATGAATCCTAATGTGATGTAAGCTTTGTGAACACCTCTCAATACATCATTTATTAGAAACAGACAATGAAGCATAGGATTGCAGGCTGGACTGACAAATCAATCTGTTGAAAGTTAAAATCCCTATTTATCACCTACCTATTTATGGGATTTTATTGGCTGCTTTATGTCATATACAAAATATTCATTTTTCAGTTAATCTTTCACTGCGGACATTATTGGCTGACATACTAACACCCTCAAGGGTTTATTTTACTAAAGAATACACACCCTGTTGTGAAGCATGCTTCTCAGTTTTGCCTTCATATTCAAATCCAACAGCAGCCTAAAATGGGAGTACAAAATGATGTAGAACCAATAATAAATTAAAATATATATTAAGTAACTATAATATATTGATTAATAAAATAAATCACTAAAATTAAATTTAAAAATACATTTATTTGCTAATAAAAGACAATTAAAGTCAGTCAGTCAGTGAAACATAGTTATCTGTAACTAATACTGGGATGAATGTCAGTGCACACCTGCCTTACAGCCATAGGCAGTATTAAAGTTCTGGAAAAGCTTAGTACAGCACTTGTGTGTACACTTTTTTAAAAAAGGCACATGATAATGCTAGATAGTATTACATTGTTGTAAATACAAATCTGAAAGAATGAACTTAAAGCATCAACCTGGTCAACTCTGTCTTTCTGAACACCATATTTGCCACCAAATCCAGTAGAATAGTCTATCAAGATAAACAATAGAAGCCACTAAGACAATTTCATGGTTCTTTTGTAGATACATGTACCATTACAAATCCTAGAAGTGATCCCTTGAAAGAAAGGACTCCCAAAGGAGTTTGCTCAAGAGTGATTTAGCCCTTTTAGAAAAACTTTGTTTGTGAGTGTAAAATTGATTACTATAGCTGCAAGAACACTTCTTGCTTTTTTAACAACTGTGTCTGTTGTCATGAGTATGTTTAACAAATTGGTTTCTTTAAAAGAACTACAGTCAAGTCACCGACGGTTCAACTTGCCAATGCCAACTCGCCGACATATAAAATCGAGTAGAGACATCGGCGAGTTGGTCTTCAATCCAGTACAACTTATTAAAAGTTAAAAGTTAAACATACAGAAAAGTAAAAGATATTTAGTAAAAAAAGAAAAACAGTTTTGTTTTCTTCCAACAAAGTTTATAAGGATCTCATGGCGAATAAAGCAAGGTAAACGTCGCCAATGAATGTAAAAGCTTCAGAAGCGGACGAGTTATTGTGTGACAACAACACTGTGGAGACTCTTCATGTCAATCAGCCAGATTTTTTTAAAAAAACTTGGCTCTCTAGACATGATCTTTAGTTAAAAAAACAATTCTTTTTTATTTCCAACAAAGTTTATAAGGATCTCAAGGCGAATAAAGCAAGGTGAACATTGCCAATAACCAAGAAAGCTTTAGACGTGAATGAGTTGTTGTGTGAAATATGAGAATGGTGAAAAGACAGCAGCCCAATTATTGAAATCAATGTCGAGATTAAACGGACCTTCAAGAGTAGAATAATCACATGATATACCTAGCTTTCACATGTTCACTTGATCTTTATAATACATTAAATCTTATCGTAAATCAAACGTTCTCGATTATGAATAAATCATTCTTTAAAGTTAAAAAAACATATCATTCCACCTGGTAGTTGGGGTTGTCACACAATAACTTGTTCGCGTCTAAAGCTTTTTTGGTCATTGGCGATGTTTACCTTACTTTCTTCGCCTTGAGATCCTTATAAACTTTTTTGGAAATAAAAAGAATTGTGTTTTCTACTAAAGATCTTGTCTAGAAAGCCAAGTTTTCTTAAAATAATCTGATCGACTGACATGATGAGTCTTTATAGTATTGTCACATAACTCGTTTGCGCCTGATGCTTTTATATTCATTGGTGATGTTTACCTTGCTTTATTCCCCATGAAATCCTTAAAACTTTGTTGGAAGCAAACAAAATTGTTTTTTCCCTACATATCTTTCACTTTTCTATGTCTGTCTTCTAATAAGTTGTACTGGATTGAAGACCAACTCGCCAACGTCTCTACTTGATTTTACACATCGGTGAGTTGGCGTTGGCGAGTTGAACTGTCGGCGACTTGACTGGATACCCTTTAAAAAGCCCATTCACTTTACAGTGCTGTATGTGATTAATTATGAATGCAAGTCATGTTAAAAATTAATAGTTATCTGAAGGTGACAACCATGTGAATTTTGCAGTAAATTAATTTACTAAGTTTAATTTACTGCTGTATGAAAATGAAAACCCTCTATACTTTCAAACCTTTTAATAGAACCAAAAGATCAAATTGATACCCACTACTGGTAACCAGCAACCTGAAGGTGTTGCCTGAATTTCACACAGTTATGGTTATTACAATGGATCTTACTTCATTCTAACTGAGGGTTGGATGTGAATGGAGACTCAAAAGTCTGGATTTTAACTCCCCATTGACCAAGGAGGATATCACTTTAAACACACTTACCAGTTTGTGATACATGCTTTTCCACCTTCCCCTCATAGTCAAATCCAACTACAGACTACAAAAAGAATAGGTTATCATATATCCTCAAATCTATGATACACATAGTTAGCAACTAGAAGGAAAAGTAATACGGATCACAGAAGAGTACTTAAATGTGCAATTATTTTTACATGCAAACAATGTTTGCTGAACATGTATTGCATGTTTTCAGATATACAGTCTTCACACTCCTAATTGTATGGATTATAATGAGACTAATAAAGCTGAAAGTTTTAACTGCTTTGAAAAATTCACCACAAAAAATCACCAAAAGCAATATTCAATAGAAATACTAAGAAGCAAAACATGACTCTCACAGCAAAAACCTTCTGACCCATACCTGATCCATTCTGTCTTTTTGCACTCCAAACTTCCCACCATAACCATAGGAAGCTTTAGGACTATTCCATTAGTCAAGGAAAGAATTTTCTGCCCAATCGTTTATCATGCATGTACAGATATATAATATATTACATGTAATACAAAGATATTGAGTATACATCTGAGACTTTTCCAAAGGAACTAATTGTCATAATGTATGTCATGCATGCACACTGGGAACCAACACAACAGGAACTTATCCCAGTTTCCTTAGCATGAAACGACTAGGAGTACTGTTACTTCCCACTAGACGGGATGCCAGTGCATCACAAGGTTACCCACAGCATTTGAAAAGGCTTCCCTGAAAATTTGCTGGTGCCCATTTATACTCCTGGGTGGAGAGAAGCATTGTGAATGTAGAATGTTTAGCTCAAGAACACAACAGAATAGCCTGACCAACTGAAACTAAACCTCTTGACCCAGAGTTCAGCACACCAAACATTAAGCCCCTGCATCCCACTCTTGCTACATGTAGCTCCCTAAAATAAACATAAACAAAGCTGTCCTCTTGTTTGCTTGTCCTCAGTTATTCAATCATGTACAGTACAAACTATTGTTAATAATGGATGTATAACTTACAGTTGTTTCATTGCCAGTTTTGCACAGATCTGTGAATTAAAACTGTTATCAAAAGGATACCCTCTCTCACTTTCATCTGTAAAAGGAAAAAAGAAATGGAGGCAGACTTTAATGAGAAGCTTACTGATTATGGTATTCTCTTAAGAAGACTCTTAGTAAATAAAACATTACAAGTAAATAGATGTTTTACAGCAGACAAGCTCTCTTAATCAATCACAATACAGAAACACTGGGAACTCTACTGATGTGAGACATGTTGCACCTCAAAATGTATAGTTAGAGCCAACGCATCCTCTTTGGAAAGGTCACTTGGTTTTGAAAGAGTAAGGTGAACATGACCATCACCACAACAATTACTTAGTAACTAGTTCTTCACCTTGTTTAATCTTTGCATGGTCCTGTGCTACACCTTTTCGAAGATCCTTTATACTAACAAGAAGGTAGATGCATATTATTTTCAGGTTATGTTACACTCAACTGAACTAGCATCATTGACGTCTTTAAGTATTGCTTGCTCCTACATGCACCTTACATGTAATTGGACACCAGTACCCTTATTTCATGCACCAAACCTCCAATCAAGAATGGCGTGGGTTTTACGTCAAATACAGTTTGATATCATTTAAGCCATTTCCATATCATCTCCTACATGTAGATCATATTACACTCTAATATATACTTTATAATTTGTTATTCTAGTCTTTAATATTTTTCTAGCTTGTTGGAAACATGATTAAGCTGACTCTAGGTAAGTGTAAATTATTTTGTTTGGTTTTGCAGTTTTAATTGACAGTTTTAAAATTGAATATGAAAGCAATCTTTGCAGTAATGAACACTACTTAGGCAGTGGTGAAATAAGGCCTGGAAAAAATTCAGGCCTGTAATGCCCTGAACCCTGTAATTGCCCCCGAAAATAACTTTCATATGCACGTCTTTATGCGCAGTTCACATAATTATATGACTTTCATAAATTCACAGACATTTTTATGATTGAAAGTTAATTTCCTTCTACTTTTCCTTACAGTAAAATAAAAAGCCAGTACCAATATTTGCATTTCACATTATCAATCGAAACCAAGTTTAACTTTTACTTCTAAATTAGCACCAGCATCCTTTCAAATATCCAATGCCTGCTCCCTTGATCTAAGCCAAGGATGTACAAAACATGGCATCCCAATTGGTAGTGTACAAGACCCCACTTTAAGGGTCCAAAATTAAGCCCTGGCTTGGAAAAATTTGTTGAATAATTAAGCGAGACACTTCTCTCCTTCTCTCCTCTTCCACCCCCTGTTCTTCTCTCATCCAAGGAGTATAAATATTAAGTACTAACAAGTTGAACAAAGTATTTCTATAAAAATTACATCAATCAACATAGATTGGGGATAAAGATCACTTCTTGCTTGCCAGCTGGCTGGCTGAGTTAATAGTAACAGTTTAACATGTGACCTGTATGACCCTAAGTGCGCTTTCATAGAAACACAAAAAAATCCCAGTATGAGGAAGGTTTAAGATGACTTGGGCAAGTGTGGCAATATAGAAGGCCTTGTGATGTGCAAAAAGAAAGGAAGAAAGAGAAACAACAGCGATAAAATGACTTGTGCTAATCTACTTAGTTTGGTAGAGCTGGACACGAAAATAGACATGCTTGGACCTTGGTTATCATGTATAGACCTCACTCTACTAACACCATGTGTTGTGCTGTCAACATTTTCACATCTGGCCCTTACTCAGTCAATGAGTAGAAAGTAACTCAAGTGATCTTATATACAGTTGAAGCTCAATTATTTGGACTTGCTCTTATGGTCCAATTTTTTCACAAATAGTAATTAGTCACATTCAAAATTTATGCTTTTCCTAGATGCAGCTTCAGAGAATGATGAAATAAGCAGCATGCACATGCTTTAGCAACTTGAAACAAACTGATTTACATCAGCAATCCAGGTAGTAAATTATCTATGTCAATACTTGAGCAGATTTTGACTATGGTGCACAATGATTTGAGAATGTTCTTTAATTCTTGCATGATATCGATTAAATGACAAGCATTCAAATTTATTTTTGACTCATTAATATTCATATTATGATTTTTAGGACTCTTAATTATCTGGAATACAGTATTCCCCACAAGTCTGAATAATCAAGGTTCAACTGAACTGCCTCACACTTTTTCAACTACACTGTATATCCACAATTAAATTAATTATTATATACTTACTTCAGAGACTCCTGATGTCCAGATCCTTCAATTGTCTTGGCTCCCCATCTTTGTTCTTGTTCAGAAACATCATTCTACCAAAATAAATCATGCTGCCATAAGAAACTTACTTCTGAATAGCAAGCATGCCATAACTTAATGAAAGGTCTTCATTAAAAGCTGTCATCTAATACCTGTATTGCATCTAGAACTTAATTCTACCATCTGTTGCAAAAGACCAAATAAGAAATGATATAAATAAAAATATCCTGACAAAATTGGATATCTTCCCTGAAGCCATCACTACTTGGCTGGAGTAATGTTTATTTATTTGGGATTTTCTGTTAAACCAGTTAATGAAGCAATCGTTGTTGTATCTCAAGGGGACATATGTGCAATCATAAACGAGATTAAACAACATTAAAAGATTTGATCTGCTGAAATATTTCTTCTTTTAATCTCGTATGACGTAAATAAATATCCCTGGAAACTGAACATGTCAGAAAGTGAGCAAGTGAGTGTTTTGTGGAGATTAGTAATTCTAAAATTAAGCTCTTACGGAGCTGAAAGAGTAAATCGACTCGTTAGGCTGAAGATACAAATAGATCACTTTATATGAATCAAATTGAAACTGGAAGCTTAAGTTGAAAGGTACCTTGCCATAGTCAACTGAAAGTCGTGTATAAAAGTGATTAAATATTGAAATAATTCAAACACGAAGAGGAAGTCACTCTCGGTTCGGCACCCACCACAAAGTCAGGATCTGTTTCCCAGTCATCATCATCTCCAGCACTACCTACATTCATCTTGGTGTCAACCCCTGCTCTCCACATTATTCTGGCCGATAAATCTAGGGACTTATCTATGTGAAAGAATGCTGAACGTAACGAGCTTGATATGGACAGGAAACTTCCTTGCTCACTCCCCTTCCAGTCACGTGATGTTTTGTGACACCGCTGATCGCTTAGACAGCAAACTGCCTTGCTAACAACCCTTCAAGTCACGTGATATTTTGTGAAACCGCTGATCGCTAGCGGCAGTCTAGTGTTCGATTTTGTCGACAGGCGTGTCCAATTTTAGCCAACCATGCATGTTTGATTTTGGAAGTTATTTAAGTGTTCGATTTCAGACTAGAGTCCGATTTCAGAAACTAGTACGATATCCAATTATTCTAGTGTCTGATTTTAGACATTTGTGTCCGAGTTTGGTTTATTGTGACCGATTTTGGACACCAGTGACCGAGTTTAGCCACGAGTGTCCGATTTCAGACACTAGTGTCTGATTTTAGACAAAAGTGTCCGATTTTAAACACTAGTGCTCGATTTTGGGCATCAGTGTTTGAAATCTGATTTTGGACAAGAGTGTCCGACTTCAGATACTAGTGTGCGATTTTAGATGCTGTTTTCCAATTTCAGACAATAAAGTCTGATTTTAGATTTTAGTACCCGCTTTCGGAGAATAGTGGGCACCAGTTTCCGCATTTGGACACTAGCGTTTAAGTAGAACACAAGTGTCCGACGTTTGACACTATATATTAGTGTCCGATCATGGACTCTACTGCCCGATTTTAGACAGTGGTGTCCGGTTTTTAACACTGGTGTCTGATTTTTGACACTCGTGTCCGATTTTTGACAGTAGGACCCGATTTCGGCTCTAAACTGGTCCGAATTTAGACACCAGTGTTTGACTAAATGAATCTGCAAACATACCGGAATCAAAGTTAACGAGAACGAGAGTGTCGCATTTTATTCGTCACGAACAGAAAATTGGCTAGTTGGGAAATGAATAGCTCTTACTAATCACCTCCTAGCAGCGTTGAAAAAAAATTGCGCGTCAAAAGATTGTTTTCCATTCTTCGGTCGGTGAAACCACTACTATCCACCACTTCGTTGGATAGTTCTCAACTGTTGCGAAGTAAAATTCATGTTACCGGTATTTTGTTATGTACTTGATACTTTAACTCCAAATATCTGACTGTTCGTTCTTCTCTCTAGCTGCAACACATTTCCTTGCAAATTGGTTGCGATAATTTGGTGTTGGAGCAAGATAACTTCTTCCTGATAAATTTGATAAATTTAAATTTTCACTACAGAGACAGACACACTCTGTCTCGTCCGCGTTTCGTCTCAATCTCTTCTCTCCTAACGTTTCCGTTCTTTATCCATGCAGAGAAATGTTCACAATGCGATGAGAAGAGATTTCTTTCTTCTTTGAATGAAAATCAGCAGTCTGTCAAAAGCCACCACGCCACAAACATAATTTGCCCCTGCGACCTTACGCGAAGTCATCATTCCTGACCACCTGTCCAACTACCCACATTGAGTACATTATTACGGACTAAGACTCTACAGAATTGTAATAGGCGAAGCACGCAAAATACGGCAAGTTGGCTAATGGTGTCAAGGGGGTAAGTTTCTAAAGAAACTGTGGTGCTGCGTCGGTGGGATAGTATAACAGGGTAATTTGACATTATCAACTAGTTGATAACGTAAATTGAACACCGCAAGAATTGCAAAGCCAACGCTTCGAGTATTAGCCCTTCGTCAGTGCGAAAACTAATTCGTCAGAGCGAAAACTAATGGTGTCAGCGAGTTACTGCCTATCCAGAATAAATAGCAAGCCAATCAAGAATTAATTCACAGTAGAGAACTACAGGACCATGCATGCCCCCAGACCCCCCTGGCGGCTCACGCCTTCAGCGCTCGAAACTTGACTCGTCTTGTTCTGAAGTGCGGCCATGATTTCTCACCCCTCAGGCTGCTAACTTGTTTTCACTTGGGTTCCTCATCAGCCCCTTGTGATAGCATCATTTATTCTGCTTGGTAACTAAGTTTGGATTTAGTTTTGCAGCACTCAATCGAAAAGCGCTCTATGGCCCAATTTGATTTATATGCGGATATGTGGGTCGAGTTGAACCATCGTTTGCAGTTGTCAAGGAAACGGCTCTGTTGCTTTAGCAGATGATGTTAGCTGGACTCTCCCACCCCTAATCCTGATAAATTGGCATTACCACAAGTTTAGATATTTTTATCCAAGTAAAAGAAGTGATCCTTGCAGGTGAACTGCAATTTAACCCTTTAATTCCTAAGGGTGATTGGCATCCAATTTCTCCTTAAAAGAATCACCCCTGAATCAAACATTCAGGTCACAAGAATAAAGGAAACGATCACCAACTGAAGGAGTTCTTGATTGATAACTAAATTCTCCATCAGCACTTTAGCAAATACACAGGAAACAGTATGGAGAATATGCATTCCAATATTAGGGTGTAAAGGGTTTAGAGATTACAGAAAAGAAGAGGCTTGACAAATTCAGGTTTCGTGGGTTTCGAGCCTGTGCCTCTCAGATACTAGTTAGGTTCTTGGCCAAATGAACTAGTGAACCACAACTTATGAGTGAGCCAAATTTTAGTAAGTTCTTTGTTCCTTCTTCATAAAGGAATCTGATCAAAATCAAATGAAATAAATCACATTTTGACTTGCAGATAATAATTAACTAAAAAAATGATACTTGCAGTTCAGCTACGATTCAATTTATTTCCAACAACAACAACAATCAGTGATAGGAGCAATAGTCAAAACACTGATAAACTATTTGGAGAGTTTGTCCTTCTCTACCATATAGCTCTTTACAAAAGGTCTTAAATAAACTAAACTTGGCTGTCCATATCTTCTTCCTTTGCTGCTATCTCTATTTGATTTGGCATCACTGCTACATTGTGTATCATCAGGATTACCTTGTGAATTGCTAATACAATTGCCACTACAATTCAATTTGGAATTACTGTCTGTACAGACATCTGATGAGTTGAGAACCGTATTGTCACTACATGCTGGGCTTCCATCAGCGAGTGATATATTAACATTAGCATCTTGCAAACTTACAAAGGAAGCACTTGTACCAGGTAAAATTCTGTTGACCTCATCATTGCTTGAGATATTACCACTGGAATCTCCAGCACCTTGCAAAATTGTTGATTTGCTTTCACCTGTGGGCAAATTTCCATTTTTGCCATCATCATTATATTCTCCCATTTCAATCTCCATATCCTGGATACCTGGAAATTGTTTTTTGTCAGAATCTGCTCCCTCAGCAGTGTATATGGCAGTAGGAGTTTCTCTTTGCTCTCCACTTGAGAGAAGCCAAGGTACATCAAGAGGCAGAATTTTAGTTGTGATATAATCAACCAAACCATCATATATTGTTGGAACATCAGTGTTCTTAAAAGGAGAAAGAGATATCAAAGAATCCTTGCACAAAATTATTACAGGATGAACTACAAATCAAATAAATTATCAAGTAAAAAATTTGGCTTCATCATGCAGAGATATAAATGATGAAATTACCTGTGGACATTGAGTCAGACTTAACCTTTCTTTTGCCAAGAACAAAATATAGCATACATTGGGTGTAAATTAAAATGCACAATTAGCAAAGTATAAATCAAAATGAAAGTAAGAAAACCAATCCAGAATTTTGAAGTAGACCTTTTCTTTTAACTGCACCTGAAACTTGCAAACTCTTGGAGGACAAATCATGGAAAATCAAATGAAGGGGGCCATGCTAAGCTCACAATTGACTTCCTAGCTAACCAACCTTAAAAGCAAAAGCTGCCAACTTGCGCACCCCAAGCACATGTGGAACTCTTGAGTTACTCATACCAAATATGGCACCAGCAGGAACCTTCCTTGTCGTACACAGGAGGAGAATATGCTGAAGAAGAGCAGGTGGCTCAATATGGTGATCAACCTTGAAATTAAGGAAAACCTAGTCCATAAAGGTATCCAGTTTCCACTTCTTACAGGAAGGCTAAACCAACCTCATAAACATTTACACAGAAACAACAATCAATTACACAGAAAAGACAATCAGTTTCAACTAGCCTTTTTTGGTTATTTGCAAAGAAAAGGTAATTGGGGACAATCAAGAAATATTGATCTACCAGTGGCTAGCAGGTAAATTACGTATTTGTTGAAGCTGAAGGTTGGGCAATATATTTGATCAGTCATGCGGTGAGAGGTTACACTATTTGAAAATAATTGAAGGGATAATGTGCAGTCAGTAGTAAATAAACCTATCATGCACTTATACACATACAATCTTCATATTCTGACAGCCAAAATATTAACTTCAAAATATAATTTTATAACTTTAGGCCACCAGCATTGGAGAGCAAGACAATATAAATGCCATCAAGAAAAGCCTGTTCCAAAAACTTTCTCATTCATAGTCACACAAGGGTAATGAAAAATGGTAATAGAAATGTTTTTTGTCTTACCAACACTAATCTGACAGTTCCTCTTTCCAAAGCTTTTATAACATTTGAGAGGCCCAAGAGAAGGCCTGATCTCAGATGCTTTACTTTATCTTTCTCATTTTGTTCTGAGGCTTTCCTTGATTTAGTGCACAGTTGTTCAAACTGAAGTGGTTCAAGTACCCTGTAAAGGGAAAATGCTGTTTTTTACAGAGGAAGGTTTCTTGAAATGTCTCTTCATTATGGGTAGACTCGACTTGACCCTTCTTGGTATTTAATTTCGCAAGTACTTAGTTTTGGTATGACAGTATTTAGTGAGGGTTTCATTTTGACAATTTCAATCGGCAAATATGAAAGAAGGGCATTTTCTTTAGTTCTAAACTTCATTTTATTCTTAAAAATGTCTTAACTTTAGACAAATGCATGAAAGATAAAGAGAATTTGTTTGAGTCTGGCAATTCAAACAAAAATGATACAGCTGTAGCTAGATACTCTACTCATATAAGAAATCTTTGCAAATTGACTTCATTTCTCAAAAGAAAATACAAAACAGAACTTACAAGTACAACCAGTTAACAATTTGTGTATTTGTCTATATATCCTGTATATGTTGTTGTTGTTGTTACATGTTGATCTTTTTTTCTGTGATTTGAATATTCCATAGGGGAGTAAATTTTGTAAGGGTTTCTATTTGCTGGTCTTTAATTTCAGGATTATTTTGCAATCGCAAAAGACACAAAATTGAAGAAATTTGAAATATTGCTTGTGTTAGTGTTACAGTATGATCTAACCAACAGAAAAACACTACAATCCCATAAACTCAACTACTTTATTAAACAGGGAGTAATGTTCTTTACAAGGAGCAACTCCTCAAAGCAGTACAATACTTATCATTAATACACTTAATTAAGCCCACCACAGTCTATATCCTAGTTCACCATTGACACAATCTCACTGCTGTCTCCAAAGTTCCTTGAAGTGAGCAATCTTCTGCTGCAGTAACTCTCTCTCAGTATAGCTTTCGAAACAGTCGTCGCTCCAACAACAACTGCTCTTACTACTACATAAGTGAGTCTTTACATATATTCACAAAGTTCTGGAACACTCCAGAAGCTTACATAAGAACTATTTTGGTAGTTTTACATGATAAATGTGTGACCCGATGAAATGTTCTGGAAAGTTCTATGGTATGCAAGTCAGCATGACTCAGCAGTCTGGAGATTTCTAAAAGCAACAACAATTACCCATAACATTAGGTACATGACATCATGTCTTCTAATATTTCAAAATAATTATGTGGAAGACTTCTTAACAAGATAAAGATGTATTTTCTCTTGTGAACATAACTAAATGGGGAATGGTTGAAGAAGAAATTCATATCATGATCTAGTGGATTTAAAGGTGTTTGGCTTTAACCCCTTAAAGTGCTACTATGATTGAAGTTTCACATTTTCCTTTATTTTGTTTTTTTTTTTCACTCCTGGAGACTAGAAGTAAGAAACACTTACCATGCCAACTTTTAATCCAATATTTGCACGGGAAGTTCAATTATTTAAACCATGTTTTTTTGATGTTGGTCGCCTGTCATTACTCAATTCAAGAATAGCCGTGTACAGTAAAAAGAGTTGGCACTAATTCAAGCTTTTCCATAGTGATATCACACGTGCATCTCAACAAACCAACATTTCCTATGCCATTTATAAGAAGCAAAAATTGGCCATCTATTTCAAGGCTTATTTTGCGTTCATCGACCTTAAAACTAGGGTTTTGTATAAGTCTAAACATTTTTACCGAGTCAATGTTCAAAGATGACAAAAAGAAAAGCAAAATTTTTTGTCATAGTAGTACCTTAACTATTCGAAGTAATTAAAATGTAATTTCTTCCCATGACATCCTTATTTTATCAAGCAAACAGAAAATAAGAATACTCAGGTAAAGGTTGCTATCTTGATCTAATACCAAATTCTCATGACTATTTAACATAGAAATGTGCATCAGCTTGAGGGAAGACCTCACAATCAGATCTTGAGAGTTGAAGGGTCAAAATACAATGCCTTAATATCGATTTTTACTTTTCTACTTGAAATGCAACACAAAAAGGCAAAAAACCTCGCACTACTTAACTGGCAACACTAAAAAATAATATCAATGTAAACGTCGAGTTCAATACAGACATTATTCAGTAATTTTCTAGACTAAGTGCAAACATCGATCACATTTCACATTATACGAGTCGGTATGATACTCACCTAATAATTTCATTTATAATGGCTGTGCTGCCTCCTCTTTTCAATGCAGGCCTTTGAAATAATGATGATGCAGTAATGTTAATTTTAAAAATAGCAGTTTAATGATAATGACAATACCAGAGATCGAGGAGCAATCGTATATGAAGCGGATTTTCGTATAACACGAATATATAAAGTTCAAACAAAAACTATAGCTTGAAATCTGTATTTTTCCGTTTCCAGAGACAATCCAATTATGTTTAGCTTCATTCACTTCGTGCTGAAATCCATTTAAAATCAACTTGCAATATTTCATCCTCTTAAATTGCATCGAGAAATTGTTACGTTTTAGTTGCCCCATTAAAGAAAACTCTTACCATTCGAGATGATAGGGTGAAGCTAAAGCATGCCTCGTGGCGCTTTGCGGAAAACGTCTCTTACGAATTCCATGTTTCTTCACGGTAGCCGCCATTTTGGAGTTTGCTGAGAAGCAGCCCTCCCCGTCCTCCACAGCGAACACGTGTTTGGAATCTGGGAACGAGTCAATAGCTAAGCTGTGGCCCTTAGCGACTGTTAGCTGTAATTCTACCTGTAATTATATGTACGCGACGTAAATTGACCTATCCCCCCCCTCTTTTTCTTTTGGCTTTTTTACGTTTAAAACGAGATAATGAATTATAAGATTAAAAATAAACTGAGACGCCCCCAAATTCCGAGTGAAGCGCTTAAAATTCTCTCCATGGTGTAGGTGTTTCAAGGAAGCAACGGAGTTGTACCACTTTATGGAGAACCCACAAGTAATCTTAACCCCGTAAAAAATCATGACTCGATCAACATCCCTTTCTTTGCCAACCGCTTAAATCTAGGAGAAACAGTTTTTAAACCTTAACATTTCACGTAGAAACCAGATACGTCATTTGACGAACTGGTAGAGGTCTTTCCATATCACTCTCAACAGAACGTAAAGCCGGCAGCTTCTTTTTGACACTTACTGTATTTTTCATTTCCCGTCGTATTCCATTTACACTTGTGTGGAATAAATGCGTTTATTTTAAACAGGCTGTAAACATATCGAGTTAAAGCTTATTTATAAACTAAAAGCCATATTTTTGAGTGAGCATTCCTAACGGGCTTTGCAATCTACTTTTTCCGGAGGGGGCATGAAAATCCTCGTGATATGGGCAAGAAAGTTGTGTCGACGAACATGAGCAATTTGGCTGCCTTCCTTCTAGTAATACTTTGTTCCTTCTTTGAAACAGTAAATGAGCTAAGAAGGCCATAAAGACCAAGGATACGGGAGTTTCTGTCTTTACCGACGGCAGGTTAAATTCTATGTAATTACACTTGTCAGTAAGCTGTAAATCCTGTTAGTACGAAATAGAATTAGTTTTGCGAAGAGAGGATTAAGAGATTAAACCATTACATTATAAGACATATATTTAATTAGTAGTCGTATATTAGTCACTGCTCAATACTCTTTTATTTCAGGAATACTTCAATTCAATGCTGAATTAACTTATTTAAAAACACAAAAATTACAGCATCAAAACTCGTTTAGGCAACCCTTTTAGTGAGAACTTTCGCTTAGCTGTATAGTGAGGGTTTTCTAAAACTTTCTAGGGTTATTGATGATACTCAGGGCTGTCCATCAATTCATTTTAAGCCGTAACAACTGCCCCACAATCAACCAAAATTTTAATTAAAGTTTGGAAATAGGCACTCGTTTTGTGTTTACAAATTGCCTAAAATAATGGCCAAAGTTTACAATGACCAGAAAACAATAAAACGCATTAAGGTCTCATTAGTAAGTAAATTTCTGCAACCACTTAAGTTTAATAACGACCGTGTAAAATTTCAAAGTTTAATTGAGTGCATGCGTTTTTAAGAAAATAAGCAAATTGATGATTATCGACAAAAACTTCCATTGAAGAGTATTCTTTGGCCACGAGTGATGTTTAGAGAGCGTTTTAGTATTGCAAAAGCGTTAACAAGTTACTGTAAGCCGGAAAATCTGCGTGCTTAAGGCTTTCCTTTAATTGATGCAAATATAACAACATTACGGCATCTTTTTTTGATGATCACAATTAAACCACTAGACATTTTTGGTTTAGAAATGGAGGGAAAGGGGCCTTATGGTACCCGTTGAAAATGAGAACAGCTCAGAACTGGCTAGGAGAACTACCAGAAAATCAGCGACGTCGTCGTCACAGATTGGACGGGTCACGGTCAAGAGGCGATTGCAGTCTTACTGCACAATCTGTGAATAACCATATAGTCCAAGAGGTTCAGTTACAAAACAGATCTTTGTGCTTAAAGCAAATTATTGGCGAGCTAGAACAAGACTTCAAGACAAGACCATCACTTGAGTTACAACAAAATCGTTTCAGCAGAAGTTTACCAAACATTTGTGACTTACGTTTGACTGAAGTAGCACTTCAGAATGCTACAGCATACAAGCAAAACAGTCAACCATTGACACTTTCGAATTCATTTCCAGCAATAGAAAGAATCTTGAAGGAGAAAATAAATTATTCGCGATGGAAATGGAGGCATTATACAGAGCCAAAGATATATAACCAAATGTGGCGATCGTTAGGCAAAGATGTCCATGAACGTGATAGGAATAGCAAGCGAGAGAAAGCACTCTGTAGCGGTCTTGCCACGCACAGCAACGAACACAGGAAACGACAACAGTCAGAAAACAAACCGAATCTGTCCACACAGATATCAAGGCCAGAAGGAAAATCAAACAAAAGCTCTTGGCATAGGTCGAAACGTCACGTACTACCAAGAATTCTGTTAACTGACTGAAATGGAAAGGAAAGTCTGAAAACAAACAAATGTTATTGCAATAACTACTGAATTGGCATAAGCACTGTTGGGGTTATTTTTTTTTCGAATAATCTTTACAAAATTACTTAATGACAACGCTTTTCCAGGAAGTTTGGCTAATATGGAGGGTATAAAACTACTAGGGAAAACAAGGTTTGCCTTGCGAGTTGCGTGGCGGGGAAAAATGCAATTTCACATAACTTTCATAGCTTGAACTTGTGTTGAATGAAGTCAGCTGATAATTAATTAATGGTGATGTGATAACAGACCATCGCATATATGATAATTAGTTATTGTTAATGAATCTGTCTCTCCCACTTCAGCAGCAAAACAAGTCATATAAAAGCAACCAAGTTGTAAAATAGCTATGATGTCAGAAAATTAAGTTATAATTCGTTGAAATATTTCGCAGTGTAAAGTTTGAGTCGAAGCTTTTCATCAAAAATCTTCATGCTGTGTGATGTAAATTACCACCGGTCAACAAATTGTGCAGATGCGAAGAAAGAGAGTTTATTTTTAGTCATTCCGATCGTATATTTTGCGTTGCAGGAGATACGGACTTGCTGAAATGTGCGCCATTAAGAGATGATAAACATACGCAATTTGAGTCGTCTGAGGCTAACAGAATATTCTGGTACCTTAAACCTCAATGACTTGTTTTGATTCCGATGAATAAGTTATAATAAGTTTCCTTTATATATTCGATGTTTTGAAAACCTTTCAATTTTAAAACAGGGTTGAATAGACTAACTAAGAGTCATACAACTAATGTCACTTTTATTTGACAGTAATCTTTTTCAACAAGTTAGTTATTATGATCCTGCGATCCATCTCAGAAAAAAAAAGCTCAAATATATATTACAGCTGCTGTCGTTGATATAGCTTACAACGACGAAGGCTTAACAAATGAAAAAGCGTTGGAATTACATGCAATCAGGCGTGAAATGGTACTTACTATATACACAGTCAACTCATGGGTACGATTCTACTGCTCTTTTGATCGCCTGGTCATTGGCAATTGTTTAAAACTACATGGTGAACTTGATGTACAATTCAACTGGTTGTACGCCTTGCTTTGAAAGCTTTATCATAGTGTAATCAGCTTTACCTCTTGAGGATAGTTAATCCTATTATAGCAGCAGGCAGATCTTGGGCGAAAACTGACCACTGGAATTCTCCGTAGGCCTTTATGTCGAATTGAGGCAAATAACTCGTGAAGTAAACAATTGCAAAATATTATGTCCTAAAAGTACTATTTTACTAAAATCGGATGATTAATTTATGATATCGTTCATGTATAGTCGGACTCGTGTAAGTATAAAAAACGAAAACCAGTCTCTCAACTGCATCTTGACTTCTTGTTTGTCGACGCATAAAACTTGCATCTCAACTGAAGAGCGATGTTCAGTCACTCGGTCATCCAGCTTGGAGACTCGTGCCATCTGGTGTATTTCTAAACAAGTAAAAAAGAATTGTTTTTGACTCAGTGCATTTCCTATTTTTGTAAGCTAGCACAACTAGTAAATTTTGTTTAAAAAGTATTATCCTCTTGATCTTATATAAAAGAAAACAAAAAACTTCAAGATAATATCCTACTTTCTGAGTTCGGTATCCGGCATGCTTAGTATGATTCCCACCCTCCTGATTTGCTTTTGGTTGACCCTTTTTCTCCGTTCGTCTCCGCTTTTTCTGAAGGCTTCTAATGCGACCATGATGTAGAACTGTGGTAACTTTTCCGTCACTCTCCTCAACAATAAAAGAAAGTAAGATAGCTGCTACGACGAGAAAAGTTGTTGTTTTCATCTTGTTGATCTTCTCTTATCCTAACAAGGTCCTCTGAGATGCACCATGAAATCGCACTATGAACTAGTGGTAAACCTGGACGCAATTTATATCACGACGATTCTCGAAGATTAGGAAATGTGGTTTCTCCTGCCCATCAATAAGCTGTCACTGTCAACAGGTCTTGGCACTATTTTTCATCTGTTCTCCAACGTTTAAGTTCCCTTTTATAACCAGTGGGAGGAAATATTGACATCAATACCCCTTTTGGCCGGCCTCTTTGTAGTACCCGCGACAGCTCGGACAAGAAATGTTAGCTACGAGCAAAATGTTCAACATTTTAATTCCACTCTCTCAGAGTAGATGTTAATTCCGTCTGGCATGCTGAAATTCTCGGCTAGTGCAATTTTTTGAAGCTGTTGAGTGTCTAAGATGTATTTCCGTACGCTAAAGTGTATCCAACGTTATGAACGGGCCCCTTTTTAGTTCAAGCGAGGCAAAGCATTTTGCCTTTGACTACAAACAGATTCCAATCGAGGTTTTTGGCCGGAAATTTAGCCAAAAGAGAAGCATTTTTTTAATTAGTGGTTCGGAAATGTTGCTTCGAGGGAAATATTTTAAGTAAGGGTCGGTAGCAATGAACACTGGCCGACTTTTATTGTCGCAGGGCTCAGTAGCACACATATTGAATTGCTTTGTTTCACTCAAACCGTATTATGAGTGTCTTTCATTACGCAAATCTGGATAAAGATTTTCAAGTTTAATTCGACTAACCACCTCTAACAAGCTGATATAAAGTGATAGATTGGCAAACAAGCTTAAAAGCGCGAGTGCTTTCGCCTATTTATCGCTTGTAAGGTTGCCTAATCAATGACTGTCAACAGAGTTTAGCACGCCTCCACCAAATTAATCAACAAATTGAGTGCCGATAAATCTGTAGATATGGCAATACTGCTCGATAAAAATAGAGTTCGAGTACACTTGAATTCAAAGTATTTTAAAGGTTGAGAGACAAGTTTAAAAAAAGCTTTTGGCAACACTTGTTAGTTCTATAAACATGCCACAGATGTTTCCTTGTTTAATAGTTGTTTCAGTTGTTGGTTCTTTCATAGTTAGGTGTTATTCAGTTTTTAGCCATGTTCTTGATGGTCATTAAAGTTCAAGGTCGATCGTTTTAATCAACTTCTCACTCAATACAATTGAAATACGAAACGTAATCTGCTAAACACTAACAAGATTTTTATTAAGCCTGTTATAGTAAGGGAAGATTTATTGTTAATCTCTTTGCAGTTATTGCGAGATATAAAAGTAGTCATGTGCCATGATTCCGTTGTCACGTCTACTATCTACATGGCCTAAATACACTGCATGGTCTCCTAATTTTTTCTTCTCCAGTTGTCTTGGCGCGCCTGTCGTAAACATTTCTGGTCTCAATTTAAGTTCAACTGATTTCCTTTTTTGGCTGGTTTTATCAGCAAAACGTTTCACTTTTAGATCACGGCTTGAGGTAATTTTAGCAGTTTGAAGGTCAGAAACTTAGATTTCAACACATATTTGATTATATTTTTAGCTCTTTGTATGAATACAAGAATTAGGAATTTTGCGGTTTTTCCAAAGATCTTACCGTATGTATTATAGTTATTTCCGGCAACCTTCTTTCTGTCAACAGTTTCGCTTTAGGAACACTCATCTACATCATCAACCCTAACTTAAAGACCCACCGAGATATTAAATTTTCCCCTTCGCAGGTTAGAGAAAAAATCTTCGTCAAGTAATACCGTTAGTGAGATCACAGATGATCTCTTACGGTTTTCAAAAGAGAGCCATGGGGATTATCTCGGATGGAGACTGAACATCCACCTCACCATTTCTCCTTCACGTGTCGTCACTAAGAGCAAACATTCTGACGCGTGCCCTCCATATCAGTGTTAAGTTAAATCCGAGATATTAATAGAGTCCAAACGGTTACATAAGAGAGGATTCAATTGATGTTCGTGGAAGGAATACCGCTGTTATCTGATTTGTCAAGAAAGTCAGCACTGGCCTTTCGATAGTTGGCAGCTAAGTCCACTAGTATTTAGAAACGAATTCTAGCTGCAATAATCGGCCATGGTTGTAGCCTACGTGTAGCCGTACCCTCCCCCTTCAAGGTTTCACCTCGGCGGAAGGAGGGTACGGCCACATGTAGGCTACCATGGCTGGGACAGTTTTGAATGAGACTTTGTGGCTTTTGAGGGAGAGGGGCTGGGGGGGAGGGGAAGTGGGTCGCCTGATCACTTTGTCAGAGATGTAGTGGTGCAACCACCAGTCGGCCAGTGTTCATTGCTACGCATGCTTTTGACCATAATTGAGACAATTCACTTTTACACAAGAAAGCTGCAAGAGATAATGACCATAAAAGTCTTTTCCGGAATCGCTTAGCTAAGAAACTCATTGTACAAATGATAATGTTAATAATTTTAGAGCAGAAGTTAAAATATTTTTAATGGTATCTAGATTAAAGGGGTGGGAAGTGTAATTTTTCTCATAAAAGTAATTTGTTTTTTTGAACATCTCGGAATTCTAACTTGGGTATGTTTTCATTCTGTTCTATTATTTAGCATAGTTATCTGTCCTCAGTGGCTCGTCTTCGATTTCCGAAATAGTCACCATGTTGTAACGTCACGTTGTTATCAAATTTGATAACTATCCCTGACTGTTTTCGGATTATCCATGTATAGTTACCGATTGTTTTCTTGTTACTATCAGTACTGTTTTGTTCCATTTAGATTAGCTATTAAATTGAAATAAATGAATAAATAGATTGAATTCGCTGTACAACACGAGGTCTACTGGAATGTAAGCTAAGTTTTATTTGGGAAGATGTTTCTTCTTAAGTAAAGAGTAATTTTGAGAGATTCAACTCTTAAATGCTTTCTTTAGCTGAAGCATACTTTTGCTTTGACTCATGGCATATGTTTACAAAGCGTCGCTTTAGAGGCCGAGAACATGAAAATATCATTGGCGCTAAGTTATGGTTGATTTCGACGTAAAAAACACTCCTCAGGGACTGAAGTATGACACCTTTTACAAGCTGAGACCCACCAAAATGAGAAAGGGAAAGGCATCGGTTATAAATTTCACAAATAAGAAGATGGGTTGATAGTGATGATGCTTTCGATCAAGCTTTAAAAAAAATTTTTGACCTTTAACTTGATTGTGAATAGTGCATCACAAAAAAAAAGAAAAACAAAAAATCATCAACCACAAATGGCTCCCTCAAAAAGGTGTTGCAAAGACAGAACAGTCAATTGAGCTCCTACAGAAAGAAATTGATCACCTCCTAGGTAATTAAATTTGGCAGGAGCCCATCACTTGATCCTGACTTTGGTCACTTAGGAAGATTGAGCTGGATCCTAGGCTGGACTCCGGGATAGTACCTGGACTTTCTTCAATGTCAATTTTCTTTTAATTGGTAAATCCGCTCATCACCTTTTGTAAATTATTTACTACAACTCACTAACTATTATCTGAGATTGGAAGGTTGGTCATACCATCAGACGAGTAGCCTGCAGAACACCCCGTAATTTTTTTAGTTTTATTGAACGCAGTCAAGAGCAAAGCGAGTGCGAGAGAGGAGCGCGAAAAAGTCATTCGTTATTTGGTTTTTTTTTTTCCTTTTGCACTCCTCCCCTCGCGAGTGACTCGCACTTCGCGCTTGTTTCCGTGCGACTGAAAAAAGCAAAACAATTACGCCTAATCTGCAGGGTGTTACGCCTGACTTCGGGTTATTATTAGCAGTGTAACCGGAAAATATCATGCACCTGAATGAAAAACCAAGCTGATCGTTAGCCAGGCCATTACCCCTTGGGACTTGAGAAACTTTAGACAGATGGTGTACGTGTGTAACCGCATCTAATGTTAATAAGCATGAATTGCTCATGCCTACAATCAACGAAACGTTGGCAGCCTATTTAACCATCCAAACAAGAGTGCAACACAACGAAAATCGAAAAATCACTTGTGAATCAAAACTGGAGTCTTTATGCCGGCCAAAATATCCCCCAGAATAGAGGAAACTTGAAATCGCAAGTTGGACATCCCCGAATACTCCATGAAAGAGAGAAAAACCAAAACCTCCATACTCCAAAAGTTAACCTCCCGGGAGGATGAGATAAGTCAGAAACAAGCAAGGGCCATCCTGTTATAAAATGCTTGAGTGATATAAATAGGGAAGTAATTGAATTCCGCGCGGAAAAAATATTCAAAAGGTACAGAAAAATTTAACGAAATTATGTCCTTGTTATCGGCATACATTCAAATTTACTTGAACTCCTTAGTATACGAAACTCTCTTTAGACGTGACAGTCGCATCGGTAGTGAGAAAGAATAGATGCTCGGGGGCAGTCATATTTCGGAATCGTTTTATTTGTGGTGATTGCTTCTTAATCGCGGGGCGGAATTGGAAAGAAGATGTGTCTGTAGACTTTACTAGAATTCTCATTACTTTTCAAACTTGCCCTCTTATGCACGAATATAATCATTAGACGTTTACCATTTCCTCAAGAGTTCTTACTGATTTATTTTTGTCTCCCTGATCTTTCAGCCAGGACTTCCTGTCTTTTTTTCCTTTCCTTTCCGAGCGCGGATGGGGAGGGGTTCTCCCATGCGGCTTGAATTGACAACGATGTCACGTCTAGCTTTGAACTACAAACAATAGACGTTAGTCATGTCCAGGTTGCCCGTACGCAACCGCGTGCCCGCGTCCTCCCCTCCAGGAAAGGGACATATCTCCACACAGACCAGACCTAGAGCGTTCAGGGCTAAAAATCAAATCTAGAATATTTATCCATTGCCGAGTATCTTGAAAGACCGTACGCGAGGAAAGACTGTTCATTAGAAAGAAAGTTTGAGTTGTACCTTCAAGTATCATAGAAAATGACATGAGCTGATATCCTCTTGGACAAACAAACTTTCCATCACACCCACATGTTGAGCTAAGTATGAACTAAACATGTGAGACGGGTATCTGGAGACAAAGGTAAGCATTTTGCAGCACGTAACAGACAGTATTTATTATCAAATTTAAGTAGTTATTTTCCTGTTCTTTTATTAAACCAGCGGGCGCACTCAATCAATCAGTGCGTAAGTTAAAATTTTCTTCTGTGCAAGAAGATCTCAACCTGTCATCGGAATTCTTTTTATCTATACCACTGTAACCTATCCTGTCACAGAAAAGGCTATAGAGGTCAGTTTATACGTGTTGAACCCGCACACCCATCCCTTTCTCATCATCAGAGAAGCGGAAATATCGTTTCTTATTTCTTACCAAATAAGTTGAAACAATGAATCGATAGCAACGTTAGCGTAAACTCTACTCGCCTCTCCCCAATCAGGATGAGTTACATCATCTAAATGGCTTGTCAATCGGGCAACTGTCACACAAACGGAGAACTAAACTGGAAACCGGCCAAGTATACAATTTACTACGTTTCTACTATTGATCACACTCAAGTAAAAATCTGAGAATATGGACGACACTTTTATATTCTTTGAAACGCCATGTGTGAATTCGACCGCCCCAGCAATCCTTCCATTTATAACTGGTGGGGTGTCAGCGCTTCTGTGTCTCATCACTGTGCCGGGAAATCTTATCGTGGTTATGGCAGTTTTCGTTGATCCGAATAAAGACTTACGTTCCCCATTCATGTACTTGGTGGCGAATCTTGCGATGGCCGATTTGTTAGTGGGCCTTGTTACAGAACCAGTTTCAGCTTTTTACCACATAAAGAACGCTCTTGGAGTGATCGACTATGAAGTTCTCAGCGCTGCCGTCCATATGCCTTTCTTTATTTCGTGCACGGCCTCTGTTCTCAGTCTGGCGGCCCTCACAATGGATCGTTACGTCGCAATAACATCACCATTTCGATACAGAGCAAATTTGAGTCCTTTGCGGGCCCTATTTGCCTGTGTTATTGTATGGACGATATCACTGAGTTTCCCTTTTGCGTATCTGTACTTGGGTTTCTTTAGCTACGCATTTCTGTTCGCAAATACTGCAGTCGTGATGACTTTTCTAGTTTTGCTATTTGCTTATGTGCGTATTTACAAGATATTTCGACGTCAAGTTCGGGAATGGGACAGTTTACATGATAGCACAGAGGATAATCGCGCCAAGAAAATCAGAATGCGCTGGGAACAAAAGATAACGAAGACATTACTTATTATGTTGGTTTTATTCATTTCTTGTTATCTGCCTGCCTGCGCCGGCATATATGTCATCAACTTATGCTCTACATGTGGTTGTGACCTTGTGTTATTCTCGCGTGACATTCAGTTTCTGCTCATTTTAGCAAACAGTTCTATGAACCCGTTTATTTATTCATGGCGTCTGAACAACTGCAGGAGAGCTTTTATTTGGATCGTTTCGTGCGGGAAAAAAGGAAGAAAGGCTTACGGGAACGTTTCGTTTGAAATGCAGACCATGAGACGATTGTCGACACGGGCCCGATCATTAACACTGACTAAACTGTAGTGTGGTGGCTTGCATTACCAACTAAACAACTAAACGTGGCACACCGCGATTAGACTGTAAAATGTGCATTTATTTTCTGCGCTCAAACATCGTTTTGCCGTCTCGCTCGATTGTTAATTATTCGGCTAGATAATTAAGGTGAGAGAAGTGAATCTTGCTTGGGTGGAATGGTGAAAAACCCCATATCAAGTCCCTTAGTCGTTCTTTACACGCTTTGCGTGACAATAGCTAAATTTTCCAATCACGGCTCCTTCTCAGCTCGCCTTAAAGTCTAAAAACCAGTGATGATTTGTTGCCCGTCCATCGGACGAGACGACAAACTGATTTTAGAGAAAAATTCGAAAACAAGCTGCCCGTTTTCTAGGATAATTGTCAGAAGCGCACGAATGAAAAGCGGACTCGTGGAAGATGGCTGCCCAATAAGAGTTTCACCCTGTTTCCAGTTTTGGTCGGCGACCCTCTTTGTCCTCTTACCACGAAAACATTCGTCATATTTGTTTCTTGCTTTTTAAAAATTTAATGATTCCCTTAGTTGTAACAGTACTTGCTACGGTAGACTGGGGATGTTTACGGACAATCTTTATTTTTTAATGACAAGATGAAACTAACAGAATGTATCCCCTCCGGTAACAATTGGTATTGGTAAATTCATAGCAATGAATAAACCGTTTTATTTTCTTTAGTTCCAACTTGACGTGGTTTAAGGTTAACGAGAATATACAAAGTGATCAATACTGCATGACACCCAAAGTTCAAAGCCTTACGTTTCTTTCCTACTTACTACGAAACAAGCAAAATTATGAGAATACTGCTTCATGATAATTAGATCTGACGACTATTTGACATTTTGAATCTCATAAACGCAACGCAAAACGTATAGTTGGCTAGAGGGCTTGCACTTGTGTTCACAAAATGTCTGTGAGAAAAAAGCAATCTCTTATCGAATACGCACTTTTTAGTACCGGGGCATCACAAATGGCACTAATGACCACGAAACAATTCCTTAGAGAAAGACAACAAGTTCAATAAGGGTTTAATGGATTCTTTGAAATTACTCTCAGTTGTTTTGAAGGCTTTCTGTTCTGACGGCTTTATTGTATTCAGAATATTCAATAGTGACTGGTTTAGCGTCATCGAGAAAACAATAAAGAGGATTAACAACGGGTTGATGTCAAGAACAAAACGCTCTCGACCAACCGTATCACTACCCCCTGACACTAGCCAAGCAAACAAAGCATAAGTAATTTATTTAGTGTTAAATGATTACCAAGAAAATACGCCATAGGTTAAATTGACTAATTGCTTGAGCTTGGTAAGTCAAATGAACATAATAAGGGAGTTTTACTGATAAACAAACCAGTTCTAATAAATTTTGAGGTAAGACGGACGCAGAGCTAGAATTATCGTTGACCTACCGAAAGGATGATTCTCGACAAGTCACGAACTGAAAGCACCGGCAGCAGGTAGATAGCCATCAAAAGCAATGAAGGATGACATTACCGTGTAAGAAAAGTCATCAAGTATCTATTGTGTAGATGGTCGAACCTACATCAAATACTCGAATATATCTGGTTCAATAGGTGAATCAACATTTGAACTCACTTCAGCGATTCTTCCTGCTTATTTCTGATGGGCATAAAGTGAAGACTGATGATGATGCAAAAATATAGAATTAAGTGGAGGTTACTTACCGAGTAGACAACCTTTAATTTCATCATACAAGATTGTTTCTTTCGTACTTTGAAATGCTTTGTGGACTTTGCATAACTACTCCAATCTGAGTCAGGTTTCGCTCAACCAAGTGTTCGCGAACTCACAGACGGATTGACGGATTTCTCTGACGTTGAGTCTCTGGCAGTTAGAAATACTAAGAATCGAGTGTTACCCTAATCTCCATCGTTGTATATGGAAATTGGTAGTTTCTTTATTATTCGGATCAGCCATATAATTACAGACTAAAAGCGTTATACCCTCTAATCATATTGATTGAGAGTGAAGGCGACCGTAGCGTGTGTGAACGCGTCAAGAACTAAATTTGTGTGCGTCTGTAAAATACAGAGGACATCAATATTATGCACGAGGCATGATGATACCTCTGTCACCTGTAGCAAAGAAATCTCGAGAAAGCAACTCGATCCTAGATGGAGGACCTGAGGAAAGCAGGGAAATCAACGCCGGCAAACCAGGGACATTTGCATTTACCAGTGAACACGATGACAATAACAAAATGGACTTTGGAGATGATATTGGACCTGATGCCAATTTTCTTGGAGAAAATAACTTGCAAAGACAGAGTGATAGAAATGCGATGCTAAAACGTTTGGCAAACTGTTTCAACCACCGACAGAAGCGTGCAAACCTGGTAGCCAGAAGAAATAGAGTTATGGGCTTTTTTCCAAAGCTGTGCACCATACATGAAAATGCATCTGAACTTGTTCATGATTTAGAGGAAAACTACCAACTAGCAGAAGAACAAAACGAGTTCGATAGAGACTCGCTAGAACACGACTCGATCAAAACAAACGACCAAAAAATTGCAGCTTTACATCAAGACATCAAGGAACTTTGGAAGCGTCTTGAAAACGTAGAAAAAGAGTTTGCGTGGGCGAGAGGAACCCTGAAGTTAGCGCAACATACAAAGTTAAAATAGATGTTTAACTCTAGAAAATAAGCTAAATATCCTAAAGCCTGAACCAAGAGAAAATGAGTCTCCCGATGAAACACATTGGAGCAAGAGAATATTTGACCTATGCCCCAATGAAAGTTCTTTCTCCAAGAGAATCACGGCAAAGGAAAGTTTGTTAAAATAAGAGGCAGATTAAGCTTACCTGTTAAAAGCTTCGAAATAACAGAAAAGTCACTAGCTTAAGTTGAACAATTGAAAATAAATGCGGGTCCTGTTACTGGAGAAAAACACAAGTATTGAGCCTTTGTAAAGTTTCCTCAGCAGTTACCTTCTTAGTTTCTACGCCCTTTTATCGAATTACAAACTTTCTTACTAACGAGAATCATTGTCTCACTAACAATTTCTCTTGCTTGAATCTATAACTAAGCTGAAAAAACGGCAGGACATTGTAATGTCAGCTGGAAATTAAAAATCAAAAGGTAAAGAAACACTGTGATATTCATGGGCACTTTTGGAATTCACAACAAAACCAACAACATCATACAGACAAAAACAAAAATCAACAATTTGGCCAAGCCCCCCCCCCCCTCTCCAATAGCTAAATTTGGTCTCTACAGCTCATAACGAATGTGTCACGGGCATCACGGGGGTGCGTTACAAATCCGGCACTGACTGTACTCTCATCAACGATCTTTATGCCGCTCAGGGTGACCAGATTGATTTCAACTCAAGTCAATTTTACTCTTAGAAATCTCTCTTTATTGCTGGTTAAGAGAAATTCACAGCGCTTCATGATCAACCCAAAACCCTTTGCTAGATAGATCAGCTAAGTATAGCTTCTCTTACTTTGGGAGAGTTTTGACACTGAGGTATTTCAGGACCCCGTTGGCTCAACAGATACATTTAGCGTCTGAGTCTTCAAACGGGCGAACTCTTAAAACTGTCCAACAAAATAATGAACTCATTTGTTTTTGTTCCACCATATGGAAGGCAGAACCACGCGAGGTTGGTTTTGCTGCCGAATGATCTCAATCGACAGAGCATCAATGTCTGGAAAAATAGTTGACGATCGAATTGCAAGAGACGATTTGTATTGCAACCAAAACTCTTCGAAACCTTTTGGCATCATTTGTCGTACAGGAGTGATCTCTGATGATGATTCATAATGGATTTTCCTGTTTTCCCGCTTAAGATTGTTAGCTGGAGAATGAATAGGTGATCTGACGCGCTGACGTCTTTTGTTTCGAGCGTGAATGGCTGGCAGTCTGATTCTTTCTAATTTCTTCTTCGTATCATGAGAGCCATCAAAATGACGACGAAGCTGTTTTAAAGATAATCCCTTTTGGCTGCAATTTCCATCATTTCTTGTTTGTCTTTCCACGTTGACTTTTGTACCTTTTATTAACTTTGAACGCGAGCTGTTAGGATCTTGTGCTTTTGCCATATTAATACAAAAGTACGAATAAACAGCAAGACAAGCTCGGAGTACTGATTACAATGTCTACCACAAACTCCACTCTGAAATGTCCTCGAATTTCATGTTGGCCGGGAGATGTATACACATAACTGCTCCTGGATCTCTTTGTTGATCAGAAATGATATGATCAGAGTCTCGATATTTGATTTTCACTCAAACGCTACATTCTCCGGTCTTCTCAGACGGTGCAGTACGAAACAAGTCTCCCAGTCAACGAGTCGCACTTAGCTTATGTTACCCCCGCTGACCTGCATGCTTTATAAATAGCTAACATGCCTTGTTCTTGCCGCGTACAACTTTAAACAAGTCTGACCTTTCTCTCACGAAAGAAGTGTCACAATAACGCCTTTGGATTGGATTCGGCGAGAATACCCTACAGAAAAGCCGCCATGTTCATGTTGCAGGCAAACGCGAAGCGAGTGCCGAACGTCCTTTCACCTGCTACTGAAATGAAAGAAACATCCCAGCCGTTCGGTAGATTAAGGTAAAGACAGAATGGTTTGCTCTTTACAAATAGCGTAACCTTTCTAGAGAATTACTGATTAAAAAGAGGCAATAAAGCAAAAAGCTGGACCTTAGGTCTTCGATTTCCATGATTGAGTATTTAAAAATGGTGTAGCTCTTGCCCTCGCGTGCTTTTTATAAAAACTAAAAATTGACCATGAGCAGAAAGGGTTTTCATCTCCGTTATCGTCTTTTTCTTTCCTTCTCAATTTTCGCTCGGCTTATTCAACTCTCCTTTGTAACTGCACCGTGGTGTTGACAATGGCACATTGTACTCTCCGACAAAGCATTTTAATCCGGCTCCTGTCAAGCGTGACCTCTTCGACAATGGTCAGTCATGTTAGATTGATCGTAAATAATCGCCTTAGGCCTAAGTAGTGCATTGTAATTAGTCGGTAACTTAGGAGAAGTATTCTTGCGGGTTAGTAAACAAGAAAAGCGAGGAAATAAGGAAAAGCGCGATGTGGTCATCTTTCACTCGAAGTATTCGCTAATTTAATCACCCTCCTGTGTAAGAGGGGCTGAAACAACGCTTTTAAAACGCGAGGCGATTTATCAAGTTAACCAATTCAATTATAATCTGAATAATGATGGCAAACAACCAAGTGGTAATATCAAAAGCGAGTTGACAACATGCCTCACAGTCAATGCTTTCAACGTTCAACACTTCCAAAGCTTGTCGATGACCATCTTTCCTCTGGAAAAGGCAAAGAATGGATGCCAACGTCGTCGCAAGTCAACGTAAGAGAAAAATTCCGCTTCCAAACGTACTCTGATAAAATTTCAGGCGGTATTCAATATTGGCACAAACACAAACTTAAGCCAAGCGAGACACGAACACGAGACACCATTAAGGAGACGAAGAAAGTAAATAACCTTTCACATCAGCCGAAATGCACTGCTTGTGGTGGTTTGCTCTCTCATCGAATGAGCCTGAAAAGTATACACTCGAAATTTACTGAACGTCATTCGAAGTGCGCGTTCGGACGTGAATATTGTGATGTAATTGGTCCATGTGCGGAATGCTGTTTGACGGAGCAACGTAATGCTATTGTCAAGAAACAGTCTGTGGAGTTTCCGGGATTGGAGGTTACACCAAGAAGACTTGTGGCACCAAACCTGGTCCAAGTTATGATGCAGCACAGTCAGATTGAGCTCGGAGATAATGCATCTGAACTTTCTCAAAGTCACCAGGGTAGGAGCGTCCTCGAACTGCCACTCATTCCTGTCGACACGCTGAGGTATATGAGGAGGGAAGCTGGGAGTAGCAAGCATAAGCGAAATACTTTCATAACAGACCAGGAACCAACGTTTAAGAAGTACATAGAGATTCGCCTACCAAAAATCTGACACAATAAGTTTTACTCGGAATTAGCTTAGAGACACAGGAACCTGCAAGGGTGATACTGAAAAACAAAAGTTCGCCTAAAGTTAACTTGAACTCAAGTGCTAATCCTATTCATCGAGTTAAATATGCATAATACAGTGTCTCTCTTTTGGCTAATGGACTGATTTGAATGACTAACGTGTGTGAATAAATCATTCGCCGAAGCAATTTACTGTTGGGTTTTGCAGCTTCTGTATATAAACATAACGCTGATAAAATTTTGCTTTTTGCTTTTTCTTTCTTCCTTTCTTTATGGTGACGAGATGTTGTAGTTTTCCCTTAAGAACATGTCACGTTAATTGGAGAAAAGAACCGCCCTTGTCTTCAGTCAAAATGTCATAGATACCAGGAGGACCATTACGGTATCTCGACAGTTCTCAGATAAAAGCCGATACGGCCCTCCGTACACTAGTACAATCGTAAAGGGAGAGATAGAACTCTTGCTTCGACGCTAAGTTCTAATTGTGGAAAATTTGAGAATCTTATAAAACCGTATATTATCGCATAACATAGTAGTCTTTTGAAGTCACGTATTGGGACTCTTCACACCCTGACCCTTTGAATTTCTGATGCCGGGGCCGAATGATCTCCATCTCAAAATGGTTATTAAACTGAAATTGTATCAGTTTTGTTTATATTCCGGAGATTGAAGAATGTGGGCGTGGAAATCAAACGCTACTGTATCTTAATATGTAACAATATAAGGATATTGAGCAGTTAGAAATTATCTAAAAATTGATATTGAGTAACGTTAGTAAATTCGAAATTCACTTGCAAGTCATTGATAGACGTGGATATAGTGATTTAAATTTGTGATTATAAATAGCATCATTTTTTTTTAGGATGCGAGAGCTTAATCTTTCTCGAGCACAAGACGATCTAATAAGTCCAGTTTACCACAACGATTCCTTCCGCTGCGTTTAGCTATTGTAGCAGTACTTAGTCCACTTAACTTGTTTCAGTTATGGGCATTAACCTCATTCAAAATGATAGCCATTTGAAGATAAAGGCCTTGTACACACAAATAACTGTAAAGTAACTGTAAAGTTGTTTCGTGCGCTTGGCGGGTCCATTAAGCATATGCTAATGAGAATTACAAGGCACGACATTTTAAAATGTGTCGTGACAGAAAAGACTGATTTGGATTGATATACTACAGCTCACGTGACTTTTGGAAATGTTTATTATGGTGGGCTTCAGTAGTAACAGTATCAGTTCGTCTCTCTCTTCACTGGAAACAGCTTGCACAATTCACACTTCAGTCTCCTATTTCGAGACAACCAAGAATGGCCGAACCTCCAAGAGTGGTGGGTCTTAATGTCGGTGGTCATATTTACACAACCACGCTTTACACTGTCACTCAGTATTCCGACTCAAAACTAGGAAAGCTTTTTAGTTTAGAGAGCCAGGTACCTAGGGATCAAAAGGGAAACTACTTCTTAGACAGAGACGGTGTGCTGTTTAAACACGTCCTCAACTTCTTGCGCACGAAAAAATTGATCCTTCCGGACGACTTTCAGGATTTTGAACAGTTTGAGATTGAAGCCGCGTTCTATGGGATTAAACCGCTTGAAGAAGAGGTTCAAAATGCTAAGAAAAACAGGAAGCTCATTAGCTCCGGCCCAGAGATTCTACGGCTTTTCTACAGCTCGAAGACGCAGCTGGTGTTGGCTGGTGGGTTGGCGGTTATTCAGAGGCTCGTGCCCAATGTACGGATGTTGGGTGGAAATGTCCTGAGCGGCTCTGCCTACACCTTCAAAACGAATGACAAGATCGTGGAGGGAGGACAAGCTAAAGTTCCGATTAAATTGGAACAGTTAGATGCTTTTCTACAACATGTCGTCGACGAGGGTTTTGAGGTCAAGATGTCAACTTTCTTTTTAGATGGTCACGCAAGTCAAGCCTGGGTATTCGTTCGTAAGTAATGCCGCAAAGAACGACTCATGCCATGAACCTGTTTTAACAATAGAACTCATATTGAATGGTAGAATCATGAAATCTCTTAGCTTTTCTGAGGAAGACACATCTCGTCTTTTACTGCGTCTAACTATAAACATGAATTGTCAAATCAATATACTGTGTAGCAATAGAAGTGCCATTAGCGCTATCTGGGAGCGGTTATTATTGTGCCTAAACAGATATTGCAGGTGAATGGGAAAGAAATGAAATACTTTATATTGAAATATAACACGTGGAATTGTAATTGTACTTTTACGTTAAAATGGCTCGAAAGTAAACATTGACAAATATGAAATTCAGGAATAAAATTGTCTATTGTCCGATAGCATAACGCGTTCTAATTTTCCTCTCGAATTGGTTTGCGTTCTCCTTGTTTAAAATATATTTGCTCAGGGAATTCATTTTAAAATTCGAAAGTTCGTGGTAGGTCTTACAACAGTGAGTGTTTTGACGGAGAACACAGTTTTCATCGTTACGCCCCTCTTACTTTTGTAGTTGTACAATATATTCCCAGTCGTCTCCGTCAATCTGTCAATTAACCCCCAATAATTGCCTAGGTACGCGTAGGATTCTGCAGAAGTTGTGAGGTGATTGGTTTCCTTCTTCCCTTAACTTTTTTATTAAACATTTTGATAATAGCTCTTTTCCATGACAAAATGAGGGAGATCAGGCTAAGGTAGGAAATTATTTGCGCAATACACAATCCCTGAATTTTTTTCTGTCACTCATCTGTTTATTTTTTATTTCAACGGACAATTGCCCTGCTTGCTTAGGCTCTTTAATTGGGGCGGTGTTCATTGGTCCAATCAATATCCCTCTTGATCTCAGAGTATAGAAAAGTGGTCTGAAAATCTGATTTGCTTTCGCCAAAAGGTTTAGATAACGGCAGATATGTCAGGATATAAGACATTTTTATGATTTGCTTTTCCTTCACACCTTTTCTGGACCAGCTCGAGTGACGAGTGGCTTTTATTTCACACCGGATACGAGGATGGGACTAGCTGAGAAACTGATGAAGTCCTTTCCAATTCTGAAAGTGCTATATTAGAATAATTAATTTTTAAACGGATTTTTTATTCTAAATGGAGAAAAAGTATATTTCTAAACCCAATTCTATGCTGATAAGGGCAGTCAAATATCTAATTTAAATATTAATTTACTCTTTCTTTTTCTCCTTAATTTTCTCTCTTTTGTTTTCTTCCCCGAAAATGTGAAATACGACTCCAGCAAAAGAAAACAAGAAGTGAAGACGGGGCACGTGTGTTACTAAAGCCTTGCATAGTAGCTGAATTGCTTAGAAAAGGGTATAATTTTTAATTCAGAAATCTTGCGTGACAAAACGCGAATGACACGCCACAATCGATGATCATTACATGACTTGTCTCGCAGTCGACGTGCCGCCATATTATTAAGACGGGGCTACTTTTCCGCTGGTCTTCGATACTGAGAATTTAAGGTATGTTCAAGATATTTTTTGATCGATTATGCAAGTTCTGTTTATTTTCCTGGCAAAAGGTAAACGAATGTCGCGTTATTAACTCAGATTATTCAAATCTAACCACCACCACCGTCACCGAGGTTCTTTCGGGATGTAGATTCAGTAAAAATTTCAAGTTTTCACACTGCCTCTACTCTAAAAATTGTCCACCGCTATGTTTGATTATGTTGTCACCGTTTTGCCAATGTGTGGAGTTCTCAGATATCTTTCGAACGACAACTTACCACTGTGTTTACCTCAAATGAAGTTAGTTGACGTGCGTAGGGGTTTCGGTTTTCCTTTAACAGCACACGTTTGATGAGAATGGACGAAGTTCAAGAATTTCCATCCATAATAGACGTAAACGTTGGAGGCAATGTTTACACCACATCACTAGCAAGCCTTACAAGATTTCCAGACTCCATGTTGGGGGTCATGTTTAGTGGACGGCGGCCGGTGGCGAAAGATTCTCGAGGAAATTTCTTCATCGATCGTGACGGGCCGATGTTTCGGTATGTGTTAAATTTCTTGCGCTCTTCCAAGTTGAATCTACCTGACAATTTTCAGGAATTTGATCAGCTCGCTGAGGAGGCCGATTTTTATCAAATTCCTCGTCTCATTGAAGCCTTGAAAAAAATCAAATTAAGCAGTACTGTGGGAAGAAATCAAGTGATTCGCATAACACTGGACAGAGACAAGCACGGATTAGAGACGTTGCTGACGGTTTTCGCCGAGAAGCTCATCTTACAAGAGATATTTCAAGGCTACGACTGCATCTGTAGCCCTCTCGTATTTTCGTTCGATAAAGAACAGGCGGACTCGTCTACTACAGCGATTCTACAAGAAATCACTAATTATGGTTTTGAGGTGATGACAAGCCTCTCGCATCCTGAAGACAAATCTATTAATGAGTGGTTTTTCCTTCGCAAGCGCAAGACAAATGTACCAAATTCTTAATTTTAGTACCGAGTGACTGTTCTTTGCCTTTAACGATTTTTGCCATTGCCATGACTAGTAAATTGAAGACTAATTTCTCCATTTTAATATCCAACATCAATAAATACTTTATTTTCTAAGACATTTCGAGCTAAGTCAAGCTGCTGTGGGATTATTTTATTTTTGGTCGACCTGTCGCAAAACTAAATATCATCTGCTCACCTTTCCATCTTGCTCGAAATTTTTGGAAACCTCTTTGTCACACATTGTAGTCTTTATTCGTCGGCAGAATAGGCGTTAGTCTTCATGCATATTGAGGTGAGGGGGTGGTGAGGTTTATGGTGCGAAGCTACCGAGAGGCAGGCGCGAGGTGGGCGCGAAGTGAGCGTGAGACGGGCGTGAGGCGAGGAAACACGCGCGTGACTCAATCCTCGCCCCCACCTCGTGCTTGCTTCCGCTCGGCATAAACGCACAAAAGTGACACCTGTTCTGCTGGCGAAGTCTGCTTATATATCATCCAAATCTTTCGCTGAGTTCCTTGGTGAAAAAAAGATTGCCTTATCTTTTTACGCACTTATTCTGTTATTGTTGAGTGATTGAGGCTGTTTATAGATATAAGGAAACAAAGTGGGTTTTGTTTTACGAATGATTGGGAATGATATGGAGGATTGCTCCCTCGTTTTAATGAATTAATTCCGAAACTTACCGGAATTTGTCCACCATAACATCATTTACAGGTGTAGGGAATGCTTTTTGTGTGTTTTACTCTCCCTTTATCAAGAATATATTTAGCTCCTTAGGGAGAAATATTTGACGTAAATGACTGTATTTTTTTTGCGGCCATTTTCCGTCCTACAAGGTGCCGTTGGAGGCTCCATCATTTTATTGGCAGCTGCAGAAACAGAACTTATCTCTTGGCGCGCTGAGCGTCTTTTAAACTGCCGCCGAAAGTCCTGCTTAACAAATGCGTAAAGTAAAGGATTTGCCAAAGAAGAAAGTGCCACAGTATAAAGGGAAGCTTTTTGAAGAGCGTCAGGAGATAAATTAAGCTTGTTCAAACTGGCAACTGTTGTCATATAAATGATCGGCAACCATGATAACACAAATATCATTACAATAGCGAGAAGAACTTTGGTGACTTTAGCCTCTGCTTTCATTCTTTTGCATTTAAGAGAACCAGTGGCGTGAGAGTGTTTGCGAATTTTCTGTTGGTGTTTCCTCAAATTCTGACCAATTTTGTAGTAGGCAAGAAATATTGCTGCGTACGGGATGACAACAAAAAAGCCCATTAAGCAAAAGAGATACACTTTGTGAATGACGATATTGTAATCTGTCTTCCATGTCAGAGGTAAGAGAGCAACGAGTAAGGAAATCGCCCAAATCACGATAATCATCTTTGAGAAGTGTTTCTTCACTGTTTCCTTGTACTGGAACGGTTTGGTAACAGCAATATAGCGATCCCATGTGACCAAACAAATATTGCCAACACCAGCCAACAGAACGAAAGCAACCAAGTAGCCTTCTGTGAAAGCTACAGGCGAATATGGCCCACTAAGGTGAACGGGAAAGAAGAGTCCGCCCGTTAAAATGTCTGAAACGGCCAAAGATACGAGAAATCCATTTGTGTGAGTGCGAAGTTGGGCGTTTGTTACTACAGATACGCAAACGATGATATTGGCAGCCACAATGAGGATTGACATAGAGGCTAAAATGACGAAGTGCAAAGTCACATCTACCATTTTAGTATTTCAACAATGGTGAAGAAATGATTTCTTGTTATCGAACTGTTTAACTTCGCTGTAATGTGTATTCCCGCCTTTGTGATATTGAATACTGGTTGCCTCATCGCAAGTAAAGCCTAATAACATCTATTGAAATATTAAACAAATGTTAATTCTGTTATTTGCATAGGCGAGGAAATGATAGGAATATCAACACACATGCACCAATTAAAATGCTTAGCTCAGTGCCAAAAGGCTTTTGCTTCGCATTTGATTTTCCGGAACACTTTATGTTCATTTCCTGCCTAAAGGCAAATGTCTGTCGCATTCAGAATCAATATTCCATTCTGCTGTTCCGTGATATTTTTAGTGACAATTGCGAGTGCAAACGAACGAGAAGCTTCTTCGCTTTCGCAATACCTATCAGTATACCGCTATCCTTTGTTCAGAGGCACGATAACACATTTCTGCAAATACGATGAAAGGTTGTCAAGAGCGAACGGATGAATAATACGTGAATCAATTTTCATGACGTGATGAATTATTCAATTTGAATGGATTAAACGTTTTTCAATGTTTTATCAGAGGCCACTGATGGCTGCAATGAGTCGGGTGCAATCTTTAAAAAGTTTTGCTTCCTTATTAAAAAAAAAATATATTTTTTGGGGGGGAGGGGGGTTATCGTTTGAATGATTTGTTAGTAAGAAGAAGAGATTAAAAAAAATTCACCGAACAATAAACACGAAAAAGGTAAAACTTAAAGGATTTGAATAATATAATTTTTTCTCGTTTTGTTTTGGTTAAGTGGCGAACTGAAAGTTACAAGTAAAATTATTTTCCTATAGGCAGCAAATTATCTGAAACTACCCAGTTTTATGCCACCGCCATTTTATCTTACAAGGGGTGGTTTAAATGTTCTTACTTTCCTTAAAAAACTTGTATCCTCGTCTAAACTGCAATCATTTATGTGGAGATGTCATGCTTAGATTTCCTCACGGTAGCCGGTAATTTGGTGAACTTTTTGTCGAACGATATCTTAGTAAATTTGTAATAATATGAAACTTTAAAAAATAAAAGATGAACTGTTGTAATTGAATTTTACCTCTGTGAATCTGTTGTCAGTAATTTAACCATGTGTCTTATGAGAAGCTTTCCTTGGTCGATTTAAAGCAAGTTTAAGTTCCTCCGAGGCCATTTTTATCTGCACCAAGGGCTACTTGAAAGATAGGGCCTTTACCGTCTCCAGATATGAATCAGTGATAATGGCTTTCAGATAAGTGTAGTTCATCTTCTCAAAGTGTAAATTTTGTCAAAATGTGGAGGTCATCCTAAAGGAAACTTTGCGGTGATAAGATCAAAAGGTGCGAATCTTTCGCTCAATTTGAAAGGTCGTCCAAGTTAATTTCAAGGGGATATGCAGGCCACGCTGGAATAACCTTCAGCTGATTACTTTTTAATCAAAGATGCACCTGGGGTGTTGAAATATTTTGTAGATCGCCGAGCAGTGGGTAGTAAAAGAAATTCATCTTAAAACAGGATTTAATGACATTTTTGTGATAAAAAAGAAACCAAAGCACCCTAATTCACCTTACAGTAACTCTGGAATCTCTTCAACCTGAATCAAGTTGTTTTCATGAAGCAGAACGAGATGGATACTACCGCCAGAGAAGAGAAGTTTTGTCACCCCCGAGGGGATATGTACGTTGAATGTGTTTGTTTGATAGGTGGGTTTTCCAGAGCCTTTTTTGCATTTAGATGAGGTGTAGCGATGAAAAATATTGCGCAAGACTAAACAAGACTAGTACGACGCCACCTTTGAGCGAATTATTTTCTAATTTTGGATGATTACTGTGCTAGAAGTAATTTCCTTTCTTTGCGCAATCTTTAGAAACATATTACATATTGGTGTTTATCTATAATGCAGTGGAACGGAGAATCTTGTTTTCCATGTCTTCGTCTGCGTTATCAAAAAAGTATAGGAAAAAATATCGGATTCAGGTCGACATGACAACTGAACTAAAACGAAGTCTATGGCAAAAATTTTCACTTACGGGTGAGAGAGAATTTTTACAATTCAGGTGAATCGTTCACACGCCGTGATAGTGCCAGCGGGGTGAAATGAAAACAAAACAAAACAAAAAAACAGACAGTCGAATGTGATCAGTTCCTGAAGTTTAAAATATGATAATATCTGTTCATGGATTTTTCTAGATTACAGTGGAGTTTACATGGGAAATAATTCGTTGAAAGATATAAGAATTAAGAGAAAATCATGAAACGTAAAATTAGTCATAACATTTTGGTAACATAAATTATTCAAAGACTAAAGTTTGAAATATGTAGCGCAAGTTTACTCCTACTCCCTGTGGTTTCAAAACATTTACCTGATTGGAGGTATGCCGAATGGTTCAGGTGTTCTTAACTGGCTGATAAATTACTCTACCATCCAGCCATGGGTTAAATATGCCTCTCTATTACCTGATCGATTGACTGTAATCGTCTTTGAGAGCGAATTATTGATTCCTGTCAGGGTATGAAAAAGTGATTCAATAGACTGTTCCAGGCTCTTTGTATGTCGAAGAAAAGCGAAGGGGCAGGCGAGCGATTAACGATGGAGTGGTCTTCAGGGAACCACGCCATTTTGCGCGCGCCCACTCTTTGGCTCATTTCAACGAACCACAAGCCTAGCACAGACTAGCGGTCGAACGATCGATTGACTAACGATAAGTTGTTTCAGTCTTTGTTTTATTGAATGATCGTATTGTTCATTAATTTAATAAATTACTGTTTTTATTCACTGGTTCATGGATTCATATGAGTTGATTATTATTTCCAATTTGATGATCAAACTCTTCGGCGGTTACTCCCTTTATATTTTGCAAGCGGGAGTCTTCAATTTTTTCAAATTTTGTTTGATGAACTAGCACGGCCTCAATGTGAAGGAAACCAGTTATTCCTGTTCGTGCTGTCTGCTGTGAAGTCGTTACAGGCGTGATTTTCCCTTTAGTATTGTTCAACCAATACGGTCCACTAAGTTAGATGCTTTAACCTCCAACCCCTGAGAGTGACTCGAATCTAATCTCTCTCTCTAAAATATCACCCCTGGGTCACACATTAAGGTCACGAGAAAAAGGAAATGATCACCAACTAAAGAAGCTCTTGATCGTTAAACAAGTTCTCCTTGTGAGCAAGTTAAAAAAAGGTATAGAGAACAGTATGGAGAATGTGTCTACTGATGTTAGGTAGTAAAGGGTCAAGGATATCAAAGACACTGAGAGCTTCACAAATCAACTTGCTGTCAATGCCCGATTGACCACTGCAGGCACATGCAGTCTGCCAATTTAGATTTCCCTTGAAAATCGTTTTCGCCGCTTCCATTTAGTCTCTGTACTTTTAAAAAGCAAAATGACCATCTCTCAGTCAGGTATGAAAGGACTGATGCAATTTTGATCACAGTGCGGCAGTACATGAACAATAATAGTTGGGATCTACTTCATTAATTGCGATACTTAGACACCAGTGGTAGGGTTTCTCAGCTGGAGAGCCGTGTCATGCGTAGTATTCCCTTTTTGTGTGATCTCTATATGATTCTTTAGACTAATCGGATGAATCTGTGCATTCATATTTCGCCTGAAAATCTTTCTCACAGCAGTTCTGAAGTCCTCTTTCTTGAAAGTGTACAGTGCAGGGTTTATCAAGGACGACAGACCCAGTGTAAATATGGAAATATTGGGCAAAAGAACAGGCACGATGTCGGCTCTACCAAGCGCCGTTGCTGATGTCATGTAGATGATCGGCAGCCAACAGAGGACAAAAGTAGCGATCAGAATAAGGCAAACTTTGGCAACCTTTGCTTCTGATGAGAGCCTCTTCGCTTGTTCCCTCCTACTTGTCGATACCGTCATCTCCTGAACGATCTTGAAATGCTCGCGGAGCGTCGCAAAAATCAAGCGGTAAGCAACAAACATCAACATATAAGGAACAAAGATAAAAATCACGATTTCCACAAAGATGTAAACTTTGTGAATCAAAAGACGGGAATCAGCTTTCCAGCAGAGTGGTATTAGCGAAAATACAACTGCCACGACCCAGGCAGTCAGTAGCACTTTCGTAAAGTATTTCTGTATTAGATAAGAATACGAGAACGGATGGCGGATAGCAATGAGTCGGTCAAAGGTGATGCAGCAATGGCTGGTAACTCCTGACAACAGAATCACAGAGACAATATATCCGCTGGTGGCCGATTCCGGAATCGTTAGAAACACAGGAAACAGTACAGCACCGAGTAAAATATCAGATACTGCCAGAGAAAAGAGGAATCCATTCGTGTAAGTTTGCAGAGATTTGTTGGCGACGACCAAGAGGCATACTGTTACGTTAGCAGCCACTACTATTACGGACAAAATAGTTATCATAACGTTTACGATGGAATTTTCAGCCATCCCAAGGTATGAAACTCTTGCTCTTCGTTATTCTCTGATCTTTCTGAAGTATTAACTTAGCGTCCGGCAGACCAGCATCCTGAAGGACACAGCTTTATATTGATGTAAGCAAAATTAATCTATCAAAGCCGATATTTCTTCAAGTGACAAAACTGGAAATACGTTTCTCAATCGAAGAGTCTCGAACCTAAAAATTGGTGTGTATATCACTTTCAGTCACTGGGTAGTTAGTCTTACATCCCAACAACATCTTACAAACATATATCTTAAGGTGAGCTCTTATCCAGAAGACTTCACGCAGATTTAATGAAAGAGCAAGTTGAGCTCTCAATAAGTTATCATTCAAATTCAAATTTAAATTGACATGTGAAATTATCTTTGTACCAATAAGGACGATGAACGGACACTTTTTGTTTGGTATGCACGCTTGCCCTGTCTATCTCGGCAATCTGTTATTACCCTTCTCGGCACTTAGCACTAACGTTAGCACTTGGAGACAGCTCGTAACCATATGCTATTTTTTGTCTTTTTTCTCAGGAGAGGAATTTAAAAACGATTCTTTTTACAACAAAATTAACAGAGGAAGACAGTTTTCAATTTTCATCGCGTTGCCAGTTAACTTATCTATGATTTTCCTGATTCAATTTCTAAGGAATGGATTTTCTACGGCGTTTTTTATCGAGAACGTTTTACGAGGGTAAACAAAGAAAAAAATCATCAGGAAATCTTGACTGCAAAGACTGCGACTTTCTCAAAATGCATTGATGCGCAGCCTTTTCGCTTTAATTTGCTACAAGAAGCACTGATCAGAATTTCGGAACATTTCATTAATACGATCTTGGGCTGCAACAATCAGAGAGATTTCAACAGCTTGTCGAACTGAAAATGTAATTTTGGCATTATTCCTTTCACACGGTCCAATGTGGGACAACCGGTAACTATCATGAATTTTTCATTTCATTTTTGTTAGCGATATCGTGTTGCGGTGTATAAATTCAAGGTAATTGACGAATCACGTTATGACGCACTCTAATACAACGCCAGAATCGAGGATTACGAATTCTTCCGAAATATCTTTACAAACAAACTCTTTTCTATTAAGACTTTTGTCACACGTTCAAATTAATAATGCTTCAACGCAAATGGCAGATCAGAATTTTCCGGAATTATTATTGGAATACAAATATGGGTTTCACTAGGGTAATTATTTTCATTCGCTGAAAATCTTGCCATGACCACAGAATTATTAGGATTTAAGCATTTCTAGGAATCAGCACTTAACTAATATCGGCCAAAGGGTCCGAAAAGTATTACTTTTCAGCCTACGGATAAACATAAGGTCTTCGAGAGTTGTTCACTCAGCATCGCGGCAAGCCTTGCAGAGAACAACTAAGCTTTCATAGGTATTAACGCCGTTTTAATTTAGGCTAGAGGCTTTGCAGATTATTATCTTTCTGCACACGGATAAAAACAGACTCCACGCGAGTAATTCATCGCGGCACATTTTGCAGAGCTCAAAGCAGTATTATGAGCTCAGCTTTCATGGTTATTAATGCCTTGGTCCGGCGAGAGACTCGTGACGAACATAAGTAGAGATCAGGGTTCATCTGTTCTCTTTCAATCGAAAAAATTTTCCAAAAAAAATTGAATACGGGAATCAAAACCTGGTACTGCTTTTGGTGACATGAAAGGTGTTGGGGAACGAATGTAGCCCTGTTCATGTGAAGACCTAAACTAGTTTCGTTTTCTAGAGGCCTTCAAAAATTAAATTGTCAATGGAAATTTACATTAGACACCTTGAGTTTCATCATTCAAAATGACCACATATTTGATCAAGTGATCTTCTTATTTGATAGGGTTACTCACCCCACCTTTTATTATTGAAAAATGATGAACTTATCGAAATAATTTTCAGAAAAAAATTATTGTTAATTGAGAGTTTCTTTAATTAATCACATTGATGTTCCCGCTTTCGATAGCACAGCAGGTAGAAGAAAGTTCGCAAGATTCAAATAGACCACTATGAGTAATATTATCGTTAGGTTTAAACTCGTTCGTTCACTGAGAACCAAATCCCTTTTTTCAGTCAGTAGTAATCAGTATTGGGGGAAAACCCCGATAAATTCTGAAAATAATTTAAAGAAGGCGCATTGCTTTAAGGGCAAAATGAACTTTTTTGTCCTTCCTGTTATTTTCTAAAATCCTAACCATAATATAACTCAAGCCCAGTCATCCTGATACGTTAGTCATGTGATCTTTGAGCTGCTGGAGTGAAATGCACCGAACCTGGGGGGAGGGAAAGGGGGTTGTAGCCCCCCAGCCTTTGTTGGGGAAACTTTTCTAAGTGCACCACTCAATTAATTTTAACAAACACCTCGCCGCCTCTAATTAGCTTCGAAAAATATTTCAATGAGAAGATGTGATATTTTTTTTTTGCAGGAAGTTCTATGCTAATTGATAACTGATCCGGGTATCCAACCTCGATTTAACGAAATGTAAGGAATTTAAATGAACAAACTTGAGTCTCTAAGTTAACCGTTTTGAAAAATACATTAAAAAGTTGTATTTTTCCTTAAAAGTGCTGAACTTCAAAATTGTTTTATAAAAGTGACATTTTAGGCACGACAAGAATCTAGTAACGTCGGACATAAAAACTCATTTGCAATCCAGTGAAAACTGGGATAAATCTTCCATTGAATGTATTTTTCCTTGTTCTAAATTCCTTTGTTGGACATTCATTTTAGTTCGCATTCCTCCTTCTGAGGAGATACCACGCCCGTTTAACACCGTGTTTGTGGGAGAACGCGTCCGAAAGAAGTTGCAGATGGCCTTCTTGAAATCCGGTTTGAGAAAAGTGTACACGAGTGGATTCAACAGTGAACATGTCGCCACTGTAAACAAAGACGAAACAGAGAGGGCTCCTGGAATGACGTCATCCCTATTAACAATTTTTGCAGTTGTTATGTAGATGATTGGCAGCCAACAGAGAAGGAAAGCTAAAACAAATATGGCAAACACTTTTGCCACCTTAGCATCCGAAGATAATCGTCTTCCTTCGTGATTGTGCACTCTGAAGGATTTCAGATGTTCGTTCCTTGTCAGACCCCTTCGAACCTCCATAAACATTCGCACGTATGCCAAAGTCATTAAAGTGTAAGGCACAATGATACCAAAAACCTGTAAACAAATCATGTAAACCTTATGCACTGTGAGGTTGACATCAGTGTTCCAAAACAGAGGCAGTAAAGAGTAAATCAATGAAAGTAACCAGGAAAGTAAAGGAGCCCTTCTTCGTATCTTAGGAGCTCGATACGGGTATTCCAATGGCTTGATCACTGCAACATATCGATCGTATGTGACAGCACATAGGTTTGCAACACCTGAGAGTAAAATTACGCTCACTAAATAACCTGTTACAATCGAAAATGGCTCGATGAGGTAAACAGGCAGTAAAACTCCTCCTATTAATATGTCCGACACTGCAAGTGACACCATCAGCCAATTCGTGGTGGTTCGTAGAGCTTTCTTCGAGATGACCAAGAGGCAAACGCAGGAGTTTGATGTAACGATGAATAAAGAAAAGATGCTCAGAAAAACCATCACAAAAATATTCTGATCTGTAACAGCCATGTTTCAGCCAATTGCTCGAGATCTCTGTCAATGTGTGGTTTCCTTTACACGAAATCGTCTTCGCGTGAGTTATTCAATTCACCTCGGTACTGAAATTGTTATGTTTACTGAACCAAAGGAGTTCTACCGCTTTGTTACCTTTGTTCGTTGAAGGATCACGAGTTGTCGTCATCGATTAAATCTTGTAGTTCGCCTACAAAAATCTTGTTTGGTTGACTAATCCCTTGACGCGAATGGAATAAATTTCTCCTCGTCTTGTGAGTAATCATATTATCACAATCTAGGAGAGTTTGAGACGACTGAGAACGAAACTCAGAGATCATTAAAAAAAGCCATTAAGTCCGAAACATCCAGAAAAACCAGTGGGGGTAAAGTTTCACCTTTAAAATCGAACGAATAACGAAAATAATCTTTGAAAGCTTTTGACTCCAGTCGCGTCAATTCGTAAACGGATTGGATAGATATTAATCTGTCTTGGAGACATTATGATAATTGCACCTTTTGTCATACCCAAAAGTAATCGAAATAACAACTAAGAATACAGAAAAAGATATTATTTTTGCATCTCCTTGGAACTGATTTTAAGCAGGGACCGGAAACAGTTTCATCAACCAGGTCAGTTTTCATACATGAACTTGTTTACTCAATTAACTTTCCATCTTCGAGTAAACAAACTGACTTCAGTTGTCAAAGGGTTCATGAAAAAGTGATAAGAATCGATACCAAGCCAAACAAACGCTTTGGAAATGTACATCATTTCCTTTTTGCGCGTTATCAGTAACGCCAAGCTGATAAGAAAAAAATTGAACAAAATCGAGCATTTAACTTCTTAAACGTAAGTTCAAATCTAGTTCTCATGGCTAGAATTATCTTTAAGCTATTAGATTTTAGTAAATCCCAAGAAATCAATGTTTTTCAGTGTCATGTGTTATAATAATTTAAATTGTCTCCATATATGCTGGTGAGGCAAGTCCAGTTACTTCTCTCGTCCAGTCTTACTTCATAGTGAAAATGTGATTCTCTGGAAATGCACGGCCTTCATATTTGCTCACAAACCATCACAAAGCATTACTTAGCATTACCAGTCGTCTAAGATAATTGCTCATTCTACGTTAATCGTCTCAATGCTTTGACCTCAAAATATCACTATAAATCTTATTACAAGATAATATTTCAAGAGTTCACTTTCCGGCACATCTATCTGACGATTGTGAGTGAGAGGCACGACTATCAACTGTTACTTTTTTCCGAAACTTAAGCATTATACTGAAATTTGCATCTTTAAGTAAAGACGTTTTTCGTTCCTTTGAGGTCTTTTTCCTCCTGAATGTCTTCAAAATAAATGAAACAATTCTATGTTTTGTACAATAGCTTCAAAATTAACAAAAACGTAAAGGTAGGACTATACCCTACCAACAATAATATAGGCGGTCTTACGTTGTCTGGATGCATCTTATACTTGTACCCAAATTTGTGGTCTTGACTCAAGTGAGCGGAAATGGCACTGAAATCATACCGCTTTGGAAAATCACGCAAATTTTACCAGTGTTTTCATTTCTTAAAAAATAAATCAAGAGGTGGAAGTATTAAGGTGAAGATCTACTAACATAGAGGCTCCCCGAAAAGAGAAGTGACGTTAGATTTAAAGAAATCATGACAGAAAATCGGGTTGAATCGTTCAAGATTGACTCGAGATGTTGAGGCTGACGAAGACTATAATTTATTTTTAAGGTTGTATGCTCATTAAATAACATGGTAAGGAATATTTATACAGGATAGCCCTTCAGTACACAGATATTGTTATTAAAGGTATCTTTTTTTAATTAAAAAAATTAGAATGAAAACCGAAAATAAGATAAACATGACTTTGTGACAAAGTCCCACTAACATACGCTAACCTACCTTGACTATATTAAAAAAAAAAATATTCATCCGAAACTTCCCCACTATTAATTTAGGGTTTAGGGTGGGGGGTTTTTAAACAATAACGTCAAGCTTCACTTTCGGGAGAACAACGATGGCCCCTTTGTTCTTCAATACTATGTTGCTCTCTAAAATGGTATTACAATGAAGTAAGAAAATTATTCATTTCAAAGAGGCGAAATTTGAAGAAGCATAATGTAATAATTGCGGGGACTAGAGAAACCTTAAGATTTAGGAGCTAAATATTAAAATTTCTCCTCAAGTCACATATTATACATGTTGTTCTCTGTTTACAATCTGTCAAACCTCGATTTGATGCGTCTCATTTCTGCTTAATTAGTTGCTTAGACTCAGTGATAAACGAGCCGTCACTCTATATTAATCGGTATTTTCAGTAGATGTTCACAAAAAGAGACAGTTCAATCGCCCTAATTGAATATGTCGGTGCTGATAATAGCTGTCTCATTTAAAACCAAACTATAATCATGGCAAAAGTATTAGATGGGGGAGGCTAATTAGTCATTAATTTCAGGCGAGATAGACAACTGAAAAGAAGTACGTAGCTATTGATATTGTCTGGAAATTTTGGTGAGAGGTTAAAACTCACTCTGCTTTATGTTAGTTCCGCGTGATTGATACATATATGATTAATTAGGCGCGCGACTGAAAATTTGTTTACTATGTAAAGGAATAGACAGTGTAGTACTTTATTCCTTTGATTTTATTTCCGAAACAAATGAATTCATGGGGCATATCCTAACTTGTTGTGTGTTGCATCGCAAATTCGCTCAGACTGTCAAATAAAACGAAAATAAATACATTACCGGTAAATAGAGAATAACACAAAGGTGCGCGTAGATATGGAATTTTCCTTTGAGTGTTCAACTCGATAGCTTGCTCGTAAGCCCGCGAACGAGTTGAGATATCGATCTACAAGCAACCATGTATTATTTTGTTTATTATATTGACACAATAGCCTTTTACTGACAAGAAAAGCAGACTAGTTATAATGAATGAAATAAAACGATCGACAATTCCCGAACAAAAATCGTAAAGTGCGCTGTCGCTAAGGATCAGTATGAAAAAAAGCGTTGAGTAATTACAAATACAACAATTCAAAGGGTGTAATTGCAATATACAAAATTCTCAGGTATTGACTTTGTCCTTACCCACAGACGAAATTAAATCTCTCAAGTACACAGCCAAATCGGCCTGCGGCAAATCTTCCGGTTGCCGATTTTCATTCTCAACCGCGAGAAATGCCACTACAAAAGCCAATGAATACGTAACTTTCGGTTTTTCTTTTTGCATCTGATTTTGTTCCCCTTCAGGGAAAGTTTAACCTTGCTATCTGTAAGCGATACGGATATTTCTGTGTTTTTTTAGCAGCCATAATCCGAGAGAATTCCGACAAACGACTTTGGATTGAGATAGTGAAGGCTTTGCCGTTCATTCCACAACCTGACTGTGTGGCGCGAAAGGCGAGTGACGTGTCAGCAGCTGATTGGCGATATCAAACACGCGAGAAAAAAATATCGTTTTGTTTTTTCGTGTGCTGTTAAGGCCTTTCTCAGGGCTGGAAATCCTTCTATGACACCGTAGTATATATCGCGAATAAGGATATTTGTTAATATCATTCAGTTGTATTTCGCTTTGGACAGTGACCTTTTTTTCTTTTATAGCTCAAATCCAAAGCCTCATGCAGCTCCCTGGCACTCCTCCTGAGGGTCACTAATCCAAGTAATTTGCTGCTCTCTATATACATCGTCGTAAGGACTGGGCCGTTACAGTCAAAGGTTTCAACAGGTTTGTCAAACGCAAAACTTTAGGGCTCTACAAAGAAGAAAACAGCAGAAAATGCTTTCGGTACCTATCAAAGCTACGGTTCAATGTTGATAGCAAGTAGTGAAGAGGCGTTAAAAGCTCACAATATAGATAACGGATGGGACAAGACAAAAGTTCCTGGGGCAACGACGATGAACTTGACTTTATGGCAGATCAGGCTCAATAAGGCACGAAATTTTAGTCCACTCTCGTATGTCGGCGGAGTTACCTATAAAGGACCAGAGCCTTTATCCAGCGGAGTATATGGGATGGATTCCCGAAAAGTATTCGTATCGTAAAATTAAGCTTCATTGTCTTTCTTCTTTTTCTACAACGTTTTAGTCTGTCTTGGAAGCAACATTAAAATAGATAATGATCAAAAAACAACTAAAGCACGAACTATACTATTTCAGAGCAAACTGGTAAGGGGTACAATTTTCAATTTTCCATTGAAATAGACGGCGTTACCAAAAAGGCAGCTCAGATATATTTGCAGCTGTAAACCCTCTCTCTAGAAACATTCTACACATTACTTTGGTTGACACCAAGCCAACGTTTATTACATTACAAGATCAAGTTCATTTGATCTCAAGGCACATGTCCAAAATCAAAACTCTCAAACTGGAGCTACTGTTGACTCCAGTGGTATCTACGCTACAGCCTGGTTAGAGCATGGTTCAACGACTGCGAAATACGGGTACCCTATTGTCGTGAAAACAGACTCTTATAAAAGCACTGCCACCACTATATGGAGGCGCAAACACAGGAATCCGTTGGTGCATGTACACGCTTCTGCAACAAGATGATAAGGCACCTGTGATAGAGTTTGGTATATCATCACAGTGCAACATGCTAATCACTCCATTGTACGGCTACGTGATCTTTCAGCCCTCACCAAAACTCCTTCAAGGTGGTTTGATCATAGAAGTGATCAAGCAATGTCTCATCATGGTCGAGCAGAATTCCTATTCCGTCTTTTAAGCATCAGCTACCCTGACCTGAATTTAAATGTCGACGGGGACATGAAAACATCCCATACGAAGTCAATAGGGAGGAGCTCCATGAACTAGAAAGTGGTGAACTCGAGCTCTAAGTCACTATATCAGTGGAGGTGAAAATGATCCTCCCTGATTCTACGGTGAAAGTACTTGCACCTTCAGCTGGCTATCGACCACGTGTTAAAGTAAAGCGCGTGCTTTCCTCTCCTCGTTCTCCTTCCTTAACTCCCTTAGGAAAATGAACATAATCGCGTTCAAAAATCTTAAGAACGGATTCATTGTTAGAGAAATAACCAGAATATTGTCTAAGGGGACAATAAATGGATTTCTTGGATCTTCATCATCTTATATCTCTCTCTTTATGCTATAGAGAACTAATGTAACTCAGTGGGAATCACCAAATGTTAATCTACACTGAATTAAAGCAATCGTTAGTATTTAGGTGGATGCGGAACATTACGTGAAAAAATAAATGGAGGTCTACACCTGTCTCTTTCTAGAATTTTTTCTATTCATTGCGGTTGTAGTTGTCAAACATGGTTTTAAGAGTTCATTACGATGGTTTCATATCTTAAAAATTAGTCTCTTGATATGAAAACACTCAAAAGGTTCATGTCAGTCTACATAAAAGTTAAATGGTTTAATATCAATTGCTACGACATTCGAATTTATGTATTTTACAGGGAAGGAATTTTTTGGAAAGCTGTTAGAAGAAAAAGAAATTGCTATCCAAAATTCACTTAAAACCTGAATCGTTATCTAATTTCACAATTTATTGCAGAAGTCTCTTACGAGACTTTCTGCTTGCATCCCTTGAGGGTGCCAAAGTGTTTGACATACAGGTCAGTAAAAAACATATCCACATTATCCGTCCATCAAACAAGATGACACCTACAAACCTCCCACTCAAGAGATGGTGAATCGACCAAATCAATGCACAAACAATACAACTCTTCTCTCATCAAGTGAAGTGGGTTGCTCTTTTTTTTAATGGGGCGGTGGGGGTGGAGATTTTGTCCTGCATTAATTCATAATTTACCCCTGTCATATCTCCAATTGACATCCTATACAGCGACTAATAAAAAAAGTCATGAAAGTGAATGTAGCTATAGATTCGTTAGCAGCCAAGTAAAAATCGACTCTCTCGTTAGCCGAAACCCTCGAAAATTGGGAAAAAAAAAGTGTCTGTTGGTAGAACTGACCGCCTATGAGAATGATTCCGACAAGCGGGCACCAAAGAAAATTAGAGTAATTGCCCGCTTACGGAAGAGTTAATCGGCGGGTGTTATGAGTAAATCTTTTATTGGAGAGCCAAAAATAGCAAATGAAACTATTTCTTGATGTCAAATGTTAAAACTCGAAAATAAAAAGAATAGAAGCACAAAATACATCTATCTTATATTAAAAAAAAAAGTTAAAGCGCGGCCCATACATTCGAATACTGTACATTGAAATTATGCATGGGGTGTTCCCTAATGAGAAGGCGTAAAATAAAGATTTATCAAATTTCACTTTAGAAAGGGCTTACAAGAGACCGTACGCTTATGGGAATGTGTAAATACAGAGTTTGACTTCGAAAAGGGGAATTGAAAAAAAGTGTCTCTATGGAATTATAAGTAGAGTTGTCCACTTACGAGAGTGTCCGTCAGCGGAGAGTTAACTGTAGTTGCCTGGTTAAACAATGTCCGTAAAAGGAGGTTAAGTATTAAAAGAGTGTTATATGCAATAGGAACATGTTCACCTTACTAAATAGTTTGACATGTAATACGCTCGGGTATTTTGCGAGTTGCACTGTAATTTTAAAAGCCCCGTAGAGGCGACGATGAATACGAACAACGAGACAAATGTTCACTGTCTTGTATTCAGTAGAACCGTCGAATAAGGGATTGATTATTCAACTATCATTTCATTTGTAGTATTTCGGCGTCTAGTTTTCTTAGTACTCTCTGGCTCGCGGCTTTATCAGAGCATCGTATCGATCAAGTACGGCGTGCGCAAAAGAATCAAACTACAAAAGCGAAAATTGCTAAGTGTTCTCTTTAATTAGCAAAAAAATATGATGCGTTTAAATTTCGTTGATTGAAAAGTCATGCCTGAAAAACGGGAATGCAAGTAGTATCAGAGTGAAAAGAGAAGGGACTGTAAAAATATTGTCGCGATGATTACTCATAGGTAAATTCTCCTGTTAAAAATCAGAAGCAGACAGCCAATCTTCACTTGAGAGGCTTTCCTAAATTTGAAATACGATCTTCTGCCGACATCTTGCAAGTTTGCAGTTATCCTCCTCAAAGACCGAACTATAGAAATGATAACTCGCAAACTAACCCATTTTTGAAAATTGTTCAGGCAATGAGATATTAAGTTTGTTTATCTTCCCCGGAAACTCATCTTTCTCTCGTTGTAGTAAAACTAAATAATTGCAGTAAAAATAAATAATGAATCGCCAAATTGCTAAAAATGGTTTTTGGGTAACATGACGCCATAGTCAATTTTTGAACAAGATTAGTGGGCGATCCGTTTTGGCGGAATTTCCCACATTTCAAAGAGAATATCTTTCGGCTTTCGTCACTCCAGGGCACTATTGTCATCTTACAAACAGTCCTGTTGTAAGACATTTCTGACAGCTTGAACTGCTGTCATGCTCTATGATTCCATTGTCCTCAAGCATTTTGGAAAGTGAAAGCAGATTTTCTAATCAGTTGTCGATAAGCCAATCAGAGACGCTCAAGATTTCTCATTACTGGATAGCAAAAATATTTTTCCTGGTAGCTTTCTGTAAATAGAACCCAGCTTCTGTGGAGACCAAAAAGGAGACGGTCACCAGATGGTTCCTTTATGCCACCAGAGGTATGTAGTTAATTTGTCAGTTGAACAGTTAATAGATATGAATGATTAACTTCGGTTTTAGCTACTTCCGTAATCCTTTTTACCTAATTTTGATACACATATTAGACTTTCACATTATGTTTCAGTTCAGTTTGAACAAGATTACTGCTCCTGAAGTATTCGAAAGAGAAAATAACTCAAAAACTTCATGTAAAGGTGCGTCTGTACGTCCATTCATTGAGCTTGTTTACTGACTTCAATTCCTTCAGTAGTCGGATATCACATATCGCTTAATTTGATCCTTTTTAATAAGGAAAATCAGCACTGTCTCGATGAAGACAAATTCTCGTTCTTTTATTCATGATTCATTTAATGTAACATCTTCTTGAAAAAAAAGGAAGAAAAAGAGAAATATTAAATTATTAGGTTCGAAAAAAAATTAATCCGCTGAAAGATTTCAAATCTTATGCTAAAGTGATTCGTGCAACAGGAACATCAACGTACACCAAGTGATGGACTCCTACGTACACTAAGAGCAAATTTACTTGTCCAGCGCACTGAGAAAGACTTTTACCTTTCGTTGTTTCGGTGTTTCGTTGCTTTCCCTTCTCTACGATTGCACGGCATCCGCTTTTGCTCATAGCTATTCTCATAACAATACTTCAGTATCCAAGTGATGGGGAAAATGAACAGAATCTTTATTAAAAGCACTGTCTCTTTCTATTTACTCATTTTACTCTTGGTAGGAAAAAAAAAAACATCAATAAGCGCAATGTGGTAGCCGCAGTACCTTAACTTTCCAGAAGAACAGCAGCTTGGCATTCATCAGTTTCATACCCTTTTTTACATTGTCGTACTACAATAAAAGCCCCATAGCATCACAAGAATTAGTTAAAAACAGAAGAGTTGTAAACCGTAGACTTACAAGAAAAGTCAACGGATAACAACAATTTGCTTTCACGGTAGTCTCTCAAATTTGACAGGCTCTTCCCAAATTAGATATCATTATTAGGACTCAAAGAGTTGATGATATTTCAAATTTAATCTGTACCCTGAAGATGTGAGAATCGTTTGAAAGAAATTGATTCTTCTACAGCTTCTTTTAATTTTCCCACGCTTGAGACAAGACCAAGAAATGAAAGCTTCAACACCAGAATTTGTACCCCATATTTCCTCATAACCCATGAAAGGTGAATTCGTAGAGGCGCAAATGAATGCGATTAAAAGAAAATAAGGTCTACTAGTAGCGTATATACTAGATTAATTTTCAAGTTCGCTTACGGCATTTTTCCAAGTCTGTCATTCTCCGTTTTTCCATACAAACTAAAAAATATGTGTGGCTAGAATACTTTCTTTAACATATTTTAGGGATTAAACACTACATTTAGCTGAGTTATTTATCATATTTTTATTTTAGCTTTATTTCATTCGAGTAATTAGATATCCCTCGAATATTAAGGAGAACAATATAGGGGTAGACTCCTATTAATAGAGGCCTGTTAAACCTAATTCATAAAACACATAGAGTACACTGATTTAATTCATGCAACCCACCTATTGAAAATGCTTTCAACGAAGACAACTTAGGGTCAACCGACCATCATATGCGCATTGTTAAGGTTTGTTTTATGCACTGTTTGAAGTGATTATATATTAGGGTATTTCTGCAAAACGAATTACGAAATTGTTACCGTTTACCGTGATTAAAATCAAGTTAAGATATGTCTCTTGTATACTTTTGTTTAAGGAAAAATGTCTGTGAAGAGAAAAACTTCAGGATTTTCATTCCTCATTCTGACTGGTCTAGCCTTGTTGCTGATAGATCAGGCGGCTGGTATGTTACTTTAGCCGAGGATAATAATTTTTTTTTGAACACGGATAGTACTTGATACGCCAAATATCTACATTCTTGGTGTAAACAATGCGGTGAATGATTTTTTTTAGCCCACACAATCACACGACCTGGACTCTTTTGTTCGATAAGCAGAATCTTATGTACTTTACAGAATGAGTACTAAAAAGTTTGAGCACATCAAATTAAAAGGATTTATGCAATTATTCGTATATCAGTTAAATCAAATTAAAGCGTAAATCAAATTTACTGTAAGAATCGAATAATACGCTGGGTAAATTATTTTCATCTACCCATTTCTTCATGCAATGATTCCCATTTATTTTTTAATACAATTGACAGGAAAGCGTCCTGACAAGATACTAGATTTCGAAGACGCGACTGAGAAAAGCTGCCTCGTCACAGTGCCGAAAAAACAGGGAAAGATTTCTTTCTCGACATCAGTGGCCAAACACGGGACAACTTCACTGAAATGGAAATCGAGTGCCAACGGAGAATCTAAATTAAGGTACGCGCTTCCAAAATCCGCTCACATCAACGGAAAGGAACTCAAAGGAGGAGGTGTTAAAATGTGGATCTACAAGGATACTCCTTCTAGTGGAAGTAAGATGGAAGTAAGGCTGGCAGAAAAAAAAAAGAAGAAAATGGTTACGCGGGTAGGATCTTTTGAAATCAACCTGGGATTTTCAGGCTGGAGAGGAATATGGATGTCATTCGATGAATGCAAACAAAATAAAGACAGCCTCAAAAGTTCATCATCGATCACAAGGATGGACTTTGTTCTAAACCATGAAGATACCATTTACATAGATTTACTTGGCTTTGTGGCAAAAATGTCCAAACAATCTCGCGATAAGATTGTTCCAACAATCACGAAATTTGGCTCAAAGTACGATTCCAGTAACTTTTGGCAGCAGACTTATCGCTGGAGTCAGCAGAAACCTTCTGCTCTTCCGACCTCTGTCGATTCTTCGAAGACTACTCACCTTGCTCACATTGAAAGTCGCTTACATAACTGGTATGCTGATGAGACACAAACCACTTATGATTTCATGGGAGAGATGAAGAGACGTTGGAATACCCTTCAGGAGAGCTTCAATGATGCCCATAAAGAATACGATAGACTAACATTTACAAGTAAGCCCGATTCAAGTACTCCTGGCTCCACTAAAATTGTGATCACCGCTCCTCCATTATTTTGTCGTAACTGTAAAATGGGGACGAGGACATATTCAGCAACTGATCCAACCAGAAAGTTCAGCTTTCCTATTATGCGTATTATGTTGCCTCTAGCTCTCGAGTATTACCTTAAGTCCCGTCCCAACGAAATAACTAAGACAGTAAATAAAGAGAAGTCCAAACTGTGTTCTGGAGATGCTACCAAGGTGCAACGATCCGTCCAAAAGATTTGCGGAAAATGGACAAAGAGACAGGATGAGTTCCGAAACTATCTCAGCACTTTAGCATGTACCAAAAACAACGTCCGTAAATCACTGCAGTTTATTAACAAAGCACGCCTTCAGAGAATCCTCAATCTACTTGACTATATTGAAGATCAAGGATGGGCAGATGGAAGTGGAATAGGCTCCCTTGATCATGAAATGAATCGAGATGGTGCTGGATACATGCACACTCTTTTTCTTCTGAAGAACTCTTTACACCAGGACCCAAGAAATAAAACCAGATTGGTGAATATGATAAACACTTCCAAATGGTACAATGATTTTGGAGAAGTTTATCAATCAAACTTCGAGTTCAAAGGAACGACGGCCGACAGAATGATCACAATATTGCTATTTCGACTGATGATTGTCTTGGCGATGCCTGCTACCACAGATATGGAAAAAAAGGAAAGGCAAAGGGATATGGATGCTTTGAAAAAGTGGATGGATAATGCCCTGAGTATCAACAAAGCATTCGGAGGAGTCATCAAACCTGATTATACCGGTTTTCATCACAAAGCGTTCTACGCATCTGCCTACGTTCCACAAGCTTTGCACACAGCAGCACAAGTGCAATATCTGTTAGAAGGAACAAACTTTGCTTTATCAGATGCATCTAAACGAAATTTACTTGAGGCTCTCAAAACAATGAGGCTTATATCCGTGAAGTACTCTACCCCAAGCAGTGTTGGAGGACGTTTCCCAGACTTTTCAAAGGAGGCTCTGATAAATATCCTCCCGGCATACGCGTACATCAGTGTCTCCTATTCATCCCAGTCATTGGCATCGACTCCACCGAAAGGGATAACTATTCCAAATACCAAAAACGCAGGCATGTTTCTACGTTTGTATGAAACATCGGACAAAAATGTGAAAAAGTATATGGAAGATGGAAAGGTTTACAGGGGTAAATCGTACATGAACAGTCTTGGATGCCTGAAAATAATGAATGAGGTAAGTTAATCAAGTTGATTGGGCAAAGTGAACAGCTTGATTTTCTGATACAAATACTCGCACAAAAAAGCGTGGTTAAAAAATAGGATGGTTTTTAGATAAAAGTTGTTCATCCTCTATTTTGTCTAACATTGGTGTATCAATAGATTATTGACAACAATAAAAAAAAAGTAGTCAGAAAAAAATTTTGGAGAACGAATATCGCAATACTATAGGAAATCGAAGAAAAATAATGATTAACAATTGGATAATTTGATTCGAGATTTTCAATTGCTTAGTCTCAATGGTTAATGAGCTGCTAATATATGACTAATCACACAGACTTAATTCGTGAAACACCATTACTGTCGATCCACTGGGATAAAGTTTACGGTTAATTCATGGGCAATTTGATTGGACGTTGTATTTTTTTGTATATAATTTAGGGCTAATAAGGGCCAACATATATCAAACTGTACTCTTGAAAAGAGTTTAAAAGGGGCCAGGATATCTATTTGCATTAAGCGAGAATACATATTGATTTAATAATATAGTGAAAGTTACGAGTTAACTTACCGCCGTATTCTTTAAGGTCCCACACTTGCGAAAGATGAATCTGTTACCTTTTCATGTTGCATCGTTAATTCAAAAGATCTCTCAAATGAAGCTATAGACAGATATTTTTTCCATTACAGCTCAAGTCGAAAGCCTCAACCTATGAGCACTCTCCTGAAGGTCACTGGTCCAAGAACTTTGCTGCTCTCTCAATACATCGTCGTAAGGACTGGGCCGTTACAGTCAAAGGTTTCAACAGGTTTGTCTGGGACTTTGAGGGCTCCACAAAGAAGAAAACACCAGAAAATGCCTTTGGTACCTATCAAAGCCATGGTTCAATGTTGATAGCAAATAGTGAAGAGGCGCTAAAAGCTCACGATATAGATAACGGATGGGACTGGACAAAGGTTCCTGGAGCAACGACGATGACTTTGACACTATCGCAAATAAGGCTCAAAAAGGCACGAAATTTTAGTCCACTTTCCTATGCTGGCGGAGTTACCTATAAAGGACCACAGCCTTTATCCAGCGGAGTATTTGGAATGGACTTTCATCAACCAGAATATCAATTTTTTGAAGAGGATCATCCGCATCCTAAAGTTAAGCTTCACTTTAAGAAATCTGTCTTCTTTTTCCAAAATGTTTTAGTTTGTCTTGGAAGCGACATTAAAATAGATAATGGCGGAACAGCAACTAAGGCGCGAACGACACTGTTTCAAGACAAACTAGTTAGAGGTGCATCTAAATTTTCCATCAAAATGGACGGCGTGACCAAAGACAGCTCAGATCTATTCGAAGCTGTAAACCCCCTTTCTAAAAACAAGAAAGATGGCTATACTACTTTAGTCGACACCAAAGGCAACAGTTATTACATTCCAAGATCGAGTGCATCTGATCTCAAGGTACATGTCCAGATTCAAAGTTCGCAAACTGTAGCTGCTGTCTGCTCCAGCGGTATTTATGCAACAGCCTGGCTAGAGCACAATTCCAAGAATGCCAAGTACGAGTACGCTGTATTTGTAAAAACAGACTCTTACAGAAGCACTGCCACCGCTAACTGGGATCGCCTACACATGAATTCAAATCGGATGCTGTACTCGGTTCTGCAACAAGACGATAAGGCACACGTGGTACAATTTGGTATATCACCACAACGTAATGCCATCATAACACCATTGTACGGTTACGTAATCTTTGATGCCACGTCAAAACTCCCCAAGGGTGGTTTAATCACAGAAGTGACCAAGCAATGTCGCATCATGGTCGAGCAGAATTCCCGATTCGTCTTTTTAAGCATCAGCTACCCTGACTTGAATTTCAATGTCGACGGGGAGCTGAAAACGTCAGGCGACGTCAATAAGGAGGAACTCTATGAGCTAGAAAGTCGGGAGGTGGAAATTGAGGTCACCTTGTCAGTGGATGTGAAAACAACCCTCCCTGGTTCAGCGGTTATCGTGCATGGATCTCCTGCCGGGTATCAACCGAGGGTTGAAGTAGAGCGTCTGGATTCCTTCCCTACCCCAGGAAAAGGAAAGATAATTGTCTTTAAAAATCTCAAGAATGGATTCAGCGTTGAAGTGAAATTGGAGAAATAACCTGATATGGTCTAAAAAGACTTTCAAAAGATTGCCTTGGTCACAATTGGCTTGTTTACTTGCTCATATACTCATATATATCCTTGCTCATTATATTCATGCTATAGAGAATTAATTTAGTTCAATGGCGATCGCCTCATATTGATCCGGATTGAAGTAATTGTATTAAGAATTAAGTGGATACGTAATCTCACATAGTAAATAATAAACGGAGCGGTCTAAAAATTGTTTTGTATTCGTCTCGTTACTGCAGTTGCGTGTTTATAGGAATTGAATTTGATTACAAGAGTTCATCCACGATAGCGTTTTCCCTTGACCCAATTTTGGTGTTTTAGTGTTTAGTCGCAGTCGAATAAATTTTTGTTGCGAGCTATTGTTTATGAGAAAGAGGAAGCAAAACGAAATCAGCCGAAATTGCGTTCTGATGAAAGTGGGAAAACCTTTAAAGAAACAATCCGAAAGGTTTATGCATCTCAAAAGTTCAATTAAGTTTTAAGTGCTCACACATTTAAAATAATACATTTTGCAAGGCAGACAAAAGTTATTTACGATCTAATATTCAATTTTTAAATATTTCCGTAATCGCGGCTAATGTAACTCCAGCCTTTAAGCTGACGCCATGCATGGACTTCACTTACTTTGTTTTCAAAAAACAATAAACAGTACAATTTTTATTATTTGGGCAAATTATTGCACAGTCATATGCTCCCTACCAATCGGATAAACTGGATTATGCTGTCTCAAGTCATGAAGCTCCATTATGCTGCGAACAACTTCTAAGTCGTACTTCTGCCTCTATCCTATTTCCATGAAATTAACTTATCGCCTAAGAAAGCGATGATCACGATTTTGAAAAAAATGTTCACGAAAACTTAGAGTCAAAGTGCTCTAACCTGCTTTAGGTGACTTCAGTGATAAGAATGAATTATTGCAAGAGGAAAAATTTCCCAACAAGTTTGTAACCTTATCTCAAATACAGTTCACGGTGATAACTCGCCAACTGACCACCTCTAACGTAAAACATTTTCAGTCAATAGACCATTCCAAAGTAAGTCTTTAAAATAAAAGTTCGTTGAATTTACCTGAAAAATTCAAGCTATCCTCATTTCAACTTTTGCCAAAAAAAATTAGTGAGAGTTGTCTGTTTTTTCGGAAAATTAAAATTTCCTCCATATCAAACCAAATTCTCGTTCATTGTCTCCTCATTGCCATTTTACAAACAGACGTGGACAATAATTTTTTTTCTGTATGGAATTATAAGTAGAGCTGTCCACTTACGAGAGTGACCGTAAGCAAAGAGTTGACTGTAATCGCCTGGTTAAACAATATCCGTAAAAGGAGGTCAAATATTAAAAGAGTGTCATACGCAGTAGAAACATATACACCTTATTAGATGGTTTAAGATGTAACACGCGCGAGTATTTTAAGAGTTGCGCAGTAATTTTCAAAGCCCCGTAGGGGTGACGATAAATGTAAACAATGAGACCAATAGTTACTGTCTTGTATTCAGTAGAACCGTCGAACAAAGGTTTCATTATTCTACTATCATTTCTAGTATTATGGCGTCTAGTTTCCTAAATACTTTCGCGGCTTTATCAGAGCATCGTATCGATCAAGTAGGGCGTGGACTAAAGAGCTAAACTACAAGAGCGAAAATTGTAAGTGTTCTCTATCACAAAAAAGAAAAATCTGACGCGTTTAAATTTCGTTGATTGAAAAGTCATGCCTGAAAAACGGGAATGCAAATAGTGTTAGAGTGAAAAGAGAAGGGACTGTAAGTAAAAGTTGTCGCGATGATTACTCATAGGTAAGTTCTCCTGCTAACAATCAGAAGCAGACAGCCAATCTTCACTTGAGAGGCTTTCCTACATTTGAAATACGATCATCTGCCGAAGTCTTGCAAGTGTGCACTTATCCTTCTCAAATAAAATTCAAAGACCGAAGTACAGAAATGATAACTCACCAACCCAACTCGCTAACCCAGTTTTGAAAACTTTTCAGGTAATAAGATATTCAAAGTCAACTTTTCTGTTAACAAAGAGCGAAAGTTTGTTGATATTCCCTGGCAACTCACCTTTCTCCCGTTTCAATAAAACTTTCTTCCGAGGAAGAAACAATGTTTTAAACACTTAAAAATAAATAATTATTTGTCAAATTACTAAAAAAAAAGGCTTTTGAGGTAACATGACGCCGTAGTCAATTTTTGAACGGAATTGGTAGGTTATCCATTGTGACGGAATTTCCCTCATATTAAAGAAAATTTTTTTCGGCTCTCGTCTCTCCAGGGTACTATTGTCATCTTACAAACAGTCCTGTTGTAAGACATTTTTGACAGCTTGAACTGCTGTCATGCTCCATGATTCCATTGTCCTCTAGCATTTTGGAAAGTGAAAGCAGATTTTTTAATCAATTGTTGATAGGCCAATCAGAGACGCTCAAGATTTCCCATTACTGGATAGCAAAAACATTTTTCCAAAAATCTTTCTATAAATGAACTCCAGCTTCTGTGGAGACCAAAAAGGACACAGTCACCAGATGGTTTCCTTCATGCCACCAGAGGTATGTAGTTAATTTGTCAGTTGAACAGTTAATAGATATCAATGATTAACTTCGGTTTTAGTTACTTCCCTAATCCTTTTTACCTAATTTTGATACACATATTAGACTTTCAAATTTTGCTTTAATTCAGTTTGAACAAGATCACTGCTCCTGAATTATACGAAAGGGAAAATAACTCAAAAACTTCACGTAAAGGTGCGTCTGTACGTCCATTCATTGAGCTTGTTTACTGACTTCAATTCCTTCAGAAGTCGGATATCACATATCTCTTAATTTGATCCTTTTTAATTAGGAAAATCAGCACCGTCTTGATGAAGACAAATTCTCGTTTTTTTTTTTTGAAAAGTTCATTTAATTTAACATCTATATGAAAAAAAAAGTGAGAAAAGGAGAAATATCAAATTAAAAGGTTCGGAAGAAGCTGAACCAATAAAACAAAATTAATCCGGTGAAAGTTTTTAATCTTAAACTGAAAAGGTCCGGAGAGGGGCATTGGGATTTTCGGTTTTGCGGTTTTGGCTATTTTTTAGATCGGTTTTCGGTACCAACAACTTAGGTTTTTCGGTTTTGGTGTTCATTGTGGTTTGCAGATTTTCCGTTTCTTAGCATTTGGTTTTCGGTTATCGCGAAAAATACTAACGGGATTTCGGATTTGATATCCGATGCGGTTTTCGGTTTTTCCTATTTGACCTATTTGGGTTCCGGTTTCTCTTCGATCTGAGCGGCAATTACGCGCCTTCACTGACTTCGAATAGCCGCTAAACGCAAATGTTATCAAGAGGAATGCGTGACAAACAATTTAAATATCGCAGGGATCCCTAGGTAGCCTACGTGTAGCCGTACCCTCCCCCTCCCCTAAGGTGGGGGAGAGGGGAGGTTACGGCTACACGTAGGGTAAAGCTACATTACCAGAGTTTCTTTATCAACGCCACCTCGAAGTTGGTGACCAAGTTACAGGCCATACGTGCACGTGACTTATTGATTCAACAGTTTTGCATGCGGTTTTTCGGTTTTGATCCAATTTTTTTTCGGTTTTTCTGTTTTGGATAATTTTTTCTACGGTTTTGCGGTTTCTAGTGGGCCCCAATGCCCCCCTCCATCAGCAACATCAACGTTCACTAAGAGCAAATTTACTTGTCCAGTGCACTGAGAAAGACTTTTACCTTCCGTTGTCTCGGTGTTTCGTTGCTTTCCTTTCTTTACGATTACACGGCATCTGCTTTTGCTGATAGCTATTCTTATAATGATAGTTCAGTATGAAAATGAACAAAATTCTCTATAAAAAGCACTGTCTCTTTATATTTACTTATTTTACTCTTGGTAAAAAAATTTAAAAAAAAAACCATCAATACGCACAATGTGGTAGCCTCAGTACCTTAACCTTCCAGAAGAACAACAGCTTGGCATTTATCAGTTTCATAGTTTCATACCTTTTTTACAATGTCTTACTACAAATCAAAGACCCATAGCATCACAAGCATTAGTTATAAACAGAAGAGTTGTAAAGTGTAGACCTACAAGAAAAGTCCACTGATAACAACAATTTCTTTTGCCGGTAACCTCTCAAAATTTGACAGGCAAATACTTCCCAAATTAAATATCATTATCTAGAACTCAAAGAGTTGATGATATTTCAAATTTAATTTGTACCCTAAAGATGTGGGAATCGTTTAAAGGAAATCGATTCTTCCACAGTTTCCCCTAATTTCCCCACATTTGAGACAAGACTAAGAAATGAAAGCTTAAGCACTGAAATTTGTACCCCATATTTCCTCATTACCCATGAAAGGTGAATTCGTAGAGGCACAAATGAATGCTATTAAAAGAAAATAAGGTCTACTAGTAGCGTATATACAAGATTACTTTTATAGTTCGCTTACGGCATTTTTCCAAGTTTGTCATTCTCCGTTTTTCCCATACAAACTAAAAAATATGTGTGGCTAGAATACTTTCTTTAACATATTTTAGGGATTAAACATCGCATTAAGCTGAGTTATTTATCATTTTTTTATTTTAATTTTATTTCATTCGAGTAATTAGACATCCCTCGGATATCAAGGAGAAGAATATAGGCGTAGATTCCCATTGATAGAGGTCAGAAAAACCTAATTTATAAAACATATAGAACAAACTGATTTAATTCATTAATTAAGTCAACCGACCAACATATGCGCACTGTGAAGGTTTGTTTTACGCACTCTCTGAAATGATTATATATCAGGGTATATATTTCTGCAAAACGAATTACGAAATTGTTACGGTTTATTTTTGTTCATTGATTAAAATCAAGTTAAGATATTTCTCTTGTATACTTTTGTTTAAGGAAAAATGTCTTTGAAGAGAAGAACTTCAGGATTTTCATTTCTCATTCTGACTGGTCTAGCTTTGTTGCTGATAGATCAGGCGGCTGGTATGTTTCTTAAGCCGAAGATAATAAGTTT